GCTCTCTCTTGCGCTACTGTCGATTGTGCTCCTCTCTCCTGCTCTGCTCGTGATTGCGCTCCTCTCGATTGCGCTGCTGCAGCACAGTGCTCGCTCCTGTCGCTTGCACTCCTCTTGATTGTGCTCCTGTCGATTGAGCTGCTGTTGATTGCCCTTTTGTCGATTGCGCTCCTGTCGATTGCGTTCGTCTTGATTGCACTCATGTCGATTGTGCTGCTCCAGCAGAGTGAGCGCTCCTCTCAATTGCGCTCCTCTCAATTGCGCTGCTCTCAATTGTGCTGCTCCGACAGAGTGTGCGCTGTCCAGCAGTTCGCTGATGAGATTGCGCTTCTCAGATTGCGTTGCTCCAGCTGTGCGTTGCTCTTGAGCTGTGCGTTGCTCTCGAACAGTGCGTTGCTCTCGAGCTGTGCGCTGCTCAGATTGCGTTGCTCCAGCAGAGTGTGCGTTGCTCCAGCTGTGAGTGCGTTGCTCCAGCTGTGCGTTGCTCAATTTGCGCTGCTCCAGCAAAAATAAATTTGTTTGCGTTGCGGCACTTGAGCAGTGTAAATTTCGAGTGCGTTGGGGGTCAACGCAGTCGCGTGAATTTCGAATTTGGCAGAGCGCAATTGTGTGTTGCCTGCAAGCAAGACACACCGGCTAGGGCTAGGGCTAGGGCTAGGATACAGCTTCATGCGGGAGCATACTGTACTATTACTCACCTTCAGATAAACTCGGTGGCCTTCGGCCTCCTTGGGGTACACTATACAGTATTCTCAGTGAGGTGACCCCAAGGATACTGACCTGCATGGGAGCAAACTGTACACTTCAGTAAGGGGTTAGCCCCCTTGTAACCCAAATGTTGAAAAAAGAGGTTGCAAAAAGAGGTCGCAAAAATACATGTCGAAAAATAAACTTGGAAAAATACGTGTTGAAAAGGTATGTGACCCCAAGGATACTGTCTCATGCGGGAGCATACCGTCCACTTCAGTTCACCTTGGACCCCTTCGGCCCCTCACCATACACTATACAGTATTCTGGTCATGTGACCCCAAGGCTGCCATGTCATGCAGGAGCATACCATCCCCTTCAGTGTTCTAGTCACATGACCCCAAAGATACCATCTCGCTTGGGAGCACACCATCCCCTTCTGTTTACCTTGGACCCCTTCGGTCCCCTCACTGTACACTATACTGTATTCCAGCCACTTGACCTCGAGGCTGCAGTTTTGCTTGGGAGCATACTGGCCCCTACTCCCGCACCTCGGACCCCTTTGGTCTCCTCACCATACATTATACAGTATACAAGTCATGTGACCCTGATGCTGCTGTCTCACGTGGGAGCATACCATCCCCTTCGGTCTTTTAGTCACATGGCCCCGAGGAATCCATCTCACTCAGGAGCACACCATCCCCTACCCTGCACCTCGGGGACCACTAACCAAATCTTGGATCATCTCCTGACAGCCACACGCATATGCTACAGCACTCCGATTTTGCATACCCCCTAGTACCCCTATAGAGCACCTAACACCACCAAAATCTTCCATGAGTTTTGCCTCCTCATCATTGCCACCAGCCAAAGTCATCGCATAGACATACATTTTCCTCCACCACACCAAAATGCACCATCAGTTCCACCCAAAATTTTCTGAACATATACCATTTTGAAAGAGCTTTCCAACAGTACCATTGGATCATCAAAACTCTCAAGGGGGCCCCCTTGTAACCCTAACCCTACTCCAGTCGATTGCGCTCCTCTCTCCTGCTCTGCTCTCGATTGCACTCCTGTCGATTGAGCTCCTCTTTGATGCTCTTCTCTTGATTGCGCTCCTCTCCATTGCACTCCTCTCCATTGCGCTCCTCTCCAATGAGCTCCTGTTGATTGCGCTCCTCCTGATTGAGCTCCTGTCGATTGCTCTGCTCTCCATTGCGCTCCTCTCTCCTGCTCTGCTCTCAATTGAGCTCCTCTTGATTGTGCTCCTCTTGTTTGGACTCCGGTCGATTGCGCTACTGCAGCAGAGTGAGCGCTCCAGTCGATTGCAATCCTGTCGATAGTGCTCCTCTTGGTTGCGCTCCTGTCGATTGAGCTCCTGTCGATTGCGCTGCTACAGCAGAGTGAGCGCTCCTCTCTCTTGCACTCCTCTCTCTTGCGCTCCTGTCGAATGCGCTGCTCTCTCCTGCTCTGCTCTCGAGTGAGCTCCTCTTGATTGTGGTCCTCTTGGTTGCGCTCCTCTCTCTTGCGCTCCTGTCGATTGAGCTCCTCTTTGCTGCTCTTCTCTTGATTGCGCTCCTCTCCATTGCGCTCCTCTCCAATGAGCTCCTGTTGATTGCGCTCCTCTCGATAGAGTTCCTTTTGATTGCGCTGCTCTTGATTGTGCTGCTCCAGCAGAGTGAGCGCTCCTCTCGGATGCTCTGATCTCAGTTGCGCTCCTGTCGATTGCGCTCCTCTTGATTGCGCTCTTTTCGATTGCGCTCCTCTCTCTTGCTCTGCTCTCGATTGCGCTCCTGTCGATCGTTCTACTCTCTCTTGCGATCCTTTTGAATGCACTACTCTCTCTTGCTCTGCTCGTGATTGCGCTCCTCTCGATTGCGCTGCTGCAGCAGAGTGAGCGCTCCTCTCGAATGCTCTGATCTCAGTTGCGCTCCTGTCAATTGCGCTCCTCTTAATTGCGCTCGATTTGCGCTCCTGTCAATTGCGCTGCTCTAGCAGAGTGTTTGCTCCTTCGATTGTGCTTCTCCAGCAGAGTGAGCCCTCCTGTCGATTGCGATCCTCTTAATTGCACTCGCTTTGATTGCGCTGCTGCAGCAGAGTGAGCACTCCTGTCGATTGCGCTACTGCAGCAGAGTGAGCGCTCCGGTCGATTGCACTCCTGTCGATAGCGCTCCTCTTGGTTGCGCTCCTGTCGATTGAGCTCCTGTCCATTGCGCTCCTCTCTCCTCCTCTGCTCTCGATTGCGCTCCTCTCTACAGCGCTCCTGTCGATTGTTCTGCTTTCGATTGTGCTACTGTCGATTGCTCTTCTCTTGATAGCGCTCCTCTTGATTGCGCTCCTCTTAATTGTGATCCTCTTGATTGTGCTCCTCTTGATTGCGCTCCTCTCTGCTGCTCTTCACTCGATTGCGCTCCTGTCAATTGCGCTCCTCTCCAATGAGATCCTGTCGATTGCGCTCCTCTTGATTGCGCTCCTGTTGATTGCTCTCCTGTCGATTGCGCTCCTGTCGATGGGTCTCCGGTCGATTGCTCTCCTGTCGATTGAGCTCCTGTCGATTGCTCTCCTGTCGACTGCGCTCCTGTCAATAGACCTCCTCTCTCCTGCTCTGCTCTCGATTGCGCTCCTGTCAATTGCTCTCCTGTCGATTGCGCTCCTGTCGATAGAACTCCTGTCGATAGAACTCCTGTCGATTGCGCTCCTGTTGCTTATGCTCCTGTCGCTAGAGCTCCTCTCTGCTACTCTTCTGTCGATTGCGATCCTCTCTCTTGCGCTCGTGTTGATTGCGCTCCTCTCTCCTGCTCTACTTTCGATTGCGCTCCTGTTAATTGCACTCCTCTCTCTTGCGCTCCTCTTGATTGCGCTCCTCTTGATTGACTCCTGTCGATTGCTCTGCTCTCCATTGCGCTCCTCTCTCCTGCTCTGCTCTCAATTGAGCTCCTGTCGTTTGCGCTCCTGTCGATTGCTCTGCTCTCAATTGCGCTCCTCTCCCTTGCTCTGCTCTCTCTTGCACTCCTGTCAATTGCACTCCTGTCGATAGAGTTCCTGTCGATTGCTATCCTCTTGATTGCGCTCCTGTCGATTGTGCTGCTCCAGCTGAGTGAGCACTCCTCTCGATTGCGCTCCTCTCGATTGCGCTGCTACAGCAGAGTGAGCGCTGCTCTCAATTGCGCTCCTCTCGATTGCACTCCTCTCTCTTGCGCTCCTGTGGATTGCTCTCCTCTCTCCTGCTCTGCTCTCGATAGAGCTCCTGTCGATTGCACTACTCTCTGCTGCTCTTCTCTCGATTGCACTCCTCTCTCTTGCGCTCCTGTCGGTAGAGCTCCTCTCTCCTGCGCTCCTGTCGATAGCTCTGCTCTCTCTTGCTCTGCACTCGATTGCGCTGCTCCAGCAGAGTGTTAGCTGCTTCGAATTGCGCTCCTGTCGATTGCGCTCCTCTCGATTGCGCTCCTCTCGATTGCACTCGTCTTGATTGAGCTCCTGTCGATTGTGCTCCTGTTGATTGTGCTCCTGTTGATTGTGCTCCTGTTGATTGTGCTCCTGTCGATTGTGCTCCTGTCGAATGCGCTGCTCTCTCCTGCTCTGCTCTCGAGTGAGCTCCTGTCGATTGTGGTCCTCTTGGTTGCACTCCTCTCATTTGCGCTGCTGCAGCAAAGTGAGAGCTCCTGTCGATTGAGCTCCTCTCTCTTGTTCTGCTCTCTCTAGCGCTCCTCTCCATTGCAATCCTGTTGATTGCGCTCCTATCGATTGTGCTCCTGTCGATAGACCTCCTCCATCCTGCGCTCCTGTTGATTGCTCTCCTGTCGATTGCTCTCCTGTCGATTGTGCTCTTGTTGATAGAGCTCCTCTCAGCTGCTCTGCTCTCTCCTGCGCTCCTGTCGATTGCGCTCCTCTCTCTTGCTCTGCTTTCGATTGCGCTGCTCTGAGTTGTGCTTCTGCAACAGAGTGTGCACTGTCAAGCAGTGCGCTCCTCTTAATTACGCTGTCCAGCAGTGCGCTCCTCTAGATTGTGCTGCTGCAGCAGAGTGAGCGCTCCTCTTGATTGCGCTCCTCTCTGCTGCTCTGCTCCCGATTGCGCTCCTCTCGGTTGCTCTCCTCTCGATTGCACTCCTCTCAATTGCGCTCCTCTCTCTCGCTCTGCTCTCTCTTGCGCTACTGTCGATTGTGCTCCTCTCTCCTGCTCTGCTCGTGATTGCGCTCCTCTCGATTGCGGTGCTGCAGCAGAGTGCTCGCTCCTGTCGCTTGCACTCCTCTTGATTGTGCTCCTGTCGATTGAGCTGCTGTTGATTGCACTTTTGTCGATTGCGCTCCTGTCAATTGCGTTCGTCTTGATTGCGCTCATGTTGATTGTGCTGCTCCAGCAGAGTGAGCGCTCCTCTCGATTGTGCTCCTCTCGATTGCGCTCCTCTCGATTGCGCTGCTCTCAATTGCGCTGCTCTCAATTGTGCTGCTCCAACAGAGTGTGCGCTGTCCAGCAGTTCGCTGATGAGATTGCGCTTCTCAGATTGCGTTGCTCCAGCTGTGCATTGCTCTTGAGCTGTGCGTTGCTCTCGAACAGTGCGTTGCTCTCGAGCTGTGCGCTGCTCAGATTGCGTTGCTCCAGCAGAGTGTGCGTTGCTCCAGCTGTGAGTGCGTTGCTCCAGCTGTGCATTGCTCTTGAGCTGTGCGTTGCTCTCGAACAGTGCGTTGCTCTCGAGCTGTGCGCTGCTCAGATTGCGTTGCTCCAGCAGAGTGTGCGTTGCTCCAGCTGTGCGTTGCTCAAATTGCGCTGCTCCAGCGAAAATAAATTTGTTTGCGTTGCAGCACTTGAGCAGTGTAAATTTCGAGTGCGTTGGGGGTCAACGCAGTCGCGTGAATTTCGAATTTGGCGGAGCGCAATTGTGCGTTGCCCGCAAGCAAGACACACCGGCTAGGGCTAGAGCTAGCGCTCCTGTCGATTGCGCTCCTGTCCACCGCACTCCTGTCCATTGCGCTCCTCTTAATTGCACTCCTCTCTCTTGCACTCCTGTCGATTGCGCTCCTGTCGAATGTGCTCCTGTCGATTGCGCTCCTGTCGAATGTGCTCCTGTTGATTGCACTCCTGTCAATTGCACTCCTGTCAATTGCACTCCTGTCAATTGCGCTCCTCTTGATTGCGCTCCTCTTTGCTGCTCTTCACTCGATTGCGCTCCTGTCAATTGCGCTCCTCTCCAATGAGCTCCTGTTGATAAAGCTCCTGTCGATATAGTTCCTGTCGATTGTGCTCCTCTCTCTTGCGTTCCTCTCTCTTGCTCTGCTGTCGATTGCGCTCCTCTCGAGTGAGCTCCTCTCTCTTGCTCGGCTCTCGATTGAGCTCCTCTCGATTTCACTCCTCTTAATGGCACTCCTCCTGATTGTGCTCCTGTCGATTGAGATCCTGTCGATAGACCTCCTCTCTCCTGCTCTGCTCTCGATTTGGCTCCTGTCGATTGCTCTCCTGTCGATTGAGCTCCTGTCGATTCCGCTCCTGTCGATAGACCTCCTCTCTCCTGCTCTGCTCTCGATTGCGTTCCTGTAGATTGCGCTCCTGTAGATTGCGCTCCTGTCGATTGTGCTCCTGTCAATTGCGCTCCTGTCGATTGCACTGCTGTCGATAAAGCTCCTCTCTCTCGCTCTGCTCTCTCTTGTGCTACTTTCGAATGCGCTGCTCTCTCCTGCTCTGCTCTCTCTTGCGCTACTGTCGATTGTGCTCCTCTCTCCTGCTCTGCTCGTGATTGCGCTCCTCTCGATTGCGCTGCTGCAGCAGAGTGCTCGCTCCTGTCGCTTGCACTCCTCTTGATTGTGCTCCTGTCCATTGAGCTGCTGTTGATTGCACTTTTGTCGATTGCGCTCCTGTCGATTGTGTTCGTCTTGATTGCACTCATGTCGATTGTGCTGCTCCAGCAGAGTGAGCGCTCCTCTCGATTGCGCTCCTCTCGATTGCGCTCCTCTCGATTGCGCTGCTCTCAATTGCGCTGCTCTCAATTGTGCTGCTCTCAATTGTGCTGCTCCAACAGAGTGTGCGCTGTCCAGCAGTTCGCTGATGAGATTGCGCTTCTCAGATTGCGTTGCTCCAGCTGTGCATTGCTCTTGAGCTGTGTGTTGCTCTTGAGCTGTGCGTTGCTCTCGAACAGTGTGTTGCTCTCGAGCTGTGCGCTGCTCAGATTGCGTTGCTCCAGCAGAGTGTGCGTTGCTCCAGCTGTGAGTGCGTTGCTCCAGCTGTGCGTTGCTCAATTTGCGCTGCTCCAGCGAAAATAAATTTGTTTGCGTTGCAGCACTTGAGCAGTGTAAATTTCGAGTGCGTTGGGGGTCAACGCAGTCGCGTGAATTTCGAATTTGGCGGAGCGCAATTGTGCGTTGCCCGCAAGCAAGACACACCGGCTAGGGCTAGGGCTAGGGCTAGGTGGTGTCTAAACACCTGTGGTCCAGTCAATTATTGTAGGTGGTGTCTAAACACCTGTGGTCCAGTAACTCCCATCATCTGTAGGTGATAGCCTTATTGCAGTCCAGGCAATGTCAAAGAGCATCAAGCAACAGCACTACAAACACTTGTGCTGTTTAGGAGAGTGTAACACTCTCTCCCCAGGAAGTAACAGATGTGCCACACAACCTCTGAATGGAGTGTTCAAGGCAGTCAGCCAAAACCTACCAGAACAAAGCTGTCTGGTTACTTTCAATTGAAACATACTGAGTAGATCTTACTCAATCGATCTCACCAAAATCAATCAGAAACACCCAATCTGGTTTCAGGTGCATGACTGCTTACACGAAGATTGGTCCATCCTTCGGCTCCTCCTTTGTGCCATATACTTTGTTCTTGATCATCCTGTGGAATTGACTTTGAAGCTTGATTGGGAGGCAAGGAATGATGTCCTCGGCATCCTGAACAAAGTCTTTGTATGCTGAGTAATTGTGGTTCAACATGTCAATGGTGAAACCTCTTGTTGATATTGGACTTTGGTAGTGTATCAGCTAATTGGGCTCATAACCTGTTGTAATAAAGGAGTCACTCAGCAACAATGATTGGGAGATATTTGTCACAGTACAGTGTTCAAGCTAAAGAGCAAAACTCTATACTATATTGACATACTAGAAGTGAATGTGGTGGGAGCCTCAAGCTCCCTGCTAGACTTGTATACAAGCATGTGGCACATGCCCAACTGTGGGTGTATCCTACCTAATGACAGTGTGTAGCAACAAGTGGGACATGGTTGCATCCAATCTCTGTCTTGTATTGGTTCAGCCCAATTCCCTGTCTGATTTGTCTCACCCAATCCCAATTAGACCTACTTTATCTGATTGCCAGCTGAACCTGCTTCACCCGATCCTCTATGATCTGATCTACATTATCCCTAGATCGGACTAGATCGCAATCTCCAACAATCTATACAGCCGTGTGAGTCAGGCTGTCTCTAATTTCTCAACTGGGAACCAAACATGTGGTCAAGTGGAGGCATGATTGCCGTCGCCCATCGGTGCTCTCTGAAAGTCCGACCTTTACGACACCTAACTCCTCGTTTCACCAACTTCGCATCGAGCAACGGATAGACGGCGACGTCTAGCTGTGGTCAAGATGTGTACAGGAAGCGGAGACGAAGCAAGACGCAAGGCAGACGCCTTTGGGCCACCAAGGCCGGCGATTGCTGAGCTGTTCGTTGACTCCCATTGCCACCCCACCGACGATCCGGCAGCCTACACATCGTCCAATCTTGACGAGCTTTCGACTCGCATAGGGAACGTCACTGTTGGGCGGCTTGTATGCATGTCAACTAATGCTCGTGACCAAACCATGGTTGCGAAGCTGGCCTCGCTCCATCCAGACAAAGTTGTTCCCTGCTTCGGATGGCATCCGTGGTTCGCGCATCAGATCTCTCTGCGCCATCCAGCTCCAAGCAAGGCAGAACATTATCACGACCTCTTCAATGTTTTAACGGCCAGCTCAATGGACAATGACCGAGTAAAAGAGGGGCTGGAGGCCATTTGGGATCAGTTACCGGATCCAATATCGATAGAAAGCGTCTGTCAAGACATTCGCGAGCAGTTCGAGCGATTCCCAGGTGCGCTGTTGGGCGAAGTTGGCATCGATCGAGCCTTTCGCATCCCACGACGAGCATGGAACTATGATCCTCAAAAGCCGGATCTGCCAGCTTCCGAGCCAAAGCTCACTAAGCTGAAGACACCACAGGCACACCAGCTCGCGGTCTTACGGGCGCAGATCGATGTGGCTTTGCAGTATCGGCGCAACATTTCGCTTCATTCAGTTCAAGCAGCAGGTCTGACGGTCGACCTGCTCTCGTCTCTCAGGAACGCCGAACCGACCTCTTTTGGTGCGATACGGGTGTCTTTGCACTCTTGCACGCTTGACAACAATGTGGTCAAGTCGATAACGAAGAAGCATCCGAACGTTTACATTGGCTTTTCGTCTACCATCAACCGGAAACAATTTTTGGCGAAGGAGTGCTTGGCCGCGGCGGACCGCAGTCGAGCATTGATGGAAAGCGACTTTCACACGGTCAAAGGCATCCCTGGATATCTGCATCAGGCGAACGAGTACTTTGCTCAGCTGCATGGTCTTTCCCTCGAAGATGCTGCAAAGCAATTGCGATCGAATTGGGAAACTTTTCACTCGATACAGTGTCCAGAAGGTTCTGGGTCGGAAGATACGGACTCAGAAGAAGCTGCATATTGATGAACGCTAGGTGATTACAGAGTCGAGCGGTCTAAGCCAACCCGATGGGAGCAGAAAGTAGAATACCTAGCCTTTCAGCTTGCGAGCTGCTCCACAGTGTCGACAATTCTTCGGCCTAGGTCGAGTCTGAAAAAAAAACTTCGCATGGACTTGGGCAGGCAACCGCTGCGTGGGGGTGAAACTCAGATCGCTCGTTGTCAGTCGAGGCCGACAGACACTGCCGTTCAAGTTAGTATGGACCGAACCGCAACAAAGAAGCAAAGATCAAGTGACGAAGCAATGCATGGAGATTGCCGGGATCTAGTGGTACAATGGAGAAGTGAACATGAGTGTAATGCTGGAGAATGCAAGTGGAGCGATTAGCCGAATCTCGAAGAGTGTGTATGTAGGGTATGTGGTGCTTGAGTCTGTGTCAGAATTGCTTCAAGTGTACTGCGGTCTGGCAGCAGAAAGAGCGGTGATGCCTTTTGAAGATGGGCCGATGGTATTGCCAAAGTCATCGACAGGTGGGAATCGAGCCATGCGCTCGAGATCGTCGAGATCGAGGTGGGAACGGATGTACATATTTTGAGTATCAGTAGGCACCTGGTAGTCCCAAGAGGTCCAGGCGCCCTGCTTGAGACTGGAGAAGACGAAGCGCCTTCGACGCTGGACCATGAGAACTTCTTCAGTGATCTTCTTCGCGTCCCATCGCTGCAGAGCTTCGTGCTCGAATTCTTCGAGCACTTTGCGCGTCTCTGCATCAAGGTTGTCGCGATCAGAGGCGAGGTTGACAAGCTCCTTGGGGTCTTTTGACAGGTTGAAGAGCTGGGGTGGGTCGACAGGACAGGTGATGTACTTCCAAGGACCGCGTCGGATCATGAACAGAGGAGCCACGGTCCCTTCACCCATGTACTCGGCGATGACGGTGTCGTGCCCGGTCTGGCCCAAAAGATGGGGCAACATGCTGATACCGTCGAGCGGAAGCTGCTTTTGCAGCGGAATACCGACGATATCGCAGAAGGTGGGCAGCAGATCCATGGTGGAAACGTTGGCTTTAACACGTCGCGGAGCAAACATCTTAGGGTAGTTGAAAAGAAGCGGAACGCGGACGGAGCTTTCAAAGTAGCTCATCTTGTACCAGAGCGATCGCTCACCGAGCATATCGCCGTGGTCACCGCTGAAGACAATGAAGGTGTCGTCGCGCAGGCCGCACTTGTCGAGTGTCTCGAGAAGCTGGCCAATCTTGGTGTCGACGTAAGATACGGAAGCGTAGTAAGCACGCTTGGCTCGCTTGATCTGCTCTGGAGTGAAGTTCCTGCCTTCCAAATCGCACACGTGACGAAGACGCTTCGAGTGCGGGTCTTGATCGTCTGGGTGGATATCGACTTCGGGCATATTGATATCGACGTTTTCGTAGAGGTTCCAGAACTCCTCTTCGATTGTGTAAGGATCGTGAGGGTGGGTGAAGCTGACAGTGATAGCAAAGGGACGAGTGGAGCTGCCACCACCATGACGACGACGCGCATGGTCAAAGAGATACTGCCTCGACTTGTAGAGGACTTCCTCGTCGTAGTCCATCTGGTTTGAGCGGACACATGGACCTGCTTGGAGGATGCTAGAGGCGTTATGGTACCATTCGAGCCTGCGATCGGGTTGGTCCCAGTTAACAGCCCATCCGTAATCGCCAGGGTAGATATCGGCTGTGAGACGCTTCTCGAAGCCGTGGAGCTGGTCACCGATGAAGTGCATCTTCCCAGCGAGGACGGTCTCATAGCCAGCAGAACGAAGATAGTGAGCATAGGTGGGGAGGTCGGAGCTGATGGAAGCAGCATTGTCGTAGGAGCCAATCTTCGAAGGTAGCTGACCCGTGACGAGAGCCATGCGGGATGGAGCGCAGAGAGGCGAGTTGCAGTAGGCTGACTCGAGCACAACGGCATCACGGGCGAGACGATCCAGGTTGGGAGTGAGGATCTGCGACTTTTCGTTGTACATGCGCAGCTGAGGAGCAGCTAGCTGATCGGCCATAATAAAGAGGATGTTGGGTTGCGAGCCCGAAGAGAGGCCAACGTTGAGACCAGCTTTGGCGCTGCCATTGCCATTGACATGGTGACCATTGATGCCGTTGCCGTTGAGGCCGTTGCCGTTTCCAGAGTGACCGTTGGTGTGACCGTTAGCATGACCGTTGGTGCTGTGACCGTTGGCGTGAGCAGTTTGACCAAAGTCGGAGCCGTTGACGGCCGGAGCACCGTCGAGGGATTGAACTGGCATGTTAGAGGTAGCAGCGGGACGAGCAAATAGCGTGTCGAGCCAAGGCGGAGGGAGAAAGGGGCTCTCTTGGTCGATGGCTGGCGTGATCTTCTATGGGTCAAGTTGTAGGGTGCAAGCAAGGATGATCATGGGGATGGAGTCAGAGTATATATGATTTAGCGAGGCTTTTGCTTCTTGCATTGCATCTGTTCGACACACGCGCGCACTCACACACAGTCACGCTGATAAAGATCGGCTTGAATAAGCTGAACCGTTCCACGAGAAGAATGGAAGATGGTAAGGCGTTCTTGGTGTCGGTGATGGCGTGCGTGAGGTGAATTGCTGTGTGTCCGTGTGTTGCGATGTGTTGTGTTGGCGTTGTGCGTGTGTATATGTGGAGAGTCGGCAGCGAGCACGCAATTTCAGTGCTCAAGAGTGCAATTTTGCAAAGATGAGAAGAAAGCCGCGTCGAAGCACAACAAGTTGACCGAAATGGTGTCAAACATGATAAAAGTAAAGAAGTTTTATGGTCCCGATACTGGTGATCAGGGATGGTCTAAGTACAATGTCACTACTTTGTTATAGCAGAAACATATACTCAATTGACCTACTTAGTATGTGGCAAGAACCTAGCACTCTCTGTGAGATATATATACATACAAGTGGCACATGCCAATGGTGGGGGTACTCTTATCTAATGACCTACCATGACAACAAGCAGGGAAATGTTGCACCTGATCTCTGGAGAGGTTGGCTCTGCTTGATCTCCAATCAGATTTGTCATTTTTCCTGATCAGTCTTGCCTGATCTCTGATCAGATTGACTCATGTCATCATGTTGGATTGCTAATCTTTGACACCCCCTCTCAATCCAGCATGTTCCTTCATCACAGTTAGCCCAGAGAGTTGATGGAGATGAAGCAGCATAGGTGCTGCCAGTGGTTTGGTCATCATGTCAGCCAGATTCTTGCTACTTTGGATCAGAGAGATTGCCAGTCATTGGCTCGCAATTTCGTCTCATAAGAAAAGATGTGCTATATCGATGTGCTTTGTCCTTTTGAAGTGTTGTGGGTCATTTGCAATTGCATGTGCTCCAGATGAGTCACTGTACAGCACTGGTATGTTCCAGTTGAAGGTTAGTCTTCTGTCACAGGAATGAATGATTGACATTCTGGTGCTTACTTGTACTCCTGTTGTCATTGGCACAGATTGTCTTAACTCACTTAGGAACATTGTGGTCCAGATTGACTCTCTTGCAGCTCCCACCAGTGCTACATACTCCACTTCCATGGAGCTGTTTGCCACTGTTGGCTGAAGTCTTGATGACCAACTGCATATGAGTCCACCTATGGCAAATATATATCCCGAAGTCAATTTGCAACAGTTACGTGAGCCTGCCCAATCACTGTCTGCCCAACCAGTGAGTATTGGTTCGCTGATTGGCTCTCATTGTTCCCTTGAGGTATCTTAGAATTCGCTTTGCGACTGCAAGGTGCTCTCCAGAAGGGTTTGTGACAAATCGTGTGCAGTGTCCAACAGCGAAGGCAATGTTGGGCCTACTGCCTTGTGCAATCCACAGTAGTGATCCTACCAGCTACACATAGTGACACACCTCTTCAGTGCTGGTGATGTTGGCTTCCTGCAGCCCAAGCAAGTTGATTGTCTCCATTGCTGGCATTGAGGCTGTCCAAGCTTCACTCATCCTGAACTTTGTCAAGACACCTTCAATGTATCCATTTTGATCTATTGACAACATGCAAGCTTCACGATCATATTGTACACTCAACCCGATGATGTGTGATATGTTGCCCTGGTCCATAATACTGAAGACACTTGAGAGTTGTTGTCTTACAGCTTGGACTCTTGACATAGTTGCTCTGATCACAAGTAGATTGTCCACATAGATTGTGAGGAGTATCATTGCATCGTTTGTCCCATGTGTATAGATGCATGGTTTGGCTCTACAATGCTTGAAACTGAAGGCTTGTAGCTGCTCATCAAGCACTGCATGCCATAGGCATCCAGCTTGCTTGAGACCATAGAGGGCCTTTTTGAGTTTGTAACACTTACCTTTGGTTTCATCTGTCTCAAATGTTGGCAGTATTTGGACATATATGTCCTTGTCAATCTTCCCATTCAAGAATGCTGTGCTGACATCAAGTTGCATCACATATAGTCCATATTGTCTGGTGATTGTGAGTAGCATGTGTACAGTCTGCAAATGGATGACTGGACTAAATGTCTGGTCATAGTCCAAACCTTGACACTGTGCATACCCTTGTGTGACCAATCGTGCCTTGTACCAAGTTTCCTGTCTCTGAGTGTTGAGCTTGAGCTTGAATACCCAGCAGACACCAATGAGCTTACCATCTGCTGGAATGTTTGCCAGCTCAAAGACACCCATTTTACTCATGCTCCTCATTTCACTCTCCATCGCTTCTTGCCATTTGTGCCAATCATTGCATAGTTTTGCCTCATTGAGTGATGAGGGTTCCAATAGGATACTGTCAGTGCTTCTGAGTTGCTGACCACTGGCGATGAGAGTGGTCCCATTTATTACTGTGACTGCATATGCCATGTGATCAATGTAATAGTTCCTGATGGTCATTGTGAGGGTTTCCAAGCATGTCGCAGCGAAGGATGCAAAGTCATGTTCTATTACAGAGACATCGTCATATACATCAGCAATTGCATTGCTACGAGGTGTTTCGAGTAGTGGCACTGTGTCCAGGGTATTGATGTGTGGTGGTTCTTGCATGACATCCCCCTTTTTGGATTGTGTTGCATCCAGCTCCGCTTCGAGGTCCACAGCGATTGCATCGATATCAACAATGGTTTCGCTGGCCACTTTGATCTCTGCCATCAAGCGATCCCATTCCTGATCATAACTTGACATATCTGATGGTGCTGGCTGTGATGTTGGTCTGTGTTGATGAGAAAACTGTGATAGTGAAGGCAGTATGATGTCATCCTGCTCAACACCTCCATAGTTGTTGGTCTCAGCTGGTGGGAGCCATGTGTATGAACAAAGTAATCCATTGTCCCCTATGAGGATGGGCACATGCAAGGGAGCAGCATCAGGCTCTGGTTGTTCGAACTCAGAGAAAAGAACATCCTTGGCAACAACAATCTGGTCGAGATCCAGGAGCCACACCTTATGTCCTTTAATAGCCCATGGAGCATCAGAGAAACCCAAATAGGTTCCCCAGAGAGCACACAGGCAGAGGTGTTTGCTGACCACTGGATGATTGTTTAGCCATGTTGAACATGTGTTACCTCAAAGTACGATGTATGCAACACATCCAAATCTCTGTACTTGGCACAGTTCAGGGTGTTTGCTGTAGAATAATTCGAACAGCATTATATGGCTGCAGGTAGTCCCTGCCAACCAGTTGTAGATAAATGTTGCCTGTGAGATGGCATGGGGCCACCAACATTCATCCATGTTAGAATTGTAGAGCAAGCTGTGAGTGATCTTCTGGATCATCTGGATTGCTCATTCTGCAAAGGCATTATCAGTGTGCTGTTGAGTGGGTGAAGCAGTGATCTTCACACCTGTCAACAAACAGAGGTTTCAGAAGGCGGTGGACCAGAGTTCTCCTTGGTCTACATGGACTTCTTGAACACCTTGGTTAAGGATCACTTCATTAGGTTCCCAATGTATGTCAGCACACACCTCTGATAACCACCATGCTGCCTCTTGAGATGCTTGGCCTTTGCTTGTGAGACCTCATGTCCAAATCATGCTGGAGTAAGCATCATGGATGATGAGCACATATGTGAACTTGGCAGTGCCATGCAGTGGGCCCATCACTTCCATTGATACTAACTCAAGTGGCTTTTCGACACATCTGGGGAAGGCTACGTTCCGAGCAACAGCCTTACTACATACACAAACATCACAGAGTATACCATAGGAGGTGTTGGACTTGATGGGATGTCATGGGATAGGGTCACTGGCTGCATGTGTTGAATAGAATCATGGCTTGCATGACCTAATCTGTGGTGCCAGAGCTCTGCCTTGCTGCAGGGTTTGTGTGCATGATCCATGGCATTCATTATTGCAGCAAAAGCCATAGAGACTGCAGGCTCAGGCAATTCATCACTCCAAATCATCATTGCAGTGGCTGGATAGCCATCTCCACTTGTATGTACATGAATTGCATTACCATGCCTGTCCTGGACTGTGATGAGTTGGTCCTTGAAGATCACTCAACCATGGTTGTGCATGACTGACTTCATCCCAATGAGGTTTGTCACCAGACTGTCAGGGGTCTCGCGCCAGAAACCCAGGTCGGTCTGTCGAGATACTTGGTGACTATCAAACTGTGCGACAGCTATTGTCTCGGTATCTGTCTCGGCAAGCTAGTCGTTTGGTGACTATCAAGTTGCGCGATGGGTGGCATTCGTGTATATACTATTGTAGGTTTTGGCTGACCTCTGTGGACACTCCATTCAGGGGTAGCTCAGCATGATCAATATCAATGCGTAGGTTATGATGACACCAAGGTCTGGTGTGAGTGTTGATGATGATGAGGTTGATGGTGTTGGTGATAAGGTTGGTGAATGTCGATGATAACGAGGTTGATGGTGTTGGTGAATGTCGATGATAACGAGGTTGATGGTGTTGGTGATGAGGTTGGTGAATGTCGATGATAATGAGGTTGATGGTGTTGGTGATGAGGTTGGTGGCGTCAACACGAGTGTCCAGTGTGTTGACTGATGCTTGCTTAAGGTGATCCCTGGACCGCAGTGGACTACTGCCTTCGGTTCTATCTTGATCTGGACTGCTAACCTGCTATGGGCACCTTTGGATGTCAGGTAGTGGTGATACAACACACACACTATGATGAGGAGCAACCTTGATAGATTGCTGCTATGCTGACTGAAACTAATATATACTTATGCTGAAGTGATAACTAGTTATGGTGAGTAGAGTGGATGAGGATCCACTTGACCTTTGATGATGAGAAAACATGGTTATATACCTCTTCACAGCATCGCCAGCGATGCTGCTCCTGCTCTCTCTCCAGAGAGTACCTTCTTCATTGAGTACTGTTCAGGGGCCTCTCCTGCTTGGCACCCCTGTGCCTCTTGAGCTGTGTCAACTCCTTTGACACTGCTCCTCCTCCTTGCTATCCTGCTGCTTGTTTGGCACCCCTGTGCCTCCTGAGTGGTGTCGACTCCTTCGACACTGCTCCTCCTCCTCATGACCTGGTGTCGACTCCTTCGACTCTTGTCTCTCGAGCCCCTGAGTGGTAACCATCTGAGCTTGGTCCTCTTCATGGCTGTGCCTGCTCCTTGAGCTTGGTCCTCCTCATGGCTGTGCCTGGCCCTCCTCGCATATGGCTCAGTCCTCCTTTGCATGTGAGTCCATAGGAGTCCATGGTCTCCATGGAGACTGCACTACAACCATGCTCTCTACTGGTATTGACTAGATCTTTGATACCTGTGCTCCTTCCATATGAACCAGTGACCCTTCTGCTTCTTGAGCATCCAGGCCCATGACACAGACCAGGGATGAGTAGACAGTTCAAGTAAGTCATCCGCTCCCATTGATGTGTCTTTGGACTGAAGCTGAGCAGACTGACCATCCTGCCCATCTTGGTAGCAGAGAGCTTTCCTCCATTGGCAGTGGTGATGCTGATTGAGTTGTCCATATCATGCCACCCTTTTCCATGGTGTGAGGAGTTTACCATGACACAAGATGCTCCTGAGTCAAACACAAATGGCACAAACTGTGGGGGGAGTTCTATTGGTGCCAGCCTGAGTTCCATGAAGAAGGCTAAGACTGGCAATGCATCCTATTCCTCTTGCATGTCTGTAAGTGGCAATACAATACATGTGTTTGCCTGACCCTTTGGGGCAACCTTGATCTTACTCTCCTTCCATTGGGCATGTGCTATGTCATTTGGGCAGCAGTTGGCAGCATGCCCGATGTCACCACATGCCCAGCAATTGATGAGTGTGGTGGCTTGTAGTGCAATTAGTTCCGATTCCTCAGTCATGTTGCACATGCTTACTGGGGCACTGTTGGCAGCAAGCTCATAACATTGGCAAAGAACATGAGCAATGCTTTCAGTTGTTTCCTCTCTCCCATGGAGTTGCTCATGTAGAATGAAGACCGAATTAAAGAGGGCATTCTTATTGGATGGTAAAGCCCATTTAAGCATCCTATACCAGTGGTCTGGTGTCCAGGGTTTATGCAGGTATGCATGTAGCTCTGACATGAGTGCTTCCCATTTGACGAGGAAGTCATATGCATTGCTGCCGACTTGATCCCAGTGAATTGCATAAGCTGTGGCAAGGAGCTTGTATTCTCTAGTGGCCAAATGTCTCTTACATTTGTCCACTGCCCAGTCAAAGAGATTGACAGCAATCGGCACCAGCTGATCACCATGCTCTGCGAAGTATTCAGTATGTAGTTTATTCAAGAAACTATGCTTGACGATCAAGCTAAGCATTGAGTCAGTGTCCTCAAACATTATTGCCTTTTGATTGAGAACATTTTGTGCAAATGGGACAACAGACAGCATTGCAAAGATCCTGCATTGCCATGCATGTATTGAGACCATCCTTGGGTTGAGGAGATCTTGGTCATCCCACCTCATCTTGTCATTCAAGCCGGAGAGCACCTTCAGGTGGTGGTTTGTGAGTGGGTTGAGTTTGGGTGTGGGCCCTGGAGTGGCATCATGTCTGACTAACCACCTATTGGGTCCATCCGAGTCAAAAATGGGAGGATCACCTCCAACAGATGTGGGTGTGTCCATCTTCATTGGATAGTTGGTCTGCTCAGGAGCAAGTTCCAGCTGTCCTTCAATCTTGAGGTCAAGTATGTGGGATGCATCCCATTCTTTGTTTCTCACAAAGAGGTTCACTCTAGTTCACATTTGTTTACCAAGCTCAATTTGATTGGTGAATGGGCCAAGACTGTGTGTTCCTTTGTAGAGTGCACTAATGCACTCAACCAGGATAGTCAGGGGTGAGATTGTTTGCTCTTCATCATCATTGATAATGAATTTCAACAACTGGCCATCCTTTGGAGCATTGGGCATACCATAGACCTCATCTTCCATGACCTGATTGAAATGGTCTTGGACCATTCTAGGTAGTTGTGGCAGGAGGTTCTGCACAGTGGTGACAAAGGAGTTATAGATAGAATAGTTTACTTTAGACATACTGGTAGTGTATCAGCTGATTGGGCTCATAACCTGATAAAAGTAAAGAAGTTTTATGGTCCCAATACTGGTGATCAGGGATGGTCTAAGTACAATGTCACTACTTTGTTATAGCAGAAACATATACTCAATTGACCTACTTAGTATGTGGTGAGAACCTAGTGCTCTCTGTGAGATATATATACATACAAGTGGCACATGCTGACAGTGGGGGTACTCCTATCTAATGACCTACCATGACAATGAGCAGGGCCATGTTGCACCTGTTCTCTGGAGAGGTTGGCTCCACTCGATCTCCAATCAGATTTGTCATTTTTCCTGATCAGTCTTGCCTGATCTCCAATCAGATTGACTCATGTCATCGTGTTGGATTGCTAATCTTCGACAAAACATGGAACACAGCCAGGCAAAAAAAAAAAAAAAAAAAAAAAAAAAAAAAAGATTTTGCTCGAAAGCTCTGATCCTTGCTAACACACAAGAGCAAGGCTGTGCGGAGTTGTTCGATCTGCTGCCGACTCACAAGACTCCTTCTTCGAGGCGTTGGTTGAGCAGAAGGTCCCTAAGCAAGATCTGAGAAGAAAGAGAGAGAGAGCGTTTCGAGATGCAATTAGACCCTTCTTTTGCTGCACCTGCATAATTTCGATTTTGAATTTGAGCTGTTTCGCTGTTGAAAGCGCAAAATCCTTTGGAGAGAATCGGTGATCAGAAACCCCGATTGACCATATCGACACGACATCGGGTGAATGCTTTCGACCCTGTCGTTCGGCTTCTACCTTCATAGCGGATCTTCTTCGGAATCACGCAGCAAACGGTCGCCACACACTGTTGCACAATCATTGTGTCGTTCGGGATGTTCCATCATTGGCCGTGCACGGCTGTAGAGAGACAAAGCAGGATTCGTGTGATGTAACAAAGTGGCTTACAGGCCCGAACAAAGATGGTCTTGCAGCTGTCATAGGACCTTGGAGTGGGATGCCCCCTCGAGCTCTATGGCTTCATCCGTTCACCTTGAAGCTACTCTCTCTTCTTGCCCTTATTTCGTGTACCAGCTTGGCCGTGAGAAAGCCCTTTGACATTCGCTTGGAGCCTCGTCAATAGCACTCCCATGATCGCCGCCGCCACACCACAAACAGCATAGAACCCGAAGCGCTGAGGCCTGTTCATGATGTCCAGCAGAGGGTAGGGGAAATGCCCGTTCATCTTTGCACACTTTTCAGCCCATTGTCTGTTGACGTGAAAAGGATGCAGCATGGTCAATCCACGCGACCTTTGGCTCGCAAGCCCAACCCAGGCAACAGCTATGTCCACAATTGTATACTTACGAGTACGCGAATGTCGCAACTGCGGCCATGACTGGGATTGGAATCGACTTTGGCAACCTTCGACTGAACACGAAAAAGTCGATCAAGAGAAATACGCCCGGGAAAGCGTGCAAGCTTGCATCGATAGAGAATGGCACCGCAATCTTGTCTTCGCGGAGCACTTGACCAGGGTTGGCAGGATCCATGATCTTCCTCGGCTGCATCAACAGGTCCTTGTTGATCGCCACAATCGACCAGTACATGACCGTGATCAGAGTTTCAGCAGGCAGCGACACCGCCATCAGTACATCCTTGAGCCAGCAAAGCGCTGGATTGTTCAAACGGGTGGAAGCAGGCGGTTCTTGTCAGCAAAGGTTGAGATGCCAGTACCATTTGTTTCCAGTGTGACTCTCGTTGACCGACTCACCTTCTGGTCCGCCAACCAAGTCAAGAATTAGCGCCAGACCCATGGTGGTTGCGGTACCTACTAAGCCGCACATTGTCAGAAATTGCATGAAGCCTTTACAACAGCATTCAGAGCAGTGTCAAGATCGCTGGTGAGTCAGAACAGAACTTGGCGGTGAAATGATCGCTTTTGCCTTTGATGTCCGGACATACCTCCATACTCGTTCCCCATGCTGACGCCGAGCAAGTCAGGCAAGACGTCGAGAGACTTGAAGCCATAGATGCAAGATGAGATTGCTATCAAATGCCAGATCAACGCTGCTGGTTGCTTGTTCCTCGTCGCCATATTGCCGTGAAAGGTGTTGGTGGCTGAAAGGAGAGAGAACGATGGCGCTGGTTATCCCTCTGAACACACACAATTAGCCGTCAAGCGTCTGCTGCAATTGATGGTCAGTGCACTGGTCTCAGCCATATGATCAGCGTCTCTGTTCGAATATTGCTGTGCTACAGCCCTGAACTAGCGACGAGCTTGTTTGTTGCGGAAAGAAGATCCCGTCCCGCAAGCTACGTCATGCCTCAGCGCCCCAAGTGGAGAGAAGCCATGAAAGCCGCGGGAAACGGCAACACTTCACTTGGCGGCGGAACCGGAAATTCATTCTTAGGCAACAAATCCGCCCAAAATCCCGGCCTCTTGTGCTGTTCACAGGGTTAAACGAGCTTCCTCGCGCGACTCCCAACGGTCCTTCTTTGGCTAGACTGCTACGTTACGCGGGACTCTGCTTTGCACAATAGCATTCTTTATGTGATCATGTTGAGGCCGGTTAGAAGTCGAATCCGTCGAGAGGAAGGCAGCAAGTCTAGGAGACGGGCAGATAGCCTTGTCGCTTGCAGAGTCCGTAAGAGTAAGACTGGCTTGAAGGAGAGGTGCAACATGGCCAGATGTTCAGAAGCCGCAACCAGGAACGGCGCCTCGTGTTGTATTTAAGCGGTAATGGACACATCGAAGTTTGAAGCTCATCTTGTATTCAAATATGCTGTCAGAACACCAAGCGATTATTATCTGTGGCTTCTGGCTTGAGACATGAAACAATTGCTAAAACCAACTCGCAGGCGATCGAATTGAACTTGGCGGCTAGATGAATACAAAATGAAAAAGGGGTTAGAAGACGCAGAACGTCTGAATCCTTTTTCTAGACCTCTTTTTGCTACAGAATCAGCACTTCACGAATGCGATGGTGTTGGCTTTGATCATCGCACTTTGCCGAGACACTTCAGCACAGACCAACCTGTTTGCACTGTTCACCGCGTCCATTGCAAATCACGGCCGACAGACCTCATCTGAGCAAGGAATTGCTATCGTCCCCATGGAGAGCGAAGCGGGCCAGCGTGCTCTCTATCGGTCTCATACCCGCTCGGAACTTGTTTCCTCTCACGCCTTTCTCGCCGACAGCAAAGCTCCGCCGGTTTCGCATTGCAATGACGGACTCACGCTGTTCAAATCTTAAAGTGTTGCAGTCGTGCGGTATCACCTGTGCGACGTGACCAAGACGATGACTTGAATTAGCTACTGTATCGCTGTAATCGCTGCAAATCACAGACATGACCTCGTATCTGTCAAAAACAAATTGGCTTGTTGCATATTCCGAAAAGCTTGCTCATTACAGGATGCAGATAGGTCATGAGCGACTAGATTAGAACACCATGCAGAGTCGACCCTGCAGCTTCTTCGATTTGTAGTGCTCGGCCAACTCGTTGGCTTCCTCGACGCTGTAGGTCTTCTCGATGAACGTAGAGCAGCCGTTCTCAGCATGCAAGTTGATCATTTCTTGACACTGCTCTGGCGTGCAAATCAGACGGCCGCGGATGGTGTGCTCCTTGAAGTTCAAACCGAAAGAGTCGACCTCGAAAGGGCCGTCCGCAGGCAGACCAACATCGACGAGCTGGCCACCCTTTCGTAGGAACTGCTGGCTGAACCTGATCAAGCCACGGTTCTCCGTGTTGATCACAACTCGGTCGACGCCGGGATTGGTCTCGTAGAAGCTGCTCGATAGCTCTTCGATGCACTTGTTCTTTGCATCTTCCGTATCAATGACAAAAGTCTTGTCGGGTCTGAGGTTTTCGGGAGCCTTGTTGGCAAGCTCGATGCCCTCCTTTCGGTTGTCGATGGCAACAACCTTGCAGCCCATCGCCTTGGCGTATTGCACACCGAGATGGCCAAGACCGCCGATACCGACCATAGCGAGCCACTGGCCCTTCTCGGGTTGTACAGCCAACAAGGCACCGTAGACAGTGGCTCCTGCGCAGACGAGCGGGGCGGCTTGGTCGAAGGGGATGCTGTCGGGGATCTTGGAGACGACTCGAGCATCGGCCTTCATGTACTGAGAGAAGCCGCCGTTGAGTGTAAGGCCGAGCATTCCGGGAAGCTTGTCGCAAAGCTGCTGGCCCTGCTTACACGAGTCGCACTTGCCGCAGAAGCCGTAGGTGTTGATTGAGCCGACACGGTCGCCAACTTTGATGCCCGACTTCTCAGCGTCCGAGCCAGTCTTGACTACAGTACCGACGGGCTCATGCGAGCCAACGAGACCTGGCTTTGCACCCTGAGACTCGTAGACACCATCCATGACCTGCAAGTCCGTGTGGCAGTAACCGGCGGCGGCGATCTTGATGAGAACGTCGTTGGGTCCGAGATCAGTCGGGACATCGATGTCCTTGACTTCGTAGCCTTTCTTAAAGTCCTTGATGGTGGCAGCACGCATCTTATTGGGAATAGATTCGCTCGACATTCTGAAATAATGCTAGTGGCGCGGAGAAGGTGTGTGGGAAAGGGGTATGCTGTTGATGTTTGGATGTTGAGAGAACACTTTCAAAAGATCCCTGAACTTGTATGCCCTCTTATATCCAACATGGTCGCTTACGGAGCGACTCGTCCAGTTTGAGGGACTTGTCACTCGCTGCAGCAGGATTGTTGAAGGATCGTTGAAGAGGCGAAAGACCACCAGAGTGACAGTCGACTGAAACTTCACAGAAGACAACAAAGATGACAAGAAGGGTCTTTCGAATACGACACACGACATCAGGCTGATTCAGGACTTGTGACGTTGGAAAGCCGTTAGGATCTGCATGGCTTGTTCTCTCTTCCTTTGAACAGAACAATAGCTGCGTGTAGCTGCCTTTACACACAATCTGTCTTTGAAGACTCAGCTTCGTGTACAACTCGGACTGTACACTGCATCTTAACTGTAACACGGTGAGCAGGATAGCAACTGTCTTTCTTACCTTTGCAATTAGGGAGCGGTGCGAGCAAGGAAAGTGCGTTGGCTGACTGAAGTTGAGAACAACTGCGAGCACTGCGGAACAAGGTGCAGCAGCGGTGATTCAGCAAGACGTCACTGCAAATAGTGACTGAAGATTGCCGTTCCATGACGCCAATGTCGAATCGACAGCAAAGCTTGTCGCACGACATGTTTGATATTTTCTGTTTCTTTATAAATTGCGTGATAAAATGAAGGTGCCGAAAATGCCTGCCGATCAACCCTAACATCGGGAGGAAAAGGAAACAGATCGGCACAGTTCATGGACAGATGGTATCCTCAAACCTAGATGTTCCACAACTATTACGAGCAAGCAAGCAAGCAAGCAAGCAAGCAAGCAAGCAAGCAAGCATACTCTGCAGTCTTGATTCTCTCATGTACTTCAGTGCTTCGCTGTTTGACAAGGCTGAACTCCGCAATGTCACCGCAACCGTTTTCGTCATCAGCCGTCACCAGAAGCGAAAGACACAGCATGTGGAAAGTACAACATGGAAAAGTGAAATCTTTTGCACTCTTGGGATATCTTTGAGCTAATAGTACAGGTTGTTGCATCAGTGAAATGGCATGATTTCGTTACGGAATGTGAGACTGTAAAAATGAAGCAAGTTTAGCGTTCAGCGCTTAAGCACTGGTCTCCGCCTTGGATGCTTCCTTCTGGGCCTTCCACAGAGAGATCTTCTCCTTTCGCACCTTGAGCGACTTCTTGACATTGAAGCCACCGTCGAGGGTGGTGCGGACTTCCTCCAGCGAGAGCAGCGAAGTCTCGGGGTAAAGGAAATAGATGAGAACAAGGAAAACAAAGGTGAGAGCAGCGTAGAAACCGAAAGCGCCGGAAGGAGTAATGGCGTTCATGAGACTGAGGAAGGTGGACGAGATAACAATGTTACCGGACCAGTTGGCGGCGGTGGAGATGGAAGTGCCGATCATGCGAGTCTCGGTGGAGAAGAACTCGCCCTGCTGCCAAGGAACGTTGCCAAGACCAGTAGCGTAGGAGGCCACGTAGAGGACCATGAATACAAGCATTGCCGAGGTGAGCGAGGAAGGGTACGGATATCCGTCGGTGAAGCGCTGATTGGTGGGTTCCAGCATCTTGTAGAAGATTCCGGCAGTGCAGACGAGGAAGATGATGACGCATGGCATAGTGACGAGGAGGAGACGTCTACGTCCTACCCGATCTATGTATTTCAGCGGGATAAAGGTGAAGAGAAAATTGGTGCCCGAGACGATTAGGCCAGTTGCAGTGGCGTTGCGGAGTCCAGCTTTCTGGAAGAGCGAAGCACTGAAGTACATGAGAGAATTGAAGCCACAGAGTTGCTGTGCCACCAATGTCATGCTGGTGAGGAAGACGGCCCTTCGTGTGGGGATATCAGTCCAGACCTTGGCGATGCGGCGCGACAAGGGCGTGTTTTCGATCTGGATATGTTTTTTCAATACCCCGATTTTGGCGTCAATCTGGGCCGATGTGGCGTGAGGGTAGATGCGGGCGAGAGCACGGGTGGCTTCATCGTCTCTTTGCTGCTTGATGAGGTATCGAGGCGACTCGGACATGAAGAAGTGGATACCGAAGATCTGAATGATTGGTGGGATGGCACCGAGGGCGATGATCCAGCGCCAACCGGAGGAAACATTCTCGAAAGCAGCACCGATTGCATATGCAATGACCTGACCACCAGTGACGGCAATCGAGTTAAGACATGTGAGCCTTCCACGAGCCCGAGCGGGTGCTAACTCCTGTATGTAGACTGTCACTACCTGTGAAGCCGCTCCTACTCCAAAGCCGAGCACAAAGCGTCCAGGGATGAGAGTCCATTTGGCATGAGCAGCGGCCTGAACAAGAGCGCCGACGATGAACATGATGTCGCAGATGACGAGGGTCCATTTTCGGCCGATCTTGTCGGCAACGATACCAGCGCCGAGAGCCGAGATAATGGCGCCGACAGTAAGAGCTGAGGTGATAAATTCCTTGTCCGAATCGACGAGGGCTTTGTTGTCGAGATCGGTGCCTACCTGGACGAGGACAGAGCTGATGGCACCAGTGTCGTAACCGAAGAGGAGACCACCGATGGTAGCGAAGAAGGTGAGACCCCAGAGGTAGACACTGTTGTTCTCGCCCTGGCCGGCAGCCTCGATGGCAGCCTCATCGAGGACCTGGTCGAGCTCGGCAGCATCGATGACACCTTCGGTGGAGACGAGGGAGCGAGTTACGTTGAGCTGGCCAGTCTCGGCGAGACGCTTGGCATCGGCTGAATACTTTTCATCGGATTCGATGGAGCGAGGCTTCTCCTCAGCAGGAGAGAGTGCTGAGTCGCGGTCACTCATGTTGTAGTCGAACAGCTGATCAGGAGGATGGCTGAGTTTTGTTGTAGTGCTGGTGGTTGAGAGACGTAGTGTCAACCTAAGTATTTATGCAGTGAGAGGAAGCTTGACGTGGAAGGGGAAGAAGGGGAAGAAGGGGAAGAAGGGGAAGAAGGGGTATCGAGATAAATAGAAGCAACGGAAAGATCGAGATGGTGGAGATGGTGGGAGAAAGGGAAGAGAAGAGAAGATTCCATGCGAGGTGGAGGAAAAACCTAGCGAAGGAGGTTGTAAAATGCACGCGCATTATATGGTCGGGTTAGGGTTGGATTTGGGAGGAAAGGCCTCGAAACTGGTCGTGTGCAGCGAAGAATAGAGAGATTTCGGTCACTTAGCTACGACCAACGTCCAACGACCAACTACGAACTCGTTTGAGCTGGAATAGAGCGTTGCAGGCTCACAAGGCCCAACAGAGAGGGAGGAATATGGGCATGGAGCATTCTCGGCGAAATGTGCTGTTGCGATTTGAACGCCAGCGGAACTTTTTCCCAACTTTGGCCTTCTTGGCTCTTGGAGATGGATCGCAAGTGATTCGTTTACTCGAATGGTCTGATTGACTGCTATCGCTGTATCCAGCTTGCCTGTCCATGATGTTTCCCCACAGAGTCGAGCCGCAGTGACACGGCATCGCAAATATCTTTCGGCATTTGGCATGCTGGGCTAAAGACATGGCTTAACGAACTTTGCAGCTGCCGAGCTGATCACGGTCCGGGGAGGGGTCAAGGTCGGGGCATTTCTTGTCGAGCTCTGTCCGAGATCGGAGTGGTGACGGCAATTCTGATTGGCATGGTACAGCTGTACATGTCGGCCGTACGGTCACACGGAACGGACAAGGACCCGGTCACTTGAGAACGGTTTGGGCAGCGACCCCACAATCTGGGATCGATTCATCTGTCGCTTCAGGCTTCCTGTCAGTCCACGAGTTGCGGGGTGCGCTGCTTCATCTCCCCCACAGTCGATGTTGCCATGAACGGGCACATTGTCGAAGCGGTGCGGGGAACGTGGGGGGTTGAAGCTTGGAAATGGCCGTAATGGCGAAAGGAGGCCTGATTTCGGAGCTTGTTCGCCATCTCGATTTCGCCGACCGGGAAGGAGGCGGTCACCAATGTCGCCAAGAATTTGAAAAGGGAAAGTTTGTTAGAGTGCTGATGATCACAGATCGGGAAGAGTGAAAACCCGATCAGCATGATGGGCTTCGACGAAAAGTTGGTTGTGCGAGTGACACTTTGGCATCACGTGATCAGACATGAAGGCGTCCGCGTCTGGGCTAGGTTGGTTGGTGTTAGGTTTCTACATTTTCGGTTTTGTTTCGTGCGATTGAGTCGAGAGGGGTTAAGAATGGCCGGCAAATAATGAGATTGTCGAGGCACTTTGACTGAACTGCCGACCTCTGACTGAACTGCCGGACCTGCTTTTTGTAACTCGCTCCCCACCTTTTCTGCGTCGGTGTCTCACTTGACCGCACCTTCCGGACAATCGCATCTGCTACTTTCAATCCATCATCATCATCATCATCATCCGCGCACCCGACCTGCATCAACCAGCTGCCCTTTCCTCTCTTATCTCCCACTTGCTTCTTGCATCTCATCATCAGCTTCGAAGGCCGTTCAGCTTGCATCTAAGACCTCGTATACCCTCACGCTCAATACCGGCGCCTGAACAAGAACCATATCTCGCTGGTCCCTGCCCTGTCGATGATAAAGTCCATCCTGATCAACTAAGGACGACAGCTTCGGACCTCTTCTTCGTAGCTTCTTTCCGTTTCTAGCTCGCTGAGCTAGCCACCACGCCAATCTGTCGTCGCCTCGCTCCATACCCTCGTCCTCTCGTTCGCCGCGGCTCGACGCAAGTCAACGCGCTCAGCGCAGCCTATCTCCTTCTGCACTCAGCACATCACCCACCACTAGAAGGTCTTCGTACGGCAGTCAGCTACTTTCGGTCCCGGGCTCGGCGTCCGGCGAGGCCGATGGTCTCTCATCGCCAACCGGCTTCTCTCCCGACACCTCACGTCATCGTCGAGGCTCTCGCTCTTCCATTCTCGCCTCAGCCTCCGATGCGACAGGTGCCAGCGCCACATCGGACAGAGAGTCGATCCGCTCTGTTGGCAGCAGCTCGCACGTTGGTTCTTCCATTCCAAGACAGCGCTCACATCGAGCATCTCGAAATGAGGAAAGGGAGCGAAATGCTTCGCCAGTCTCCTTCTACTCTGTTTCCGAGGCTCCTCTGACCTCGCCTCGGAGGTCACATCAGGGCAGCATGCAGATCAATTCCACTCGTGCTTCTTTCAACGAAGCTGGTTCAACATCCGCCCTTGGCTCACCACAAGGCGCCTCTAAGCACAACGGTCTGTCCGCTGCTCATTCTTCCAAAGCGGCAGCTCCAACATCTCCCAACACCATGCCAGCCACATCCCACCGCGGAACTACTGATAGGCGCAACGTCACCAATCCTACATCTGCGCACCGTTCAGCGTCTGCTCAACATCGCAGATCTGGTCAAGAGCCCCAAGTGCCTACCTTGATGCCGTCTCTGTCATCCTATTCGTCGCAGTCCATCCTGGCATCCCAGAATCAGCCTCCCCTGCAGAATGATCGAGCGCCTTCAGCTTCTCGCTACGAGCCAGTACCCTCCTCGGCTGCGTCTGTTGTCTCGCAGCCTAGATCCATCTCCAGCTCCAGATCTGTTGCCAGCTTTGGGCATCTCGATCCAGAAACAGCCGCACGGCCACGATCGAAAAGCAGCGCCAGTTCTTCCAAACCAAGCAAGAGCCCAGCGCCCACACAGTCTGCTTCTTCATCTGGAGATATTGCCAGTGCTGCCAACATGCCTCCACCCACAGGCCAACCCACAAAGGCCCAGCCAAACGCGTCGGCGCCCACAAAGCTCAGCTTAAGGTCCCGCATCTTTGGTCTCAAGAACGATAAAGCTGCATCCAATTCTCCTTCCTCCGCCGATTCGGGCAATGAGACCCCGTCGCCAAAGTCTGCTCACTTTCCTCCTTCTCTTCGCTCCGAGCGTTCCCACAGCGATCATCACAGCGATACCCACTCTGTTGAGCAAGGCTTGCCATCTCCAGGTTTTGCAGCCTCCCATTCTGGGCACGATTGTGACGACGCCAGCGAGACAGGTGATGCCGCCGCCACCGATCCGCGTTCCGATGCCACACGCAAATCTAGCGGAGCCTCCAGCTTTCTCCGGAAAACCATCCGCTTCAAGGACAAGTCGGCCTTTCTCAAGACTCGCCCTTCTGTCTCCTCGATGACATCCGAATCTGCAGCTTCCACATCAGCTTCCGTGCCTCCGTCTCCTGCTGATCCGCCGAGCGGCTCCGACGTGGAGGTTTCCACCAGGAAAGTGCCCGTCTACAAGCAGGTCAGCGGCCGCAGGGGGCCACAGTACCATGATGCAAGCGGCGATCAGACGCTTCTCGTCCCTCGTGCTTCAACGGATCGTCTGCGCAACAGCGCGCCCAACGCCCTTCTACCTCCAGTCACTGAACGCGACCTCAAAGGCCAAGCCAATCTCTTACAGTCAAACTCTAGTCTTGGTCTGAAGCAGGAGCCTGCAAGGGGGAGCAGCTCGTCATCCTCTCAATCAAAAACGAATGGATCTCTTGCTGGTGCGGAAACTGCTAGTGTGCCGCGTCCGCCCTCATCTCGGTCAGGCGGTCATGGCGCCAGAACTCACATCCCGAGAAGCAGCAGTCTTCACGATTCTGTTGGACGTGGAAGCAAACTCGGCATTGTACCTCCCTCCAAAACATCGGTCGACCGATCTGTCTCGTCACCGATGCTCTCCCCCGAGGTGCCAGACTCACCCCGCAGACGACCTCGTTCCAGTTCCGCAAACTCTTTTGTACCTCAGATCCAGCCCAGGACCACCAGTTCGACTTTGCAAGGCTCGGTGCGAAGGCCTGTCACCGTACAGGGCAGTCCCTCGTTCAGCCCATCTCCGTATGCAAGTGGATCCCCCGCAAACCGTGTGGCACATCGGCTAAGCAGAGCCAAGACGGCTGACAGCGGTCATGCCTATTCCGGCTCTTTATCTAGCCTCAGAGATATTCTAATGGTAGCACATACCATCTCGGAGGAGGGCGCCGTCTACAACACGCCAGAAAACAAAAACACGCCACGTTTCGAGGCAAACAGAATTCCGTCTGCTGCTACATCATCAAAATTTGGAGCTTCGCCTGGCGAATCCAAGCGGCCCGGCCTTCCACCGAAGAACCCCCTTCGCAAGCAGAGGCCATCTGGAGTCAGTGTCAACAACACACCTTTGGTGTCAGGCGATTCACCATCCTCGGCCCACACGACAGGTGTAGTTCACGGCCCTGCCATGAGCAAGCCGGATGAACGACTTTTGAGCCCAGTGGCTCGAAATAGAGACTTGATCGGACCACTGTCACCCTCAAGCTCAACGCCGTCCCTTGCTGAGTACAGGAGCCCCACTTCGGAGCCGGGCACACTCCCGTCCACAGAGAGGCACACAGAGAGGCACACTGCGGATGACGACTTCCGCTCGCGTGAAATCGCCAGGCAACATGGTGCACAGCTTGGACAGATCCCATCTCGCTCGCCCGGAGTGTCTCACAGCACTCACAGTGGGTCATCATCGCCTGCGCATTCGACCTTTGCCTCTGCGCAGCAACTCTCCAGAGCACCCTCGAGCGAGTCGACGGCTGGCTGGGCTTTGAGAAGGCATGAACGTGCTGCAAGCGATGCCACCAGTTCCATGGCCGACCTTCGATCTGTCGTTGAGGCTGCAGCTTCCACGCCCTCGCTCCATTCAGAGACATCGTCTGGAACGCGCAAGAAGAAGGATGGAACAGGCAGCAAGATGTTTGCCTTTGCGCGCGACTTCTCCAATCGTGAAGGAAGCGAAACAAACGCAACGATGTCGAGCTCAGCCACCTTCCGTCTCGGTCGCAGCAGTAAATCAAAGAAAGGTGACGCAACCGTCCGCCCCGTCATTCGCAGACTGTATGACGGACCTTTGGAAGGCGAAGCTGCCGCGCTTGCTTTAAGACAGGCTGTCGATGCTCATCAATCGCCACTGCAATTCACAAACGGAGTCAGTCCCCGATCTTCTGTTGCTGACCTCAGTGCCGCAGCAGCCATGAGCCCCCGCACTCCCGGCGGTTACAGCTCGGCTACGGTGGGAGGTCGACAGCCCAGCTCCGCGAGCCTCGTTCGTTCAGCATCGTCTACAGGAAGCACAGCAAGAGATATGATGACACCTGCTTCTACCCACCTATTGACGCCTCAGATAGCAAGGAATGGCAGCGGCGTCTTCCTCGCTCGAAGTCCTAACTTTGTCAAGCCGAGCTGGTCCATCCCACAGGAGAATCTGTCACAAGAGCAGAAGCGACTCGTAAAGCGATGGTATACTCTGCGCGAGCTTCTCGAGACTGAAAGAGCGTATGCGTCTGACCTTGCAGTCGCTCGAGACATCTACCTCGCAAGAGCCAAGCTGAGAGCTGGAATCACGGCACCGCTCTCCCCTTTGAGCGTGCGATCGGCAAGCATCTTCTCGCAGCTTGCCTCCCCCGAGCCGTCGACTCACAGCAGGTCCTCGCAACCGTATTTGCAACAGCGAGGAACTACGAGCACCCTCAGCTCTGGGCCGAGCTTGCCCTCAGGCAAAGGCGCTCTACCTCAGCGCACGCTATTTCGCAATGCATCCGGAGATGCCACAGCTATTTCTGCGCTAGCTAATCCCAACCAGGTCAACCAGACTGCATCTTCGGCCTCGCTCACGTCCAGCAACCCGAGCAACCGCTCTTCAATGTACACTGTGTCGTCGCAGAGCTCGCAGACCTCGGATGCCAGTCACTTTGCACTTTCCGGACATCCGACCTCCTCAGGAGGCTTTTCTACGTCGTTCTCGATCGACGGCAAGCGTCTGTCTCCCGCGACAGGAGTTAAACTCACTCCAGGCCCATCAATGGTCCAGCCAAGTCCAGCAATCTCGCCGTATTCTTCGACGCCTGCGACACCGTCCATCTCGAGCCCATCGGAGGTGATGTCGCCTGGTCTCATCGGTTCGAACGAAGGAACCACCACCAGCACGCCAGATGCTCCTTTCAGTGCCAGCGATGTCCGCATCGTGTTTGCTCAGCTCGAGTCTTGTGCCGCCTTTGCAGACGAGATGGTCGCCATCCTCGAAAGTGCTGTCGGCAAGATGTGCAGCGGCACGGCTGAAGAAGCGTGCCAGCTGCTTGCTCAGGGTGAAGTTCGTGAAGAGTCAGAGACGGATCGAGTCGGACAGGCCTTCCTCAAACTCATGCCAAGGATTGAACAAGTCTACTCAGCATATTGCTCGCGACACGAGGTTTCCATGTCGAAGTTGCAGGAGCTTTTGAGCACTCAGCCCAAAGTCGCAGCGTTTCTTGCCGAATGCACACAGGCTGCGCGGGCGTACACGAATGCATGGGACCTGTCTTCATTACTCATCAAGCCAGTGCAGCGCGTGCTCAAGTACCCACTTTTGCTATCGCAGATCCTGGCGTCTACCAGCAGCAAGCATCCGGACATGGGAAGCCTCTCCGCGGCGTCGGTCGAGATTCAGAAAGTAGCCGACAACATCAACGAGGTCAAGAAGCGCAAAGATCTTGTGGAGCAAATCGTGAGCGGCAAGACCGCGAAACGAACAACCGGCCAACGCATGCAGCACGGAGCGACCAAGAAGCTTCTACGTCGTCAAGAGAAGGTCAAAAAGCTTGTTCTCGGACCGACAGAAGATATCCTGGCCGACGAAGGGCAGTACAAAGCAATGGTGACACAGTTCCGTCAGCTGGAGAAGGCGACAACTACATTCTCCAGACGATGCACTGCATGGTCCTTAAGCGTCAAGGAAGCTCACGTGGCGCAACTGAAGCTGTTGGACCAGTGGTGCCGCGCATACGCTGTTGACGAGATGGCTGCTGGTACAGAGGCCGAGACTCGCCTCCGTGCGTTCATGCATCTGATTGAACGAACCTTCCTGAGCGACTACTGGTCGCAGCTGGACTCAGAGATCCGTACCAGTCTCACGCCTGCGGTGCAAAGAATTGCTGCACTCTTCATCCTCCCTCAGTCCGTCATCGCAAAGCGCAATGACAGAGAACCGGACTACACACGCTACAGAGCCGAGATCACACGCGGCGGTGTCAAGGCAGCCGACAAGAAGCTCACCGAGAGTGCCAATGCTTTCATTGCCCTCCACACTCAGCTGATGAACGAACTTCCTCAGTTCAACTACGGCATCCAAACGCTCCTCGACCTCTGCATTGAGTCGCTCTCTCGCACGCAAGCTTCTTACCACCTTCGCGTGCATCGTTCGCTCATCAGCTTCTGGCAGAACTTTGGACCTGAAGGCAACTCCGACATCGCTCACAACGAAGAGACGGATGAAAAGTCAATGCGCCACTTGAATCCGGTCAAGATCTTCTGGCCTTTGCATAGCAATGTAGCTGGCTATGCTGAGTCGTTAGGGATCGTTACGGGCATCGTTGTGGACGATCGTTCGCGTTCGGCTTCGATGAGCACAGATAGCGATTTTCTGGCCGTTGGCAACTTGAGTCCTGTCAGCAACAACCACTTTTCGCCATTGCAGTCGACCAGGGCGTTGCCGGATTCGGAATTCGCATCCAAGGTGCCGGACGCTTCGAGCATGAGCCAGCAGATAGAGTCGGTTACAGCTGCTGGCTCGGAAGAGCTGCTGGACCCCGTCAGTGCACGAACGAGTCCTTTCACGACACCGCCTCTAGGGTCACGTCGACCGTCGTTCCCTCCGCAATCGCACCAACAGCACCTGCTTGGATCCCCAGCACCGATCGACTCCTCGCTGCCATCGGGAAGCGGACCTCCACCGCTGCGATCCCAGAAATCAAGTGGTCTGATTGTACTCCTGCGTTCAGTGGGAAGCAGTTCAGCAATAAGCAGTGTCGCCGGATCGCGCAAGAACTCACAATCGACCGACCATACTGCCATGGAGAGCTTTGTTGATGGTTTAGAAGATTCCAACCCGCCTACGCCCGTTAGCAAGGACACGCCGTTGATGAACAGGAGAAACAGCAACAGTGAAGATGCGCCAGCTCCAACACTACCTGCCCTCAGCTTCAACTCCGGATTCTTCGGTCAGTCCGATGCGGTGTTCACTTTTGCTTCCGCGTCTGTTCAGTCGCAGGTTAAGACCGGGCAGGAGACAAAGAGCGTTCACCCACCAACTTCCATCGCGGAAAGCGTTGTAGCAGGAGAAGATAGAACAGTCGACGCACTCAAGCGAACAAGCAAGCCCACCACCAACTTTACCCCTCCCCTTTCGCAGGCAGCGTTCGGGACAATGGCAGCAGTAGCCGATAGTCCCACCACTACTGAAGGTCGGGGAATGAAGAACGGGTTCCCTTTTGTCCAGTACAGCGTAGGCGATCTGTTCCGCGTCACGGACGCACATGAAGGAGGTCTGCTGCTCTTTGGCCATTCTGAACACGGTATCACTGGTTGGGTTGAGAGGGAGAACTTTGTGCCCCTTTCCTAGACACTCAGCACTCACGCACGGAATGGACATTCGCATTCGCATACTCAGTTTCACGCCTGTCGTTTGTGATTTCTCTATTGATTCCCAGCTGAAACTACGGATTTTCGAGAGCGGTCTTGACCAGTTCGAAAGTGGTGAATGTAGCAGCGGCAGCAGGGATTGCTCTGAGCAATGTTGGGCTTAAACCTACTGTGAATGCCCGCAATCCTTCTTTGCTTGCAATGCTTTTTGCTTCTTCTGAAACGTACTTCAATCCTAGCACTCCACCGAAACCGCGAGCCAGAGGCTTGTCACTGAGCTGGATCCTACTTTTGATCACGTCCAACGGATAGCAGGCCAACCAGTTGCAAATGCCGCCTATGCTTCCTGATGCCATCAGCGCCCAAATCGGCAGTGTTGTTCCACCCTGCGTGCTCGAAGAGGGTAGCTTACTGCGTAACACCGACTTGGAGACCTCAAAGCCAGTGTAGAAGCCAGCATAGGCAGGAACTTCCCTCATCACTGTGACCCAGAATCCCCTCATAACTCCAGTTTTTACTCCAAACTGCGAGTAGACCTCGCTTGCAACCTGAGAGAGCTTCTTCGCATTCCCGGCATGCACTGGAGAAGAAGGAGAGGTGATTTGAGCCTGCATTCTGATCTTGAACATTTCCACGGGACTACTGAGTATTGAATTTATTCCTCCTGCGATCGCACCTGCTGCTGCTACCTGACCAGTGCTCAATCGTTGTGTTTCTGGCGAGATGAATCGTTTTGCGGCTTGAAAAGCGGTGAAGAGAAGGGCGTTCTGTGCGGCAATTCCGGCGAGTGGAGATGCCATCCCTTTGTACAGAGCTAAGATTCCTTCTTGTTTGACAGTTGTCGTTAGGACTTGCATCGGACCGGAGAATGCGCCGGGAGGAGCGATCTGTGAGCGCACTTTGACTGTATCGAGTGGTTGGCCGATGATGACTTGCGCTGCTCCGGCTAGTGATCCCGCAACCAGGTCAGTGATGGGTAGTGTAAATGGTGGCCATGGTTCGACGTCTGAGTTTGGTGATGAAGGCATCTCTGCAGGGGCCCAGGATGTGTGTCGGAGATGGTGTTCAAGGATTGAGAAGAAAACCATCATCAAGGTTGAGCTTTAGGCAGTCGGCTGCAGCGGCATCTGTGCAAGCACCTCATTTCGCCTACGCACGAATAATGGCCTTGCTCGCAACCATGAAACACAAGTCGTGTGGTTCGTAAGTGCTCAAGCAATCTTCCGATTCTTCTTAGCCTCGACACCCAGTCCAGCTTTCTTTCAGAAGTGCTCGATCGTGACGGTTCTCACACCCAGGCATGCATTCGTAGTACCACCTCTGTCTCTTATTGGCAATGCAAGTCCGATTGAAATGTTGAATGATACAAAAAGAGTGGAAAGGAGCTAGAATACATGTAATAGGGTCTAATGTTGAAGACGGGCAGAAAGCTGTAAAGTGTTGTCATTCCGTGGGTATGAAGCATCGCTCGTCGATGTGAGAGAAGCTGGGAGAAGAGTCAGAATGTAGTGTCCCTGGTGTTCGAGTGGCTTGTGCGGCTCAAGCCCGATCAGTGTGCCCAGAAATCAGACTCGTCGTCGTTCGGGTCGACCAGATCAGCAGCGTGGACTTCAGCTGGGTGGTTGCGGGCATCCGAGATATCAACCGATGCCATCGTGCCGTGAGTATGCTGTCTCTGTTGACTTGCAAGCGACTGAGAGTTGGTCGAGCCCTCATTACGGGTCGACGACGGTGACTGCGCGTAGAGCGGCCGTTGCTGGGTACCAGTGCCGCTACTGGGATGAATGGTATCGTACTGAGGGGGAAGCTCCATGAGTCGGCCCGTGCCAAAGTTGATCAGTTCATCGCCATTGTCATTGTCATCGAGCAAGAGGCCAGCGTCGGCATGTTGAACGAGGCGCGGTTGCGAGCCATTGTTGCCATGCGTGTTGTTGTCCGAGATCTCAGCCCAGCCGTTTCCTCGCGGAGTGGCCGCTTGACTTCGCGCAGGACTGAAGGGAAAGGAGCGATCAAGGCCACTGGTGGGCGAAGTGTTGCTGGCCAGAAGATCCTGGTAAGCAGCTTGAGAAGCTGCATCTGGGCGATACGTTGGACCCGGTCCGACACGATTGGACTTGGTGGAAGCGCCGTCTGAGCTGACCGCACGAGAAGGGGCAGGTGGGGCACCATTGCGATGATGAGGCGGGTCGTCGGAATAGAATCCAAAGTTGCGAGGATTTGAATCGGTCGGCGACAAGCCATCTCGAGATTCATTAGAGAAAGTGCCCATGGTCATAGAGCGAGCGTGATTGTTACTGCCGCCACGGAGACCATAAGAGTAGCGATGAGCTTCTGAGGGAGAAACGCCAGGAAGGCCTCCAGAGGCCGTGCTCATCAACGCATAGTTGTCAGGGTCCCCACCTTGACCACCACAAGGCTCAAATGCGCTCGAGGTCCAGCTGCGAAGCGAAGCACGTGTAGAAGGGGCGTGGGTGAGAGGTCGGCAAGTGAGGGAAGTGGGGTCGTAGTTGCTAACGCCAGAAACACTGTTTCGGTCCGGCCCTCGGCGTGAGCTGGCAGAGGTGGAGTCGTGTCGAGTCACGCTACGGCCAAAGACACCGGGGGCAATGGGCATGTTGGGATCAGCACTGAAAGGCGTGGATGGATCGTTGTTGGGCAGATCCCAAGCCTTGATGTTATGCTTTCGTTTCTGATGTCTTCGAAAACAGAGCCAGCCAAGAGCCACGCCGGCTAATCCAACGGTCACCAAAATGACAACCATCAGGATGAGGTATTTGCCAGAGGATAGTGGGCCGCCATTCTTGCCATGAACGTAACGACCAGCTTTGATGGTCTCTATGACGGTGACGGTAGCAACGATGCCGCCATTGGTAGTCAAGGAGGCGATAGTGGATGTTGCGTCAGGGAAGATTGTCGCAGGCGATGCAGTTGTGGTAGGAAGGAAGAGACGGTGCTCGTAGTTGGCTTCGGCGATACAGGCATTGCTAAAGTATTCATTGAGTGCGACAATGTTGAGTCGTGAGCTTCCGGCGTTGCCGCCAAGGGCACGGCTGTCGCCCAAGGTCATGATGAAGCGTGTGCCTCCCTCCATGGCGACTTTCCAGGACATATTGCTGTACACATTCGCCGGGGCAGGGACGTAGATGGGCGGAGCCTGTTCGGGCAAGAAGATGGCAGTGACGGGAGGAGCCCAGCTTCCGTTCCAAAAGATGTTGTAATCCTGGCACATGGATGCGGCACGTTCGGTATAGAAGAACCAGGTGGCGTCATACTGGAAAGGAGGACAAGTGGCGCCACTGTTAGGGTTGCTGACTTGAAGAAAGCTGGACGAATTGGACATGAGACCGGTGGAGTCGGTGACGGACACGATCAAGGATGGGTTGGTGGTGTCACCAGTGAAGGCCGGGACGGGATACTGGTATAGCCAGAGATCCTTGGTAGCATGGTCATAGTTGGCGGGCAGATTGACGGTGACGGGCCAGTAATCTTCGATGCTGATCATGACGGTGTAAGGCGGTGTGCCGCGGCTTGGGTCGAAGGTGATGTTCATGTATTCACACATGACGGGTTGGGAGATCTCTACATTGACGTTGTGATTGGGGGTTCCACTAGCAGAGTTTGAACCGGCTACAGCAAGCTGTTTGTGACTGTCCACGCCTGCGGCGGGAGGCGGAGCGGTGGTGGGCAGAGCGGTGGTGGGCAGAGCAGTGTAGGTTGTCTGTGAAGGAGCGGAGGAGTTGCTATTCTGCGGAAGAAATGTCAGAGCAGGGATCGATGAGGATGCGACAGTGCTGATGAGGGTGAGCAGCATGAGAGCGATGAAGGGGAAGAGCAAAAGGGGGCTTCTTGGCCTTTGCTTGGGTGCAATGACCGAGCAGAGTTGAACACCACCGGCGAGGGTAATGTTGTGTGATGAAGACAGGGCACCTTGCTCGTCATTGAGGGAAGACTGGATTGCAATCGGGGACAAGGAAGGTTGCTGTGCAATGCCAGATCTCGTCATAGCAACTTGTGCGCGACTCGGCGTCCGAGTAGATGAGACAGGGGAATATGACGACCGGCTCGAGCTGGCTGCGTTGAGACCGCAGCCGCACTGGCAGTGCTGGTCGCGCATTGCGGGTGTGAAAGTGGACTGAAACGAGAGCAGCACTTGATGTTGGCCCTCGAAAGCAGGATGTAGGACTGCGCGTATGTCAGTGGATCAGCATTCGCGTTGGACTGGCTGATCTGTGATTAGAGTGAATCGAGAATGAGTCCTGGGCGCGTGATGAAGGAGAGGTGTCGACGATGGAGGAGAGTAGTGTTCGATGGGCGGTCGGGACGAGAATGCCGGTAGCCACAAGGTCGATCGTAGCGCTTAGAAGACAAACGTTTGGTTGTGCTGATGCGACGATGGCTTGGTTGCACTGGTCGGAGGGTTGGAGATGATGGGGCAAGTAGTGCTTGGTAGCTGGTTGGAGTCGGGTAGAAACGAATGGTGGTGGCTACCAGCAAGGTTTCGATGCAGTTTGCTGAAGAGAGCGCGCGGTATATCGAAAAGAGACAGGGAGAGAGGAGTTGGGAAGGAGAGGGGGAAAGAGAGGCAGCCAAGATCGATGGCAGAAAAGGAGCAGAAGAGCAGGAGGGCAGGAGGGCAGGAGGGGAGGGGGAAGCAACTTACTTTCTGCTTCTCGTATAGCAAGACGACATTTGGGTGGAAAGTTCGATAGGAGAGACAGCAAAAGGGTTTTCTGTTACAGCGACAAGAGCAGAACCAAGCTTGCAGATCAACGAAACTTGATGCAACAATGCCAAAGTGGATTCTGGTCGACGGTCTGCTGCCTGCTGATTTGGATGGTGGGTAGCTTTGAGTCTCTTCTGTCGTCGCTATTGTTGCCATGTCGATCTCACAAAGCAAGGCTTCTGGAGGTCAAGCAAACAAGGCTCGGTGCGATTGCAAGTCGGGAGAGCTAGGAGTCAACGTTTTTCTCTCTCTGTCAGATCTTGATTACGAGGCGCCTGTAGACCTCGCTTTCACTGCACAGGCCTTGCTGCCTCGATGCTGATCACGCCGACATATCTGCATCAGCAGACTCGAGGCTGAAGCTTTGCTTGCCACCCCACGGGCACAAGCGACACTGCCTTGCTCAACCCACGTTGGAGTACAATGGCAAAGCGAGTTAAGCGACATTGCATTACTAGCGCCACTTGCTTGTCTTCTCCTGTTAGGCTAGTCAGACCTGGTGCCAACCCGAAGGTCCCCAGCGGAAGCCTACTATACGCTGCCGTCCAACTTGGACAGCATCGAGCAGATGTGAGTTTACTTGTTCGACTCGGCCTTTCCAGCGGTAGGTTGAGTCTGATATTATTGGACCGCATTCTCACCGTCTCTGCGTGCTTGTTTGTGGTGAGTCGTGCTGGTGTCTTGGCCCTCTTTTCATTCAGGCAAGGGTAGGATGCCAATGCAGCAATCTGTCTCATCTCAGCTCGCCAAGCAAAGGTTGCATGTCAAGACAAGCTCAAGAATCAATGTCTATCAACAGCTAACACATGGAGCGTGGAAGCGATCTTGATCATCCCGCCTCCTGGACCAATCCTTTTGATCAGTCTCAATCCTTGCTGCAATACTTTATCTGACACAGACATGGCATCCAGACGTGTAAAGGTGGCAAGTTGCTGCGATTGTGTGTGAGTAAGAGACATTGAGAGAGCAGTGAGAGGCAAGAAGGATGGTGAAAGAGAGCGATTGATGCGAAAGAGTACAAATAAAAAGGGTTTCCATTAAAACAAGTGTAGAAAGTTAAAGAGTGCAAGAGATTTGTATTGATGGTGCACCGATGTGATGGCTGTCGACGACGAACAAACGAGCGCAGTGCGACTTGAGCCGCTGCTATGCCGGGCGGAGAGGATGATGCAAGGAGGAAATTGATAGATCGCCATGTGTCGGAGCGACAGAGTCGCAGGCAGGTCCGTTGTCACTGGTGCTCTTCTGCTTGCCCGGCGTGCTCAAGGAGAAAGCCTGGAGGCGCTCTGCTGTCTGTGCTGGATGAACTTTGCAATCTTGATTGCGAGAGTGGGATAGGAAACTATCCTGAACCTCCAACGGTGTGGAGGATTGTTGCACTACAAGATACCACTATCCTTGAGCGCGTTGGTCAAAATGGTCTCCTTGACGGCTGCAAATACGAGACGAATGTTGCTGGTATCGGTGGCCTGCGTCAAATGCGGGTAGATGCTGAGCCGCGCCCTGTTGGTCTGTGTAAATCTCCAAAGAATGTACTTTGCAGCCTTGTTGATGTCCGGACCGCCGCTGTATTCGGGAAAGTACTTGGATAGCGGTTGCTTTGGAATTTTTTGCTTGAAGATGTCGATCTTGTTGAGAAAGAGAATCACCGAGGTTCGCAGGAACCATCGACTGTTGACGACCGACTCGAACAAGACGAGTGACTCGGCCATTCGGTTTTGGCCGCTCTCTTCGAGTAGCACCTGATCGTACTCGCTTAGCGCGACGCAAAAGATGATCGAGGTGACCGCTTCGAAGCAGTGGATCCACTTTTTGCGCTCTGAACGTTGACCTCCAACATCAAAGAGGTGTATTGAGAGCTGGCCCATGTTGAAGCGAGTCTCGCTGATGCCTGTTGTTTTGGAACGTGCGCGAAGAACGTCGTTTTCGTCTGGAACGTAGTCTGCTTGACCTATGCGATTGACATTGTCAAAAAAGTAGGCGGCACTGTCCATGAGGTAGAATTCGCTGCTGCGTTCCATGATAGCTGGAATGATGGGATCCTTCCATAGCGAATCGACCTTTCTTGCCATAGGATGATCGAGCGTCGCTCCTGGATCGGCATCTACTCTATATTGCAAGATGACATCCACATTTTCACGGTTTTCCGGCATCTCTGGCTCCATCTTGAACTTTCGCAAGGCGAGCACGATGGCTTGTGCTGAGTCGACTAGATTCTTGATGACGGTAAGACGATATAGCAAGAGCTCGTCCTTGGAGTAACCATTCTGATGAATAATCTTCATCTGCTTGACAATCGTTGACTTGCCCGACTCGCCGGAACCTAAGAGGAGGATCTTGCACTCTTTCTTGAACTGTCGACTATCCTGTTCGATCTGCTTGTCAATCGCCACGCTCCGGTCCTTGGCCTCCTTCTGATCTGAGGAAGAAAGGCAATTGCCCATTTTGCTATCTATTCAAACTCGATCCAGTCGGTAAAGGGAGATTTCGATCTTTGCGCTTTGCGACGAGCGCCAACTGCAGCGCCGGACGGGCGGTCAGAGGTGACTGTTACGCAAGTCCGATGCCAAGGGGCACAGCGTGATGATCGTTAGGTGCGGAATGCTCTGATGCAGTGCATCAAGGCTTGGCAAAGCTAGCGCTGAGGAAGAAAGAGAGAGAGAGAGAGAGAGAGAGAGGGTCGCTGTTCCCTTGCCGAAGGAGGGCAGCGCTGTTCTCTTTGGGCGAGTTGCCAGCCGGTCTGCTTCTCGATCCCTGAAAGGGCAAGGAAAGATGTATGGCCCGCCAAAGTCTCCCTCTCGAGAGAGAGTAACTCGCAACGCTAAAGCTGGAGCCGGTGAGGATTCGAGCCTGAAAGACAGCGAAAGCTCAGCTGCGGATCAGCCGACTTGGACCTCAGCTGGATCGATCGAGAGAGACTTGGATCCTTCTCTGCCGTCTAGAGGTGACGCGAAGCCGGGCAGTCCGGAGATAAGGCGATAATGCTGGCAAGAGTGATACTAGGATTGAGCAGCAGTGGTCAGCGGATCGGAACGGCCGAAGGAGTGTCTGCCCGCAAGTCGAAAGCTGAATGGCGTGAGAAAGAGCTGAGCGTGACAGCAGAGGGTTGAGCGCCTCCTGTGATTTAGCCAATCACACACCAAAGACAGTAGCTTTGCTGAAGAGCGAGCGAGACGAGATCCAACCGGAAGAGAATCACCGTGTGTTGAGAAAAGCGCGGAACAGGCGGATGAAAGCCGAAAGCGATCCAAGCTGAAACACCGAGACGCTAGATTGTCGGATAAACCAAGGAGGACGAGATGAATGAAGATGATAACGGAAGAGCCGACAATGACGACGGTAATGACAATAATATTGAGGAGGAGAAAGAGGAGGAGAAAGAGGAGGATGAACTGGCGGATGGAGATCTTTCCTGTGGTTATGTCAAAAAAGTCAGCCGTCAGCCGTCAGAATTTGGTCTGACAGGCAATCCAAAGCAAAGGCCTAAAGAGAAGCGCAACGCAAAAGCACACCAACACACACCAACACACACACAAACGCTCTGTGTAGCCCGGCAATCACAAAAAGAGTGTAGCGGCCAAAGCGAGGAACAGGCGAGCGCGATTATTCAGGTATTCAGAGACAAGGCCCCTGTGGGTGTTGCTGCTGCTAGGGAAGACCTAAATGGCTGAAGCGTGCGGCGGTGCTTGTGTGTGTGTGTGTGTGTGTGTGTGTGTGTGTGTGTTTTGTGTTGTGTGGGTTGTGTGGCTTCACTCTGTGGAGTGGAATGAGCGAGAAAAGATGAAAATGGGAGAAAATTGAAACTGCACTCCAATGCAATGCAGAGGAAAAGTGCAGCTGAAAATGCATCAAAAGCGCCAACGCAGACTAGCTTTTTAGGCGGAAAGGGACAGAGAGAGAGAGAGCAAGAGAAAGCGCCGTCAAAGTTAGGAGAGCTGGAGTTGAGGAGTATGGTATTTTTACGATGATGGTGGTGGTAAGAGACAGAGAGCGAGAAGTCTATATATATACAAAAGGAGAGCGGCGGAGAGCCGCATTAACTGCGGAGCATAACAAAGCATTTGCCTTGAGTAGGTTGTGACACATTTTAGTCCTTCTACTTGGCCGTAAGCACTACCTTCACTGTCTCCACGCTTTGTGCGGCTTTAACTTCCTCAACTGCCTCCCTCAGTGGTAAGGCAGGAGGCTGCCGATCCACTGCATCATGCTTGGCCTTCAGTCCCAATCCCTGTCGCGCGCGCTGTAACGTGGTCTTTCCCACCGGCTTGGTAAAGAGGTCTGCTAAGTTGTCTGCAGTGTTGATGTACTTGATCTTGACCTTTCCGTCTTGCACGTTATCTCTGATGAAATGGTACTTGGTATCGATGTGCTTTAACTTCCAGTGTTGCGCGGGATCCTTGCTAACCTGAATAGTGCCAGTGTTGTCCGAAAAGATTGTGGGGATACCGACGTCAATGCCTACGGTCTTGAAGAGGTGTTTGAAGAACAGGATCTCTTGTGCGGCTTCTGTCGCAGCTACGAATTCTGCTTCCACTGCCGATAGGGCGGTGCAGCGCTGAAGAGCTGACTTCCATGCTACCAGGTTGCCGCACACGAACACCGCTGAGCCAGATGAGCTCTTGCGTTGTGCTGTGGCATCGCTTGCCCAGTTTGCATCGCTGTGCGCTGTCAGGAAATCTTGTTGCTTGTCGCTGCCATATTGCAAGTGGGTGTCACGTGTGTGGTCCAAATATTGGAGTACCTTTTGTGCAGCGTTGTAATGCTCCTTTGACGGCTGTGTCATGTAGCGTGCAAGCACGCCGACAGCTTGGCTGATGTCCGGACGTGTTCCATTTGACAGCCACAGAAGTTTGCCGACGATCTGTGGGTATTCCTTTCGCTCTGCCATGCTTGCTGCCGTCTCTGGGACTGGGATATCTTGGAGTGGGACGCTAGATTTCCTCCTGCGCTTGTCCAGGTGTTCATCCAGAAGCTGCTTGACGTAGCTGGTTTGCTCGAGATCCATGGTTTTTGCTTCTCGATTCCTGGTGATTTTGATCCCGAGGAAGTGGGAGACGTTGCCGCCATCCTCCATCCGCCATCTTTGGCCTATTTCCTCCTTGATGCGCCTTACTGTTTCTAGGGTTGGGGCTATAATTAACGTGTCATCGACATAGATGACCACTATTGCGAAGTTATCCCCTTCTCCTCTGGTGTAGATGCATGGTGCGCAGTCGAGCCTGTGGAAGTTTGAACGTCGCAGGAACTTATCAAATTCCATGTTCCACTCCCGTCCCGACTGTTTAAGACCATATAGTCCCTTGATGACTCGGTAGGCTTTCCCCGTCGGCACCTTGGCGCCTTCCGGTGGTTTCATGTAGATCACGTGGTTGAGCGTGGAGTTAAGGTAAGCCATTGTGATGTCGAGCTGATGGATTTCCCAGTTGCGCTCTACTGCCAAGGATAACAGGGCTCTTATTGCGCTGAGTGGTGCCACAGGCGCGAAGGTCTCTTCAAAGTCAATACCCTCCCGCTGTGTGAAGCCCCGTGCGACGAGTCTTGCTTTGTGCCGGACGGGTATGCCGTCGGCATCCAATTTTAGCCGAAGGACTATTTTGGAGTCGACCAGTCTAGTGTTTGGTGGAACATCCACTATCTCCCATGTTCCCATTGCCTCGAGTCCATCTAGCTCCTTGCGTATGGCTTCCTGCCATTGTTGCGCATCATCACCGGCAAGTGCTTCCTTTAAGGTCGGCGTGAGGTTCAAGGCGGCTGTATGTGCTTCTCCAATCATCTCTTCGACATCGAGCTCCGACCTGTTGTCGTCGGTAGGGTCGGTGGGCGGTGCAGTGTGTGGCTCGGGGAGTGGATCCTCCATGTCGAGTACTTCCACCTCCAGTTCGGGCTTGTCGCTATCTGCCTCGGGTCTAGTGCCTTCTGCTTCGAGGCTCTCGAACCCGAACTGCAGTGGGCTCTGCTCGCTGGGGCGATCATGCCAACCTTTGGCTTCGTGGAATGTGGCTGAGTTGCTCCACCGTATGGATGGGGAGTGGCCGGGGGTGAAGAATTTCCATCCCTTGTGCTCGTCATCGTATCCGACCATGATTCCTGGGATTGCTCTTACGCCGTGCTTTCCTGCGTGATCTTTCCTGGGGAGGTGGACCCAAGCGAGGCAACCGAAGACACGCAGCTGCTTGGCCAAACCATGCGCAGACTTGCGATAGAAGTCCTCGTATGGAACCCTATTTGCTTCGGTGGAGGGTGTCAAGTTCAGTGTGTGCCCTGCGGCCATGATGGCGTAGGGCCACAGCTCCTTTGGTACCGATCTCTGAACCAGCATTGCACGCATTTTTTCTTGAAGGGATCTAATCATGCGCTCTGCTCTCCCGTTCTGGGCGCTGACGTATGGTGTGGTTTTCTGCCACCTGAACCCTGCTTCTCGTTTCCATTCCTCTGCTCCAAAGCTGGACCACTCTGTTCCGTTGTCGCTGCGGATGCACTTTAGTGTGTGGTCCGTTGCTATCTCTGCCGTCTTGATCCATGCTTTTAGGGCAGGGAACGCTTCGGCCTTGCTGAGGAGTGGTTTCACATATACGTAAGATGACGAGTCATCTACAACTATCAATGCGTGGTGGTAGTTGGGATGGCCTTTCAGGTCCGTCATCAGGTCAATGTGTACCAGCTCCAGAGGTGCCTGGGCTCGCTCTGTCTTGCTGCTTGTCATTCTTGCGCGTGTTTGCTTTGCTTGGCTGCAACAGTTGCAGTCCCTTGCATCATGTCCAAGCTGTGTCTCTTTTCCTAAGTAGTGGGCCTGGATTTGCTTGGTCTTGTTCCTGCCAGGGTGACCGAATCGTTCATGCCATAGTTTGCTCGTTGTGTGGCTTGCGGGCTTTGCTGGTGTTGTGGTGGCATCAATGCCCTCTAGGGGATCATTGAGCTGTGCTGCTAGGGCGTCACTGTAGACCTCCCATCTCTTCTTGCGCCGGTTGGTCTTGCTCTTGACCATGCTCCCATCGTGTTGGAGGATAGTAGCTCCAGACTCTTCAAATATCACGCGTGCACCATTTTCAGTCAGCGCTGGGATTGACAATAGGTTCTTGCTAAGGTTGGGGACGTGAAGTACATCAGTGAGCGGTATCTTGACGTCTCTTACTCGCAAAGTTGCATCGCCTATAGCCTGTACCCGCAACCGTTCATGCCCAGCAGTGTCTACGGATCCTTGCTTCGTCGTCGAAGCAATGAGCTTACCCCCATCACGTACCATGTGATGTGTAGCTCCTGAGTCGAGAATCCACGTGCTGTCTTGGTTGCGGTTGCCAGTGTTGCTTACGAAGGAGGTGCACCCGAGTCCCTATTCCTGCTGAGTAGGGGTTCGCTCCTGGCTGTTGGTGCAGTTGATGGTGATGTGCCCGGGTTGCCTACACTTGTAGCACTTGGCCGGTTCATTAGGGTGCGCAGGGTCACGCCTGCCCCTGTTGTAGCCCTCTTGGTTAAGGACCTGCCTGTGCTCGCCAGCTTGGCCTGCCGGACTTCTGTTGCTTGCAACTCTGGCCGTGGCTCGGATACGACCTGAGAGCTCGGCTTCTTGGTGCTTCTTGGCTAGTGCATGGTAGGCATACTCGTAGCTGCAACCAGGTTGAGCGGCTTTGAGGGAGTCTACTGTCTGGGTGTAGAGCCAGTCATCCTTGACGCAGCGGTACAGAGTAGACTTCTTGAGCTTTTCGTCCATGCGGCTTCCGAGCCTGGCTGCGTCATTCCAGATTTGGTCGAGCTCCTTACCGAGGTTGACAATGTTCCGCTGGGCTAGCTTTACTTCGTGTACTCGGTCGTGGATGGCGGAGAGTTTAACTTCGTCGTTTATTGTGAGTGCGGCCTTGAGTTTCCTGTAGAGTGTAGAGCCGAGTTGCTCCTCCTCACCTTGCTCCCGCACTGTGTAGGTGTCGATGCGGCTGGTGGGTCCGTGGTCGCAGGAGGATAGGATGAGGCCCAGCAAGTGGCTGTCCAGTTCCTCATCATAGTCGGTGTGGCCCCTGGGAATCTCCTCAGTGAGGATCCGCTTGGCGTTCTTGACCGGCCGGATACAGTCCATGAACATCGGCTCCCAGATGGCCCAGTTGTTCTCGTTGAGCTTGACGATTTGCGATATGATGCTGAGCACCGACTTGGGGATCTTCTCCGCTTGGTTGGTGTTGGGTTGGATGTTTATTAGCGAGAAGGCGCGCTCCAGGACTTGGTCTTCATCCCAGTCGATGTGAGTTTCCCTGATCATTTGCATTGTGCGTTCGAGTAGCGCTACGCTGTCTACTCTTGGTGGCATCTTGGTGGCGGTGCGCTGGAAGCTGCTGAGCTTCAGACTCTATCTTGGTGGCGGTGCGCTGGAAGCTGCTGAGCTTCAGACTCTATCTTGGTGGCGGTGGGCTGGAAGCTGCTGAGCTTCAGACTCTTAATCAGTTGAGGAGTATGGTATTTTTACGATGATGGTGGTGGTAAGAGACAGAGAGCGAGAAGTCTATATATATACAAAAGGAGAGCGGCGGAGAGCCGCATTAACTGCGGAGCATAACAAAGCATTTGCCTTGAGTAGGTTGTGACACATTTTAGTCCTTCTACTCGGCCGTAAGCACTACCTTCACTGTCTCCACGCTTTGTGCGGCTTTAACTTCCTCAACTGCTGGCCAGCCACTAGTCCAAACAGATATCTCTGCCTGTCTTGGACTGAAAATTGCGGCTGACCTGACATAGACATCCAGCGCAACATATTCTTTTGCCAACCCCCAAGTGAATAGCCGCCATAATCGACCTCCGCTCCTCGGCTCCTCCGCTCCTCGGCTCCTCGGCTCCTCGGCTGGAAACAGAGAAATCTCTCACGCTCTGAGCACTGTCGTTGATCACACCTCGATCTCACCTTCTTGGTCTTGGTCTAAGATCACCTTGGAAGAGGAGCTTCTTGCCGTTCTGCTTGCAATCACAACTCAGCCTTCTCTCTATCTCTCTCCAATCAAAGATTGCATCATGGACGATCACAAGTTGGTGCCTCTTTGGCTCGCCCTCTGCACGCTTGCCCCTACGACATCATCAATGGATGCAATGAAGAGCGCAAGAGGTGGGTGAGTAATGATACTTTGAGCACGTCAGAGCTCATCATGACAGCAAGCGTTGGTGCGGTGTCTGATTTAACCCTAACCTCTTGCTTGCAACTCCATTTACAGCCACTCAGACTTAATCTTTCCTAGCTCACCGTATGAAGCTGCCCATATTTTCGTCGCTCGGATCTGCAATGATCGCTCTCCCCTATTCCTTGCATTGGCCTGTGAGCAGCGCTGCAAGCATGGCCAAATCCTCCTTTCTTCCCATCGTCCTTTAACAGCGATCGGCAATCGGCAATCGGCAATCGGCAATCGGCAATCGGCAATCGGCAATCGGCAATCGTCATTCGGTAATCAGCACAAAAGCCACTCCAATCGCCGCCCGGTGACCTTTTACGCCTCGACTGTATCCGAAAAGCAATTTCGCACTAGCCGCTTCACCACCCCGAGGCGTATCCGTGTCAATGCAGCGGCCAGCGATGTTCATAACTTGGTAGGGTATTACTTAGCTGGCACGCTGCTACCTCTCTCGATAGTTGATCCGGGAAACATGATGCAGATCCGGGTAACATGATGCAGATCCGAGTGAGCAAAGTTGGCGTCAATGTGAGACCGGATTAGGAGTGACATGCTTTAACTCCTACGACGGCTTTTGGAGGTGCGCTCTTGCTTCGCTTCGCTGTCAGATGAAACCATAGATTCAAAAAAGCCCTTCGCCCTTCGCCTTGGCCACAGCCGAGCGAGCAGATCGCTTCTTCTCACCATCGCTGCCCCATGCTTGGTCCCAGGTCGATCCTGTTCAGCGGAGCGCCAAATGCTAATTGCGGAGCTGCAAATAATCCGCCAGGGCAACTCCGAGCTCAAAGTCCCGATTTCGCCATACCCGTCCTGCCGCTTGGTTAGACGCGACACTAGGATGGTGGTGACAAACGTGGAGCCGCAACTCTCCACTCCCATGGCTCCCTCCAAGCATACTATACAGTCAGAACAGCCACATTACGCTCCTGCAGATGACGTTGACGACTGGCCAGGATATCCATCTTCCTCAGCCACCGTCTCCACAAATTGATAGATGGTCACCAATCCGAGCTGTCTTCGCTTCCGCGTCTCTTCAAGCCTGTCCAAGGCAAGCAATGCTGCTGGCGCCGGGAGTGATCCAAGCAGATCCGCATGATGCAATGTATTCGCTCCCCCTCCTTGTTGCTCATCCGCTGAGCCGCCTCCATCTTCATCCTCCAATGCCCCTCCACCTGCACCAACATCAGCGCCAACCTTGCCGCCACGTCGAGCGCCTGGTGTGGAAGCCCCACTACCACTGTAGAATCTTGACGAGTTCTTCTGCCTCGCCAAGAGCGCATCTTTGCCACCTGGAGTTGCTGCTCCACCTTTGACACCCGAGTTGTCGGTAGCGTTGCCAAAGATGTCAAAGAAGTCCTTTTTACGCAGCAATCGTCTTGCGAAAAAGTCGGTGCTCATCAGCTGGACAACATCCGAGTCGCGTACCGAGTAGCCAGTCGTCACACCCTCGCTCGCTTTCCTCGAGTAGTGCGCCAGGGACGACATCGCATTCGATAACGCAGTGTAAGAGCGCAGGAAGCGAGACTCTTCTCCGCCATCGTCAACTTCATTTCTTCGTCGACTTGCTGCATTCCTCTCTCCGGCGTCGCTGCCGGTGTCCTCTTGCGTACCAGCGATGCCGGAGCGTGATCGCGACTTGGACTGTGCACGAGCAAGGGCCGTGATCGACTTGCTCCTGCCTACGGCACTGTCGGGTGGTGCTTGGGACGCTGAACGCGACCCTTGGCGCGAGACTTGCCTTGAGACTTGCCGCGAAGTCTGCCTCGATGAGTTGCGTGACTGCCGGTAGTGATTGAGAGATCCACCAAAGACGACGAGCTCGTTGTTCGGACCAAAGCTGGCTCCCATCCTCCTTGCTGGCATCTTGAGTTTGACCTGCGCTTCGCCCGGACTAATTGCCATGCGTGCTGGACGGAAAGCCAACAGCTCGTGCTCTGAATCTGAATCCGACACAGCTGACTCCTCATCACCGAGTCTGATGGCAGCAAAGTCGCTCCCGATCTCATGATCTTCGCCATGCCTCTCTTCTTCATCGAGCGACTTGATCGGTTCGCCAATCAAGAACCGCGCACAGATCTCCAAACACGGTCTCCCCGCTTTGGCTGCCTTATTCGACAACCGAGTCAACCCGCGCAGAAGATACGACCTAGTTTTCAGACTGATATTCGCGCTCTTCTCCAGGTCGAACAGCGGTGGACAGTGAGGGTAGCTGGCAGGGAACTTAGTCTTGATGCGTAGGAAGGCAGGTTCGTGGTCTGCCCAAGGCCCGTACATGGTCAGCACGCACATGCGACCCGTAAGTTCGACTTTCTCGAAGACGATGCGAGGAAGCTTGCGGTTGATACCTATGATCTCGTCTCCGAGGCCCTGCGCTGTGAAGCCAGTTTCGGCGTCTGTTTCATCTTCAGTTGTAAGGCCTTCGCGACCGAACGCCACGCCGGTGCGGGCTGCGCCCTTGACACTGGTGCCTAAGCCAGAGGGGAAAATGCTGTCAGAGTCACGAGCTTGACTTGTCTTGCCGCCGGTTTGATCCTCGGAAAGGTTCTCTTTTTCGAGTCGCACGTTGGCAATCCATTCGATCGGGTCAACCGCAGGTGCTGCTGCTCGGCCACGATCAAGTCGCATGGCTGCACCAACTGCCTTTCGAGCAGTGCGAGTATCCATCGCTTTCGCCAACTTGCGCCGCTCCTCTCTCTTTGCTGCTCTCTCTTGCTCTCTGCGCCTTTGCGAACGCTTGTGCAACCCTCCGTGGTGCTCTTCCCGAATCGGAAACTCTTCCTGAATCGGAAGCGGCCGCCCAGAAGAACGACGCGGATTGGCTGGCCTCTGCTTTGATGCTGGTCCCGCTCCTGTGACAGGCTTGCCGCGCAGATTGGCCGGGACCTTGAACGACGAGTGGCCGCCACTGTGCTGCGATGCACTCCCACCACCATACTTGGAGCTGCTGTGATACCAAGTCCCAAACCGGCTTCCACCTTGCTCGCCGGCCTGTTTCGGCAACGATCGCGCCAACTGATGCATTTGTGAGGTACTACCGCGTCCGAACCCACTCCCGAATACCTGCTGTCCCTCCATTCGACTCCATGAGCGGGCAAAATTTTCCCTGGGGCTACGTGAGAATGGGTTGAGATCCGCCCCGAGATCACCGTGGCTCGAGCTGTGATGCAGGCTCCTCTTGTTGCCTGCGCTTGACCCGAAAGGTGCGAGTGGGCTCATTCTGCCATCGCGAATGACGTTCTGGAATCCAGACGTGGAAGAGCCGTAAGGAGAGGTGGCTTGGATCTTGCTGCCACTACCTTTTCCGCTGAGCAGTGATCGGGTTGCGTGCTCAGGAGGCAGGATGGACGATGAAGTGATGTTGCTGCCCGAAGCTTGGCTCGTCATCATGGCCGCATCCTCTCCAGCAGCTGGCAATGCGAGAGGCGGGTCGCGGTACGAGATGTCAGGAGCATCGGCTCTTGTGAGCAGAACACGAATAGGAGCGCCTGGCTTGTGACCTACTTTGCGTGTCGCCTCATCGCTGACTGGCCAGAGTCGAAGCGTCTGATCCTTCGACCAAGTGATCAGCTGGAACTGTCGATCGTCACTCTCCCTATCTTGTCCTCCCTTTGTACGGAAGAGGTACTCTTTGACAATGTCTGTGTGACCAGCGAATGTTGCCTGTGGCTCCTCCGGCTGATCTTTAGCCCACATGCTCAACGTTGTATCTCCACGTTGAGGCAGGGTCATGACTCCGTTACCAAAGGGCAAATGACGAGCTCTCCAAACGGGCGTCTTGGTCTCAATGATAGACTCAGCCTCTGTAACCAACTCTCTCGCTCCGATTGCAGCTTGCGAAGTATCCGAGCCCAAATTCCAGAACTTGACTGTTCTGTCCAGTGAGCACGTTACCAGCCTATCGAGGCCTAAACTGGTATCCCGACTCCAATCGATCCCGTAGATCTTGCTTTCGTGTGCTTCAATCGTAGCTAGCGGCAACGACCCTTTGCGGTCGTCCCAGATGAGAACCTTGTTATCGCATGTGGAGGCGAGACGATGTTCACTAGCACGATTGAACTTGACTTGTGTGACTGCTGCATTCCATGCTGAGTAGCCCTGTGCTGGTTTCTGTCGTCCTCTACCATCTGATGTTCCACTCATGCGAAGATCCCACACCCAAGTCCAAGTGTCGATGGAGCTCGAAGCAACCACTTCTGGATGGAAGGGAGACCAATTGATATCTGTGATCGCTCGTGTGTGCGCGTGAAGGACGTGTTCAATAGCCGAGGATTTCGGTGTGGCTAGCTGAAACTGCGAAGCTGAGATCGGAGTGTTGCCATAGGGCGAAGTAGCGGAGACAGCGCCGAACCCGCTTCGAGTGCCGCCGGTAACGCCAGAGTGAAGGCTCTGACTATTGTAGATGCTCTGATAAGCGCTGCTTCGTTGTGTTGCAAAGTGTGGATTGCTTGGCACCACTGGACTGCAACTGCGGTGGATGGAGCCGCGATGTAGCATCCTGATGAGAGGTGGGGCAGCGCGTGGATCACCTGGCCGATCCAAGTTCCAGATAAGGAGCTTTTGGTTGGAAGTACTGGCGACCCAATTACTTCTCGCTGGATGAGGCGACCACTGAATGTCAACAGCTTCCCATGTTGTCATGTGTGCTAGGAATCGAGGTGGTGCAAAAGGGTCCTCGAGATCAATGATGAAAAGGCCTTTACGTGCGGCTAGGACAACATCTCGATTGGCCGGACTGATAGACATCGAACCGACAGGCTCCATGAACGAAATCTCACATGAGCGATAGAAGGTGTTGGATGGGTGTCGCTGAGATACAGGCTGCTTCACAGTTTTAGCGTCCGTGGAAGGTATTGGGATAGGAGCAGTGGTCCCATTGGGACCAGCTGTGTTGTCCGGATCAATTGGGCCGGAGACAGCCCTCCGTGCATCGAAGCCATCTTGTCCAGCGGGTGGAAGGTGAAGCGGGGGAGAGGTGACGGCGGCTGAGATTTCCGTTGACGGGAACGCTGGACTGTTGGTCTCTGATGGCATCTTGAGCGTCGTTCCAGCTGTGTTCAGCTCGCAACGCTGCAGCTGCGACTGTTCACCTCGTGTTCTTGGTACGGAAGCGCCAATTTCGGCAACGGCGACGGAGGAGAATCAGCAGGAAAGGTGATAACGTGCCATATTGTGTCAGCGCATTAGCGTGATGCTTCGCTCTGCATACTGCTAGAGCTTTAGAGAAGGTGTAAGGATTGAAGCAAGAGACTGCGGAGATGAGTTGACCAAGCGAAGTTGTTACCAGAAGCTGTCAAATCAATGTGGCCTAAGCGCTATCAACTGTGACTGCGAACTTCAACCCCGCAAAAATAGTGGAATGACGGTCGCCCGATCATCGGGCTCGAATTTAGGGTCTGAAAGCAAATCCGACTCCCGAAGTTGCGCCTGAAAAAAAACAAAAAAAAACAAAAAAAAACAAAAAAAAAAAAAACACAAAACAAAACAAAAGAGAAAAAAAAGGTCTGAAAACCTTGAAAAAAGTTCAATTTATAAACGTCGAAGGAACACGGCCAAGGAGCTTCTCGACGTCTTTGGTTTCGCCAGCTTGCCATTCCACCGTATCTTTCAGGCGGAGACCTTCCCATATACTCAGCTCTGGACTCTTAGACAGATTTTCGAGGCCATCACTAGCTCCACATCCCTATATACAGCCGCAAAGATGGGTCTATCAGGCCCAAAACAGAAGCAGCGCCTCGTCGGCTCCGCAACTACGCGTAACACAGCATGGCTCAACGACAGCTCCGCACCGGGCCAACGCATGCTCGCACAAATGGGCTGGGCATCCGGTCAGTCTCTCGGTCTCACCATGCCTGGTCTGACCGAGAATCTCAAAGTAGCCTACAAGATGGACAACAAAGGGATCGGTGCACAGCGACACGAACGGGAAGCGAGAGCCAACGGCAAGGATATTTGGGTAGGAGGAGGCGGCGATCTGGGAAGCTTGTTTGAACGACTCAACGCCGCTAATGCTGCTTCGTCATCTTCGTCTGTCGTTGCTTCTACTTCTACCTCTGACGATGAGGACGAAAAGAAGAGCAAGAAGAGCAAGAAGAGCAAGAAAGAGGAGAAGGACAAGAAGGAGGAGAAAGACAAGTCTAAGAAGCGCAAACTCGATTCCACAACCGACGATCTCTCTTCCTCCAAGAAGAGCAAGAAGGAGAAGGAGAGCAAGCGATGGAAAAAAGAGAAAGAGGAAGCTGTGTCTGCAGTTGCAAACGCTGATGCTGTTCTGGCGAAAGATAAAACTGCGGTGGCAGAGATCAAGAAGGACGTTGTACAGGGCAGACCGGTACGATTAGCACATCGAGCCAAATTTCTGCGTGCCAAACGCATGGTCTCTGCTAACGACCTCGCTAGTGTTAACGAGATTCTCGGTATCGCATCTACACCTTCCTCCTCTACAGCTGGTACACCGAAAGTTGGGTCAGGGACATGCACACCAACACTTGCACCATCCAAAACATATCCTGGACCAGGCGGAAGCGAAATTGCACTAATGGACGTTGACAGACGACTACAAGCTGAAGGAGGCTCCAACTCTGACTCTGATTCTTCAGAAGACGAAAAAAAGAAGAAGAAGAAGAAGAAGAAGGAAAAGAAGGAAAAGAAGGAAAAGGAAAAGGAAGACAAGAAAAGCAAAAAGAACAAGAAGGCCGTTGATGTTGCTGCGGCTACCAAAGAAACGAAAGCTACTGCTACACAGACTGCAGCAGAACCAGCTGTGGCAGATGAAAAAGAGAAAGCGACACAGATTGGCACTAACTCGCAGGGCTTGTTTGTGTTCGAGTATCTGAACCGTCGTTTGGTGATCAGGAAGGCACAGATTCAGAAGCAGAAGAAGGCGGAACAGGAGGCAATTTTTGCTAGGGCTGCTCGTGTCGGTGCCTGATGGCTGCGAGAAACCTCTTTTACTGTATGTTCATAGAACATTATACCCCTGCTTGGAATGCAAGTATGCATCCTACGTATGCTTCTTGCTCGTCGTTTCATGTGCTGTGTCGAAGAAGGCTAGGCTGCTGCAAATGAGTTCTTTGTGAAGTCGAAAATGCCACGATTTTCGCGACCTCTGATTCCATCCCTTTTAGTTGAAGATATACAAGTCCTGTACGCTAGTTTGGGCTACTAACAAGCACCTAACATGGGCATATGTTCTTCTTGTAAAAAGCTTAACATTCAATCTGTGTACTACTGTGTATATGAGCATATATATACTTGATGATCGCCTCCAACCCTTATCAATCCATGATGAGTCATGTCAGGGGTCTCGTGCCTGAAACCCAGGTCGGTCTATCGAGATACTCAGTGACTATCAAACTGTGTGACAGCTATTGTCTTGGTATCAGTCTTGATGAGCTAGTTGCTTGGCAACTATCAAGTTGCATGATGACAGTGGGTGACATTCATTGTATATACTGTCATAGGTTTCAGCTGACCTCTGTGGACACTCTGTTCAGGGGTAGCTTGGCACAATCAATAACAATATGTAGGTTATGATGACACCAAGGTCTGGTGTGAGTGTTGATGATGATGAGGTTGATGGTGTTGGTGATAAGGTTGGTGAGTGTTGATGGTAATGAGGTTGATGGTGTTGGTGATAAGGTTGGTGGCATCAACACAAGTGTCCAGTGTGTTGACTTGATGCTTGAAGTGATCCCCAGACTGCAGTGGACTACTGCCTTCAGTTCTATCTATATCTGGACCACTGGTTTGCTATGAACTGCCTTCAGATGTCAGGTAGTGGTGATACAACACATGCACTACAATGAGGAGCAACCTTGATAGATTGCTACTATGCTGACTGAAACTAATATATACTTATGCTGAAGTGATAACTAGTTATGATGGGTGTAGAGTGGATGAGGATCCACTCGACCTTTGATGATGAGAAGTATGGTTATATACCTCTTCACAGCGTTGCCAGCGACGCTGCTCCTGCTCTCTCTCCAGAGAGTACCTTCTTCATCAAGTACTGTACAGGGGCCCCTCTAGCACTGCTCCTCCTCCTTGCTATCCTGCTTGCTTGGCACCCCTGTGCCTCTTGAGCTGTGTCAACTCCTTCGACACTGCTCCTCCTCCTTGCTATCCTGCTTGCTTGGCACCCCTGTGCCTCTTGAGCTGTGTTGACTCCTTCAACACTGCTCCTCCTCCTCAGGACCTGCTTGCTGGTTTCCTATACACTGCTCCTTCTCCTTTGACCAGTGACAGTTCCTTTGACTCTTGTCTCTCAAGCCCCTGAGTGATAACCATCTGCATGCTCCTTGAGCTTGGTCCTCTTCATGGCTGTGCCTGGCCCTCCTCACATATGGGCCCAGTCCCCCTTTGCATGTGAGTCCATGGAAGTCCATGGTCTCCATGGAGACTGCACTACAACCATGCTCTCTACTGGTATCGACTAGATCTCCGATACCTGTGCTCCTTCCATATGAACCAGTGACCCTCCTGCTTCTTGAGCATTCAGGCCCATGACAAGTCACTATTCATTGTTGCCCCTGAGTTGCAATCTCCTGTGTGTCACTATGACAATGCATATGCATCCCACATGCATTGCCACCTATATGCAGTTTTTCTTCATCGAGGATTTGCTTATGTTCTGCAGACCCCATATTGTTCTGTGGACCCTGTGAAACCCATGAAGATGCCAGTGCATCTTCAACTCCCCCCTTCAACAGCATTGCCAACCCTAACGACTGAGCTAGCTGGGATGTTGCCAAACCCTTTAGTGGCTTTGTTAAGATGTCTGCCACATTGTTTGCTGTTCCAACAAATTCAATTGCTATCTCTCCATCCTGTACATGATCCCTGATGAAGTGATACCTAGTGTCTATGTGTTTCAATTTCCAATGTTTTGCAGGATCCTTACTCACCTGAATGCATCCCTGACTGTTGGTGCACAAGGTTGGTTGGATCATTCCTACCTCTAGGTCCCTGAGAAGATAGGAGAAGAAGAGTGCCTCTCTTGCTGCTTCTGAGGCAGCAACAAATTCTGCTTCCATGGCCGATAATGCTACACACTTTTGAATGTGCAACTTCCAGCTGACCAGACACCCATACACATATGTCACTGCTCCTGACATGCTCCTTTGTCCATTCATTGGGTTTGATGCCCAGTTTGCATCTGTATACATGATGACTGGGTGTTCTGAGTGCTTGCTCAATCTGTCTCCAAAGATCAGCTTATATTCGCTGGTTTGATTCAGGTATTTGAGCAGATGGATAGCTGCTTTCCATGCACTGCTTGTCAGACTTGACATGTATCTTGCTAGTACCCCTATGGTGAATGATATGTCTGGGTGTGCAGTGTTTGATACCCATAATAGTTGTCCAACTAGCTCTTGGTATCGCTTGGCTTCTATTGGACCACATTTGTCTTCCCTGGTAATACTCACTATTCCTTGCATTGGTACCCAGGACTTCAGATCAGTCATTTGTAACCATTTGCCCACCATCACTTTAATGTAGGCTGATAGATCAAGTGACATCTTCTTCTGTGCCCTGTCTTGGTTGATGCTTATGCCCAAAAACTCCTTCACTGGTCTGTTATCCTCTGTGCCCCATTTAGTCTTTATTTCCCTCTTGGTGTGATCCACCTCCTCATGACTGGGGGATGCTATGAGCATGTCATCCACATATGCTGTAATGATGGTCAGACTGCCTCTGGTTCCTCTCGAGTATAGGCAAGGTGCACTTGGCATGCAATGGAAGCCTATGCTTCACAAATGTAAATCCAGTTCCACATTCCATTCTCAGCCTGATTGTTTTAGTCTGTACAGTCCCTTAATTAACTTTAGAAATTTTCCTGAGGGGATCATTGTTCCAATTGGCAGCTTCAGGAAGACATCATGGTGTAGTGTTGAGTTCAAGTATGCCTGCTTGACGTTGATGTAGTCCACCTCCCAATTTCATACAGTTGCTATGGCTAAAACTCCTCGAATAGACTGAATGGGTGCCATGGGTGTGAACACCTCCATGTAGTCAATCCCTTCTCTTTGTGTGAAACCTCGTGCTACCAGCCTTGCCTTGAACTTCGTCAGGATCAGGTTTGCATCCGTTTTAATTTTTAAAACCCAATGTCATGGGCCTGAATGCTCAAGAAGCAGGAGGGTCACTGGTTCATATGGAAGGAGCACAGGTATCGGAGATCTAGTCGATACCAGTGGTGAGCATGGTTGTAGTGCAGTCTCCATGGAGACCATGGACTTCCATGGACTCACATGCAAAGGGGGACTGGGCCCATATGTGAGGAGGGCCAGGCACAGCCATGAAGAGGACCAAGCTCAAGGAGCATGCAGATGGTTATCACTCAGGGGCTTGAGAGACAAGAGTCAAAGGAACTGTCACTGGTCAAAGGAGAAGGAGCAGTGTATAGGAAACCAGCAAGCAGGTCCTGAGGAGGAGGAGCAGTGTTGAAGGAGTCAACACAGCTCAAGAGGCACAGGGGTGCCAAGCAAGCAGGATAGCTCAAGGAGGACAGGAGTGGTGCTAGAGGGGCCCCCTGTACAGTACTCGATGAAGAAGGTACTCTCTGGAGAGAGAGCAGGAGCAGCATCACTGGCAACGCTGTGAAGAGGTATATAACCATACTTTCTCATCATCAAAGGTCAAGTGGATCCTCATCCACTCTACACACACCATAACTAGTTATCACTTCAGCATAAGTATATATTAGTTCCAGTCAGCATAGTAGCAATCTATCAAGGTTGCTCCTCATTGTAGTGCATGTGTTGTATCACCACTACCTGACATCCAAAGGCAGCCCATAGCAGGTCAGTGGTCCGGATATAGATAGAACCGAAGGCAGTAGTCCACTGCAGTCTGGGGATCACTTCAAGCATTAGTCAGCACACTGGACACTCATGTTGACACCACCAACCTTTTTACCAACACCATTAACCTCATCATCATCAACACTCACCAACCTTATCACCAATGCCTTCAACCTCATCATCATCAACACTCACACCAGACCTTGGTGTCATCACAACCTATGTATTGATATTGATTGTGCTGAGCTACCCCTGAACAGAGTGTCCACAGAGGTCAGCTGAAACCTATGATAGTATATACCACAAATGCCACCCACTGTCATCATGCAACTTGATAGTCACTGAGCAATGTAGCTCATCGAAACTGATACCAAGACAATAGCTGTCACACAGTTTGATAGTCACCAAGTATCTTGACAGACCGACCTGGGTTTCAGGCGTGAGACCCCTGACAAAAAGGTTAATATTGAGATGCCTAACATACAATACATTATGGAGTAGTACATCTCTGTTATTTGTTGATATGCTGGCATCTCCAATAGCTGTTGCTTCTAAAACCTTGCTTCTGGCCATGAATACATGTTTTTGACAGGTTTTAGGGTTGATAAGCATGCTATAAACATTGACCATGTGATAACTGGCCCCAGAGTCTAAGATCCAATGGGATGTTTCTTTAGAGTCTAGGGGCCTCTGCCAACTTGGTGTGAAGGAACACCATGGTTCCTATTTGGTCTTGGCAAGGGAGGAGTTTTCAGGAATGGTTACCATAGCATTGCACTGGCTGATTCTGTGTCCTGGTCGCTTGCAGATCCAGCACCGAAGCCTTCAGGGCTGAGCAGTGACCTTGGCATTGGTGTTGTCTTCATCCTTCTCATCCCTCCCATCCTTCAAGGTTGGTTCATCTTGGTCATTGCTGCTGGCAACTCTGGCACTAGCTTGGTGGGGGTCAACCTTCTGAGCAGGGTAATTCTCAATTGCTGATTGCTGAATAGTCAAAGCTGTAGCAAGAGTGTTAAAAGTAAGCTGGCTAATGGTGGCAACCATTTCTTTATACATTGGGTGGCAGATAGTGCACTTCTGTAAGTTTGAGAACAAAGTGTCATTGGCAAAAGGTTTTCCCAACAAGCTGCTCTCTGTCTGGATAGACCTAATTTCCTGAATGAGCTTTTGAGCATCAGAGTTGAACATCCTGAGCTTGCCTAACTGGGCAATGAGGGCAATTTGGCATGAAGTTGTGGTGGCTTCATTGGTCAAGCCATTTTCAATCTTCTTCCAGACCTGATGGAACATGTGGTATTCCCTGATGATGTCAAGAATCAAATAGTTGATGTTATATTCCCTGGTGGTATCAATGGTGCCACATACTGCATTCATCATGGCATCATCAAAGGCACAGTTCCACTTCGGGTGTTTCTTGTCATATGTTCCCTCAAGGTGTTTCATAGCATGGGGAACAGATCAGAGGAAGGACTTGATGTGGACATTCCAACTATAGTAGTTCTGTGATGTGAGCTTGGGCACTGGCTCAAGAAGCTTCACCAAGGTGCAGAAGTTATATTGCTTGCTGCTGCTGTCTTGATCAGAATCAGAGTTTGTTTCTTCATTGGCTTCATCATCAGTCACTTCAGCTTCTGTCTCATTGGTGACTTCATTATCAGCAACTCGCAGTTGAGGGGCTTTACCTTTTCTACCTCCTTTGGCTCTGCCTGCACCAGCTTGCATTTTGGTGTTGTCTGCCATAATGGTGAAGGGGTCCTGATAAGCTCAGTTGGTAGAGCTTCAGACTCTTAATCAGTTGAAGATATACAAGTCCTGTACGCTAGTTTGGGCTACTAACAAGCACCTAACATGGGCATATGTTCTTCTTGTAAAAAGCTTAACATTCAATCTGTGTACTACTGTGTATATGAGCATATATATACTTGATTATTGCCTCCAACCCTTATCAATCCATGATGAGTCACTATTCATTGTTGCCCCTGAGTTGCAATCTCCTTTGTGTCACTATGACAACATGTATGCATCCCACATGCATTGCCACCTATATGCAGTTTTTCTTCATCGAGGATTCACTTATGTTCCACAGACCCTGTATTGTTCCATGGACCCTGTGAAACCCGTGAAGATGCCGGCGCATCTTCAACTCTTTTTTTTAGAATAATTGGCCTTTTTGGTTGGGTAGCGAATTATTTTTCGGGACTCGGGACTCATTCTGTGTGGAGGTGAAGGAGCCGATTTTTGGATAGATGCTTAGCATGACTTTGCATCGTAGCCACTCACCCTCTCTTCAATCAACTACAGCGACTTCGTACAGCCTTCGGACGCCTCACATCCCTAGTCGAGTGTCCTCAAAGGAATCGAGATCATGTCATTTACAGCACCCAATGCCAACCCACCTGCAAATCACGGTGGCACCGTCTCCTCCCCAAACCCTAACTCTCCAGGCGGCTACCCGACTCAGACAACCATCAATCTCGGTCGAAATGCTGGCAAGCTCGATACTGCAACCCATCCTCCACTCCCTGTCAACCAAGTGGGTGCAGCCAACCGTTCCGCACAACTCGGCGGTATTGCTCTCGGTTTCGGCGGAGGTGTGATTTCAGCTTTCATCTCTCGTAAAGCCTTGAATCTTTCCAAGAATGCGAGCTATCTTTCGGGTTTGCTAGCAGGAACGGGTGTAGCGTATATCACGGCGAGACAGCAGTTGGAGCATAATCTGGGCGCGGTGGAGAATGCCGAGTTGGGATTGAGGGGGCAACTGAAGGGAGGGGCAAATGCTGTCGGAGGCAATGCGAGTGCGAGTGTAAGCGATGGATTGAGTGCAAGTGCAACGGAGCAAGAGATGTTGAAGTACGATTTGCAGGCTGGGAATGCGGGTTTTCATGAAGGTGGTGTGGCTGGGATGCACGAGTTTAGGGACAAGTATGCTAGTACGAGGGGTGATCATTGATGGGCATTGCGTCCAGTCTTAGGCAGCCGTTTGCTTTCGGACGATCCTGTTTAATTGAAAAGTCAAAAAAAAACAAAAAAATAAAAAAATAAAAATAAAAAATAAAAAATAAAAAATAAAAAAATGCCTCCTAGCCGACTCGAACGACTGACCTCTTCATTACTAGTGAAGTGCTCTACCGCTGAGCTAAGGAGGCAGAAGAACAGCCTGTTTTGGGCTTTCCATGCTGGGGTCCAAAAAGGTTGTATATTTAAATCAACCATCTGGGTGTTCGGCGCTTTTCCCCATCAATTTGGCGATCTTTGTCCTTTTGGGGCAAGGTACGAAGGTAGTAGCAAGAAACTCAACCCAATTGCACGACAGGAGGCAGGGTAGGAATGCTTTGGTAGTCCTTCTGATCTTACTGAGGAAAACATGTTGTGGTGCTATTGAATGAAGAACAGCTACAGTATATACAGAGTCAAGTCCGGGTTGAGAGTTGTGCTTCAATCAGCCTTGTAAAGTACAATAGCGCTTCTACTAGGCAAGTACAGTTGAACAAAGTTTCTTCTACCGTTCCACTGCATATCCGTCGTGAAATACTCGGTACTGTGATGCACTCTGCCATGACCGCCCAACTCGTTTGCATCGCTATCCAACAACACCTTGTACTTTCCTGCAACGTCGACACCAATCCTGTAGTCGGTGAAGCTGGTGTTTGCGTGCCAGTTGAATACGAACAGCAATCCAGCGCGCTCGAATGCTATGACTCTATCGCTCTCGTGTTTGAGCGAGATGTAGGCTTGAGGTGCAGCAAGCCACTTGTGCTTCTCCTCGGCGTTGTTCATGGCTGCATCGAAGGCATAGAGGTACTTGTAGCGAAGGAGGGGGTCGTCGACCAGGTTGAACTGTCGTCTAGCGTAGTGGAAAGAGTTTGCGTTGCCTTCACGAGGGAAGTCCAACCACTCTGGATGGCCAAACTCGTTTCCGATAAAGTTGAGATATCCTTCACCACCCAAAGCGTGAGTGATGAGACGGATCATCTTGTGGAAAGCTAGACCTCTATCGATCACCTGAGTGCGTTGCGTAAGATCAGACATGTTGGTGTACATCTCTTTATCCATCAACCAGAACGCTAGCGTCTTGTCACCGACCAAAGCCTGATCGTGCGATTCGGCATAAGCAATCGACTTTTCCAGATGACGACGGTTGGTAAGGGTGAAACAGATGTTTGCGAAATCCCAATCTTCATCTCTCTTCTCCTTCAACAACTTGATCCACATATCAGGAACGGCCATCGAGAGACGGTAGTCGAATCCAAGGCCTCCTTCACTAACAGGCCTGCAAAGTGCAGGCATTCCACTCACATCTTCTGCAATCGTAATCGCGTTAGGATTGACCTTGTGAATCAAATCGTTGGCCAACATAAGGTATACCACTGCCTCAAGGTCAACCGAGGGACCGAAATACTCGTGATAACCACCCGAGAATCCAGTTCCGATACCATGATGAGTGTAAAGCATCGAGGTTACACCATCAAAACGGAAGCCGTCAAATCCGTACTCTTGCATCCAGAACAAACAGTTGCTCAAGAGGAAACGAAGGACCTCGTGATGTCCGTAGTTGAACAAGCGAGAATCCCAGAGTTGGTGTCTTCCCTTGGCGCCTTCGTGAAAGTAAAGATGGTCGGTACCGTCAAACATGTTCAATCCGTCAAGCACGTTCTTGCATGCGTGAGAGTGGACAATGTCCAGCAATACGGTAATACCCAGGGAATGAGCGACGTCGATGAGCTCCTTGAGGTCTTCAGGATTGCCGTATCGAGAAGAAGCAGCGAAAAAGTTGGTAACCTGGTAACCGAACGAAGCGTAGTACGCGTGCTCTTGAATCGCCATCAGCTGGATGGTGTTATAGCCGAGCTCTTTGATTCGGGGAAGAAGGTTTTTGGTGAACTCTTTGAACTGACCAACGCGAGCTTCAGGGGTAGCAATACCAACGTGGGCTTCGTACACTTTGATGTTGGTTGGTTTGGGAGGAGCTTTGTGTTTGATCCTGTAGCGTTGGTTTGCTGGTGGGTTCCAGAATCTAGCGTCGTAAACGGGGCTGACCTTCAGATCCTGGGTAACGCGAAGAATCCAAGTAGGAAGCCTCTCGATTCTCTCACCCGAGGGGAGGACCATGGAGATCTTAACCTTGGAATCGTGGGGGATAGCACATTGACCAGACTTGATGGGAGGGATAGTAACGTGCCATTTACCAAAGTCATCTTTGTTCATCTTGTGCGAGTCGCGAGACCAGTTGTTAAAGTCACCGATGAGGGAGGCTTCCACAGCGTTCGGTGCCCATTCTGTGTAGCTTACCGATTGGCTTTCGGGGTCGATTTGGAATCCCATCTTGAGGTAGGATCGGGAGAAGTCTTCCAAACCGCCTTCGGTGGAGGCGATCTTGGAAAGCCAGGAGGAGTAGAAAGAGTATCGCTCGCGAAGGGCGCCAGCGAAGGGTTCAAGCCATGGATCACCACCGATGACACCAGTGCCGTCGGTGGCTTTGGTGTAGTCGATCGGCGCCGGGGCGGCAGTGTTGGCAGCTGCCATGATGACGGAGGTCTGTGTGCTATTGAAAGGGTGTGCTATTGAAAGGGTGTGTTTGTGATAGAGTTACCTTGATGAGAATGGTTCAAAACACATAAAGGAGGAGGAAGCAAGTTAGGGGGGGGGGGGGGGGTCTGGGGATCAGCTAGATGTCGACTCTCTGCTCGTTGCCACCCTAGAGTATATAGCAGGCTGTGGAGGAAGACAATGGTATTTTGCACAAAAAGATGGCTCGTGCTTCGCTTCTTTCCATCCACCTTCTGAAGTTTCATCGACAAGAGCGACAGGCTGCAGACTTACAAACGCCAAGCTGATCTACTGTACTACTGTACTACTGGTACTACTACTGTACTACTGCTCTGAGTGCAAGAGTTGGCATTCTGGGCCCCCGCATCCAGACGGACAGTTTCTGACACGCTGCTCACTCACTCGCACCCAGTCACTACTACAGAGATTCGCCGTTCCTCTCTGGTTTGCCTCTGTCCCCTTTACGCTGTGCTTGGCTTTCTGACGTGGAAAAGTTTGAACCCGCTTCCCCAACAAGCGAGCAACAAGGGCAAGTCTTTCCTTGTGTTCTCTATTCGACGAGGCCCTCTAATCGATCATCTTCGCATCACAGGTCGAAATCTTTTTGTCTTTCCCCGTCTTCTTCTGTGCACCCAAACACGGCCTTCGCGATGCTTGGATTCAGCCGAGACTGTTCCGAATGTCACTCAAGGGCTTCAGCAATTGCAGCATCGCTAGAAAGACGTCGCGAGGTGGGCGAGGTTCCTTGCAGATATGCCTTCGAACGAATACAGAATCGATGGCATGGAAGGTGTGTGTATATAAACGCAATGTAAGCTCGTTGGTATACATCAGCCTCCTTAGCTCAGCGGTAGAGCACTTCACTAGTAATGAAGAGGTCAGTCGTTCGAGTCGGCTAGGAGGCAGGCACAAGTTGCTCCCTCTTTTCCCTTTTCCCTTTTTCGTTTTTTTTTTTCTTTCTTTTTTTTTCTTTTTTTTCTTTTTTTTTTTTTTTTCCTTTTCTTTTCGCATCTCATGTCTGTCTCTCTTGCTTCCCCTTTCTCTTGACATCTTGCATGCCCATTCTCGTACACAAATCCTTGCTTCGAAGCGTCATGTTGAGCCGCTCAGAGAAACAGTCGCAAGAGCCGATTTGAAAGTTTCCATGATGACACCGGTATGTAAAAGTACAAAGAGAGCGATGTTGTCCATTGAACGATAGTTGCTTACTTGGCACCATTATGCCTCAACCTCTCGTGTCTCAACATAGCGTCCTTCCTGGAGAAATTAGCACCACAAGACTTACACTTCCACTCGACAACAGCTGTACTTTTCTTCGGATCAACCTCTTTACCCAACACTATACAATCTTCCAACTTCAACTTCCCTTCTCTCATAAAGCCTGCCTCCTCTCTCGCATGAATTGTTTCCCTATGTCTAGCAAGATCGTACGGTCGATGGAAAGCAGTTTGACAAGCGACACCAGTGACAGGGCTGACGTAGTCGCACTTTGTGGTTCCATCGGCGGCGGCTGGTGCAGCTGCAGCTTTCTGTACGCTGGGTTTGGTGGATTTAGTTTTGGGAGGAGCAGTTTTCTTGGTGGTGGAGTCAGGCGAGTTGTCTTCGTAGTCAGATTCGTTGCTGTTTGCTGAACCAGAGTTGCCTGTTTCGGATGGTTCTTCTTCTCCTCTGGCTTCGACTCGGTCCTCCTTAATGGGCAAGTCTGGTGTAGCAGGTGTGATCGGAGCGGCGGGTCGGATGGGTGCAGGTTGTCGAGTGGCGGCAAGCAAAGGCGGTGGTGCTCCGACCTCTTGTTGTAACTTGCGTTCGCTGGTCTGAGCACTCGACCTGATGCTAGGCGAGATGCTTCCTTCATCTTGACTGCCACCCATACCACCAACTCCACCGCCGGGCGGAGCAACACTCAGGCCACTCTCCTGACTGCCTGGGATGTATCCGTATCCACCCATCGCACCAGGCATGTGTTGCCTTGACAGGGGCACATAAGGTCTACTGCTGCGATCGCTAGTGTCATCTACCGACTCAGACGAGGACTGATGCTGACCTAGACTTGGCCTTTGGGTCTGAGCCGATCGTGGGTCCAGCTGCGAAGAATAGCGAGAATGAGGGTAACCGCCGTTGGGCTGACCGTAGGGCTGCTGCTGATGCGGGTGCTGGTGGTGATGATCATTGTGTCGGTGATGCTGACTGTGATGAGGATGAGGATGGGAAGCGTGTGGATGACCATGTCGTGCTTGGTATTCGGCACTTTGACTATAAGCACTCCTCCTGCCAGAACGATCATCCTCCGAATCACTGCTCGAAGCAGATACGTCCGAGAAGCGAGGCTGGTTCGTGTGTGTCTGTCGGAATGCCCATGGCTCATTGCGGACATGCGACCATGTACTGCTTCCAGTGCTTGAAGTGCGCTCCTTACCCAACTGAGGTCGAGGTGGGATCGCAGGAGAAGCAGAGGCACGACTGCCATCTGCCTTGACGGGATAGTTCAAGTAGAGACTGCTTGGTCCGCCTCGGATCATGCTTGGCTTCATGTTAGGAGGGTAGTAAGGCCTCTCGTCCTCGTCGTCGTCGGTCGAGATTGTATCACCACTGTCAGCGGGGCTGAAGAGACTGCTTTGGGAGCCCGACTCTTGGCTAACGGATCCACGTCCATCGCTATGGTTCGGATACGGCGAGCGACCATTGGGAGGACTTTGGTGAACACTGGGGCCTGGTCGTTTCTGCTGGTAGTGATGCGGTCGTGCTGTATCGTTGCGGCTCATGGGGACAGGTCGAGCAGCATAGGCAGCGGCGGCGTCACCGGTCGAGGATCGTGCTGGCGTCACATTCTGCTGTGATCCCATTCGAGGGGTATTAGTGCCGGTATGCCCTGCCGAATAGCTTGCTGAACCATCTTTTGCATCCGACAAGCCAGGCGGTACACTTGCAAACAGGCTAGGCATCTTGCCAAGGCCGGAATGCGACAAGGCATTCTCGACATCATCATAATCCAAGAATGCCTCTTGTGGACTGACAGTGAGGCCGCTCGACTCTCGCTTCAAAGGGCGCCGCCTATCTGGCGGATAGCTGCTGACAGGAGCACCGTAAGTCTCTGTCGAAGCCATGGATACGGGACCTCCTCGTTGAGCAAGTTGACTCTGCGACATGGCGGGTGGAGGCATGCTGGGTCGTTGTTGCTGAGAGTGTTGCGATTGCGGGGACTGCTGTTGCGACTGCTGTTGCTGCTGGTGGTGGTGATGCGAGTAGGCGATCTGAGAGCCCTGGGTGGATTGCGACTGACGAGCCCAGTCCGGCAAATAGTTCTGCGAGTGACGGGCAGGTGGGTAAGAGTTGGCGGCAAAGCCGTTGTCAAAGGTACTGCTGCGTGTGCGCAAGTCGGCGCTGCTGCGATGGTGAAGAGGTGGCATCTCTTGATCAGGGGTGCGCTCTTGCTCTGGCTCCTTGCTGGGTATCTGACTTGACCGACGCTGAGACTGATCACCGAGATCATAGTCAGGAAAGAGGGCGAAAGAAGGTGCGACACCTGCTTGCATAGGATCAGATGATGCTGAGAGCGGGCTTGTCTGCATGTCAGTTGGACGAGGGGTGTAGTGCTGTTTCTGGAGAATGTCTCGCAATGGACCTTTGAAAGCACGAGTGTCGACACCAGCAAGCTCTGCACGGATCTGTGCCTTGACTCGTTCTTGTTGCTCGAGAGTCATGCCAGCCGAAGCAAGCGAGGTGAGGGCAGGTGGAGGAGGATTGGGATGATACTTGCAAGCTGGCGTAGAATCAGCTAGGCTAAGATCATGCATCGGTGGACCAAGACTGCCGCTGGGCGGATGAGGAGGTGTGAGACGCTGGTTGGATGCTTGAGCGGAAGAGTCGCTGGTACCTTGGCAGCTGGACCGTGGGAGTGGCGCCAAGGGAGGATAGGCTTGACTTCTGTGTCGTTTGCGTCTAGGACCGCCGACTTGATCGAGTGTATCTGGTAATGGAGTTGCTACATCGTCTAGAGCTGGGGATTGTCTGGGCGAGCGATGCTTGCTAAAGGAGCCGATGCCAAGAAGTTCTTTGCTGTGGGAAGATGGTGGTGACAAGGCATTGTCGCGGCTTGCTGTCGACGGAGCGGGATCGTCAAAGAGAATGAAATCTCTTTGAGGTGCCATGTTTGCTAGGGGGGTCATGCTGCTCGAAGGTCAGCAGAAGGTAGTGATCGATCAGGTCTCGTGGTGGTGTCGTGGTGGTGGTGTCGTGGTGGTGGTGTCGGAAGGAATGTCGAGGCCAAGAGGGTGCAAATGGCCAAGAGAAGAGGAGAGACTGGCAAGTGTTGGTCCTTGCTTTGGTTGGAGGCTTTGGCTATTGTCGTCAGTTGGCTGAGTGGAGGCTGAGGAGCCGTCAATTGCGGTCACCACACGCAACTCGCTCTCACATTTTCCCACGATACAATGCTCGAGTAAATCAGACAAACACTTTCAGCGGATCATCCGACAACTGTATTTTCGGGGCAGATTGACAGTTCGGCTTCATTCCGCATCTCTTATTCCAATTTCTGTGGCTCTGTGTCTTTCGGAGGAAGCGACAGTGCCAAGTGTGTGCGCAATGGGGTGTGAAAAAGCTAAGCGTAAGTCTGTTCTCTGGCAACAGCCAAGGAGGAGAGAAAGTCGCCTAACCGCATTTCCTCCATTTTCGCAACGTAAGCCTTCTTCTCTCGCTTTGAACGAGACTACTGTCCTCTTACTTTTTACTTTTCTTTTTTCTTTTCTTTTCTTTTTTTCTTTTCTTTTCTTTTTTTTCTTTTCTTTTCTTTTTTCTTTTCTTTTCTTTTTTCTTTTCTTTTCTTTTTTCTTTTCTTTTCTTTTTTTCTTTTCTTTTTTTCTTTTCCCCCACCCAACCCCTTGTTGCGAGGCGCAAGCGTAAGGACTGACCATCGCGACGTCACTCTCCAGAAAAGCGTTTTATGGGTTGGTAAATTTATTCTCGATTAACTTCATATGGCCCGATTTTCTGGCTAGGGTCAAGGCTGCAGGCTGAGGACCTCTCTTTGCTGGCGGTCAAACGGAGCCTTGCAGCCTGCGTCCCGATTGCAAACCGAGCGATTGCCAACATCCTTTCAGCGTCGAGGCTTGGACAAGCATAGACTTGCTCGCACTCGGCCCTTGCGCTCGTCCCAGCTCCGGTGTTCATGTCAAACAGCGTCGACACAAATTCAGACAGACAGGCTTCACAGCAAACAAAACGCTGTTGGAAGCGTGTGACAGCGGGCCTATCATTGCTACTGCCCATTAGCATCCTACAAAGTGAAAGCCAGCCAGTCTACTGCAAAAGATCAGCATCATTGAACAGCACATTGAGCGCCTTCAATCCCTTTGCAACGCCGTAAGATGCGCTAGCCATCGTCGACTTGGTGCTCTTGTCAAATGCTTCCTGTCCTTGCATCTCGCTCAGCTTCTCGCAGTTGTCCGTCAACTGGTCCAAAATCCTCTCTCCCTCGCTCCTGCTCTTGGCTGGCAAGTTGCCCTTCGAGATGGCTACAATCGATGAAACGATGGTAGTGATCTGAGTGAGGTTCTCGCTGAGCTGCACACCCTGCGCTCCCTCGCGGATGGCAGAGAGAAGGGCTTGGATCGAGTGCACGATAGCCTCGGTTTGCACTTCAATGTAGTTGCGCAGTTCTGACCAGTTCTCTTCACCGTTCTGGCTCTCGAATCCGCTTCCGCTCGCAGAGGTGGTCGTGTCAAGGCTGTCGTACGTTTCGGATCGCTGCACTTGGCTGTCCGACGTTCGAGCAGATGGCGATGCTGCTCCGCTGCGTGGCAACATGCCATTGACACCTTCAATCGCTGCTGTGGGCTTAGCATCCGCCATCAAGCGTTTGGCACCGTGCGAGTTGCGCATCTCGGCCATCGCTGCCATGCTTGGTGTGCTTGCGTTGACACTTGCCAACGAAGAGATCGAGGTCGTTCGACTGCGCCACTCGTTCTCACCGCTCGAGTCCTTACGGATCGTCTCGGCTTTGTACCCGATGGGCGAGTATCGACCCATGGTAGGACTGTTGCGGATGCGCGGCGAGAAGCGGTCGTCGCCAGCCGCCGAGCTAGGATTGAGACTCGCAAAGCTGTACGAGTTGGCCGTGTTGGGCGACAAAGTTGCGCTTGCCTCACGGTTGGCTGACTGTGCGTTGATATGCAACGGCTTCAGTCGTGCTGCTACCGAAACCTCGCCGAACGTCGCCTGAAATTCGTCCGTTTCGATCTTGCTCGCCTTACGCACTTTGAGCAGCTTGACCAAATCGACAATTGTAGCAGAGACATGGCTTGCAGCGGCGTCCAACAAGCTGACCGGTGAGAGTCCATGCGAAGAGGCGTGGTTGCGGCATGCAGTCATCAGGTTGTTGAGTGTTGCCGAGCATTTGGACTTGAGTGCCATCAGCTCTTCCTGCTCTTCGGGCGACAACTCAGCCAGGTTGGCAGGGATCTGTTCGTACTTGGAAACATCGTCCGTCACCAGCGTTGTTGCCAGCACGACTGTCTTCATCGACAAAAGCACGTTGCCTGGCGTCTTGGATCGCGCCGCTGCCAACAGCTCATCGATCGAGCTCTGGAACGCTGTGAGGTTGACATCGGCAATCGCACCCTTGTCCGAAGCTGGCAAGAAGCCATCTGCTTTTGGCGGCTGAACGTACAGCTGCGATGTGGCTTTGAGATTGCGCAGTTCTGTCTTGGCTGTCTCATAGAGTCGCTTGTAGTTGGCCATCTGTGCATTCAAGTCCTTGATGACGGTCACGTCGTTGTCCCTATCCGCCTGCATCTCGTCGTTGCGCGCTGAGAGACCACGAAGCTCCTCCAAGAGATTGCTCACTTCCTGCTTGAGTTCGCTCACCACCTCGGCTTGCTGTGCATGCTCCTTTTGCAATGCTTCAAAGTCGGCCTGTCCAGCGATCTCGGCCTTCTGCTGCAACTCTCTCCTGATTGACTCGATCTCGGATTGCTTCTCTGTGGTGAAAGCGCGATGACGTTGGCGATCATCTTGGTGCTTCTGCTTTGCCTCTTGGAGCTCGTTGCGCAGCTGTGTTAGCTGTTTGTTGAGCTCTTCGTTGCGACCAGCCAGCTCATCGGCTTTGCGTGCGCGCGGCGCAGCTTCAGCAACCTGAGACTCGAGTGAGCTGACTTGCTGTTGCAGCTTGGCGATGCGAAGCTCGTAATCGGACCGCATTTTTTCCATCATAGCAGATGATGCATCCGTCTCGAAGGCACTGGATCGTCCCAAGCTGGGGCTTGCAATGCTACCAGCTGTATAGCCGTTAAAGAAGCCCGTACCAATGCTGCTTGCTTGACTATACATGGTGCTGCGATTGTCTGCGATGCCGTTGGCGCCATTGGATCCCATCGAGTCGCGCAAGGGTGAGGAAACGCGTTCCGAGATGTTGTCGAGGCTGCGATCAGCCGCTTTGGATCCGCTAACCGAGTATGGCACGGTGATGTCTTCTTCGACGAGTGTGCTCTTGGCAGGAACGATGCGGTCCGAGGTGGAGGGCTGTGGTTGACCGATCGAGTCTTTGCGTTGCAATACCGCTTCTGCCTCGTCTCGCATCTGCTGCTCTCGCGCTTTGTCACGGGCGATAGCTTCGGGACGAAACTCTTGCTTGAGTTCGGGGAATCTTCGCTCGAGCTCAAAGAAGACGTCGGAGGCCAGATCCTTGAATCGGTTCTTTGGCAGCGTTGCAAGCTTTTGTCTAGCCTGATTCCTTTTCGGGTGGAACTCATCGCGCACCGCAAGGAAGGGTTGGCTGTTGCCGTTCTTTGCATTGTTCTGGCGTCGCACGAGCTCATCATAGACATCAGTGGAGAGCTCGGTAAACTGTTGCTTGCTAAGACGAGTGAGCTTTTCGCGAGCATTGGATCTTGGTGCTGTCTGTTCAACCTTGGCGAGATGACTTCGGAGGAAGCCAAGAAGCTCGACATAGTGAGAGCGACCGACACGCTTGATCTCTTCCGTGTCTGGGCGTATGCGACGATATCTCGAGCCGGATGGTTGTGACGAGGTTACAGAGGAACCAAAGGAAGCGTCCTGATTGCTGATGTTATTTGAGACGAAGCGCGGACTGGAAGCAGGAGCATCCTGAAGCTGAATAGAAGGAGCTCCTTGCGGCGATGTTGGTGGAAGCGAGTTTGAATAAGATTCGTGAGATCCAACACGGTTGGGTGGATGGAAGGCCATCGCAGATCCGTTTGAAGAGGGAGAGTAACGAGAGGATGCCATTCCTCTGCTAGCAGCGTCGATGCCATTCATATTCGGAGGTGGCGACATTGCGTTCGGGTTGAAGTGTTGGTGGGGTGGCTGAGGCGGGGGCTGCATGGGCATCATGGCGAACTGTCGCTGTTGCTACGGGATCGTCTGCCTCTGTCAAGTTTTCGGAAGAGCCGATGAGATGTTTCAGCTTTCGGCTGCGCCCGACGATGGCGTGAGAAAATGCAGTGTGCAATATCAGCAGTTGATAGCTTAAGCTGTTGGTGTGACCTTGAATGATCGCACTGTAAAGATCCAGAAGAAGGTGCAAGTCCAGAAGAAGGTGCAGATCCAGAAGAAGGTGCAGATGGCGTGTGCTATCCAAGATCCTTCCTTATCGCTCTTTCCGTCGTGAGCGAATGGTGCGAAGAGTGACGTGAAGGCGGCGAGGACGTGCACTGGCAGTGATGACGACGTTGCTTTGGCCGTGGCAGATGAGGTGGGATGGCGATCAATCACTGATGCTGGATCGTGATGGCCGAGGTTGGATGAGAGTTCGGTGATTGGTAGCGTGTAAATCCGTCCAGGCTGTCTGCGACTATGAAAAGGGGTTCGGACTGGAGTGAGGTTAAGGCGGCTTGAGTCGAAATGAAGTTTCGAGATGGTGGATGGAGACAGGAGCAAGACTGAGATATGAAAAAGTGCTCTCTAACGTGGATACGGCCGAAGCAAGCCAAGCCAAGCGAGGAAGCGTGTGTTGATGGCAAGCAAACCTATCAAAGCTGAGGCGATGTGCTGCTGTAGACCTTGCTTAGTTCGACTGCTTCACCGCCGCTGCTGCTGTGCACGCTAAATTTGAACATGAGGGGCAGTGCAGCGACAATGCCCTATAATCACCGAGCACACACTCACACACTCACACACTCACACACTCACACACTCACACACTCACACACTCACACACACACACACACACGCACACACACATATGTATATGAGCGGCCATCACACCCAATTTTGCAATCAATCCACCTGCAGACGGACCAGCAGACTCGGGTCCAAAGAGAGACAGTCACACGCGGCCAGCGAGAGAGAAAAAGAAAACTCTTGCTTCATAGCTCACGTTGGACCCCGGCGATCCTGCCAAGCCAAGCAAGAGTGAGAGAGAGGCGGACAAAAAAGTGTCCTGTCCTTTCTTTCCTTCCCTTCCTTTGATGCCGAGCACAAAAAGGGGAACAAAAGGGAAACAAAAGAAAAAAGGACAAGAATCGCGCCCCGCTTTGGCGTGCTGGCATGTCTAGCAATTTGGCCGTTTTTCTCTCCAAGTGCTTCACGTGATCATCAAAAAGGCTTGCTGGACTCAACAATCGAATTGTTCCGCTTCTCCGTTCCTCATGTATATACAATTTTTAGTTACCTTTCGTGCGAGTGAGTCCAGTCGGGACTGTAACCAATTTTGAGAGTTGTCGCCAACGCGTCCGACACCTACAACGCGACACCTTCACAACACGACACCTTGACAACACACGGCAGAAATTGCAATCGGGGATCTTGTTAAAAAGGGATCGCGATAAGCTGCCTCCACATTCTGCTCAGATCACTTGCCTGCCAACGCTCGCTCGACGGCAGCCAAGATTTCTGTCAAAGTGACGTTACTCATACTTCCAAACGTCTGACAAGACCGAACAACCGCCTTGCTTCCTCGTAGCTGCAGCCGAGCATCTGACAGCTGACTCTGTCTGTCTGTCTGTCTATCCGGCAGTTCGACCGCTGCTGAAGTTATGATTCATCGAGACGCCATCGCCTAGGCCAAGAGTATCTTTTTTTGGTTTGCTACACCGCGTGGCGGTGTGGACTATGAGATCACCCTGCTTCGAGGTGTTGCCCCCTGCCCCTCTGCCCATCTTCCAGTCTGCCTGTCCTTCCACCTTGAGCAGCGCAAAGCCAGGGCTGGGTATGATGTGATTCTCCGCCCTGCTTCCCACCTCTGCTACGTCTGCTGTGTTCCTCCACCTAAACACCGTGACCTCCACCTAAACGCCGTGACTCTCGAGTGTCAAGGCATACTTATACCTTGAGCCTGTACCTCATCTTGCGCTCCACACCAACGACCACATACCGCTCTCACACTATCACAGGAAAGCATAACAATCATGTCGACCAACACTCAGGCTCACGACCCCACCGCTCAGGGCGCCGCCCACAAGGGCTCCGATCTCACTCCCCAGCAAAAGATCGACACCCTCCTCGAGATCACCAAGCACATCGGCACTGGTATGCTCACCTCTCGCTCTCCCGATGGCAAGCTTGCCTCTCGAGCCATGGCTCCTGCAACCACCGAAGGTCTCGTCTTCTCCTTCTACATGAACACCGATTCTGGCAAGACGGACGATATTGAATCTGACCCTCAAGTCAACGTCGCTTACTTTGACCCCAAGACCACCGACTGGATCTCCATCTCCGGTAGGGCGGTTATCAACCGTGACCCTACCAAGATCAAGAAGCACTGGAGCAGCAGCTTGAATGCATGGTTCGATGACAAGAAGGATGGAAAGCACACTGGTGACCACAACGATCCTCGTGTTGTGCTGCTCGATGTCCAGCCTGAGGAGATCAGGATCTACAAGGCTGACGGTAAGCTTGCACAGTTGGGTCAGATGGCAAAGGCTGCAGTCAGCGGTCATACTGCTAGCCCTGGTAAGCTCCTCATCTTGACCGGCCAGGAGATTCAGCTTGCTAGCGGTGTCTACAAGCCTCAACACTAAGTGCGCAAGCTTAAGAATGTTTGTAGTTAACTTTCAATGATATCCCCCATTTGACTCGAATTGCCGATTTGCCATTATCATGGTCTCCTGAGCTAATTTGATGTTGTGTGCTGTTCAATATTGATGCTCACTACTATACTCTCTCGTATGGTGTCAGTTGGTTCTTGCTGGCCAGCCTATTCGCCCCGAAATGATGCTATACTTGCTCGCTGTACACGGCACGCACGGCGAATAAGTCGGTCATCTCGGACCTAGTAGCCATCCCACCCTCTTCCTTCCCCCTTCATCTCCCATCCCCTCCTTCTTCTTCTTCTTCTTCTTCACCGCCATCGTGCGCAACGTCAATCATCCTGAACGACACCGTAAACATGTCTTCAAACCAACACAACAATCCTCTCTCGCACTTCCAATCAGCCAACCTATTCGACGTCGCCGGCCTAGTCGCAGTCGTCACTGGCGGCAGCTCCGGTCTTGGACTCTACGCCGCCCATGCGCTCGCATCCAACGGTGCGCTAGTCTACATCCTTGGTCGACGCAAACCCCTTCTCGACACCACTGTTTCCCAGTTCCACTCTCTTCTTCCCGACCCATCCTCCCGCAAGTCTGGAGACTTGGTCGCTGTTCAAGCTGACATCACATCCAAAGAGTCACTTACTGCTGCTCGAGAGTTTATCACCACCGACCTGGCTCAGCAGGGGAAGAAAGGTATTCAGACATTGATCTGTAATGCTGGTATCGGTGGGAAATTCCTCCGTTCCTATGGTCAACATCCTCCCTCTGTCCCAAACCCAAAGTCTCAGGCTGAAAAGGATAGGGAGTTTGGCGAGATAGTTGATGAGCTATGGTCGTTTAGCCAATCCGACTGCGCCGCAATACTGAACACCAATGTCACTGGAAACTATCTTACCGCTCTAGCTTTCCTACCCCTCCTCAAAGCAGGAACCTCGCCAGACTATCTCTCTCAAACAATCTTGATCTCTTCCAACGCTGCTTGGGCAAAAGTCCCACTGCTGAACCCCATCTACAACATCTCCAAAACCGCCGTCTCACATCTGGGTCAGATTCTGTCGACGATGTTTTGCGACCACGGATTGCGAACCAACATCATCGAACCAGGTCTCTATCCAAGCGACCTAACCAGTACAGAAGGAAGAGACGAAACCACAGGTCATGGAAAGCTAAGTCACACAAACGGAGCAGATATCCCAATCGGCAGGTGTGGTAAACCGGAAGAAGAGCATGCCAGTGCGGTCTTGTATCTGGCTAGTAGAAACAGTCAATTTGCCAACGGAGCCAGGATAAGGGTCGATGGTGCGGCATTGCAGAAAGTAAGTGCCCCTTGTCCATTTGACGACCTTGTCCATATGACAACCTTGTCCATTTGACGAGTGCTTGTAGAGCTGACATCTCCTTTCTTTTTCTTTTTCTTTTACTTGATCGGCGTTTGATGCTATAGTTGCCTGCTTCTGATTGAGCAAGGATGCATTTCTACAGATCTCTTTCACAAACTAAGCTTGTAGCAGACTGTCATGCAGTTGGACTGAGCCAGTCGAATGCGAATGAGAGTCTGTTTTCGCAACTTTGCTCTTCACACTTCATCTTCACATGCTCCCAAGTGCCATATCAATCTGTGTTCAGCCCAAAACCCAAGCTTCCGGTGTTATTTGCGGCCACAGTACTATATGTGGTCTCAAGCTGTGATACCGCTCTTCTTAACCTTGCCTTTACTACCTCCTCCCGCACCACTCCCTGCACCTCCTGCAGCCATCGTCACTCCACTCAACCCCGCCGCCGCCGCCTGCTGCTCCGCCTTCTCCCTGTCCAACTTCTCCCTCTCCCTATCAATCAACCATTTTCTTTCGGTTGCCGTGGTCCATATAACCCTCCGGGGCATCTTACCCGTAGGAGGAACTTTGTATCTCTGTTTCTCCTGTTCTTGATCCGGAAGAGTGTTGGCTTGCAAAACCCAATCTTTCATCTCACCCTCGCCTTCTGCCTCCTTCTCCCCATCCTCACCCTCCTCCACTCTCTCTTCCTCTTGGGCTTCCTTGGCAATGGCGAGTTCCTGAGCATGTTTCGTCCTCTGTCTGTGCTCTCGCATTTTCTCCTGATAGAATCCTTGCAACAAGCCAATCTGGTCTCCAATCGCACTTGCAACCAGCGGTATTGATTCTGGAGGTGGTGGATAAGGAAGCACGTTCTCCTTTGCCGCACTTTCCCCGCCTGCTCTAGCCAACAGGGCTGAGTTCTTCCCCCTCCCGTAAAACAGTCTACTGGGAACAGTCAAGCCACTCAACCCGACCTCTCTATCCAATCCAAGTTCTTTAAACCCAAAGTAATCATCTCCCAAATCTTCAGCAAAGTTACCCGCAACCAAAGCCTCGCCATTATCCGCAAACAATGCTTCATCTTCAATCACTCCTCTACCCCGTTCGGTGGAGAGGGTAAACTGTTCTCGATAGCTCGACCTGAGTTTGCGGAGTAAGTCGGACATTTTCGATCCGTACCGTTCAACGTTGTTCTTGATGTAATTTTCCAGCCCAGCAACGTCGGTTCCTTGGGTCTCTTGGAGCGTGTGAAGGATCATTTCTTCCGCCGACATGCTCGTTGCGTACCTATCAGCATACAGCCTCAACATTCGACCCATGTTCCCTAAAAACTCCCCCAGAGTATCAGTTAGCACATCAACCGCGGATCGATGTCCACCTTCGAACCCCTGGTGTGCGAGTATAAGCCTTACGTTGTAAGACGCATGCTCGCGCGCCGACTCCGCCGAGATACGGGTGAACGGATTTCGGATCTGCCCAAAACGCGACCAAGAAGCGTCATCTTCAGGGTCGGAAGGGTAGTCCGATTCCTCATCCGAACTCATCGAAGTGAGGTATGCAGGGATCGGTGCTTCGTTCTCGACAAAGTGGGCTAGGGAGAGGAACTTTGCATGGGTTGCTTGAACTTTGTGTAGGGTTCGAATGTTACGTGCTATTTTGCCCTGAAGTCCTTTCCGATGGGTGGCTGGGATTAGGTGGTATGCTTTTTTCCGCCGTTTCTTCCCTCTACCTCTTTCTTCGTCTTCTGCTTCTTGAACTGGAACGCGGTCGGAAGAGGGGAGGGAGGGTAAAGCACCAGTCATGAGTCGCTGTGAAGTGGTGACTGTGAACCAATCTGCTGATGCATCGAGGGGCGAGATTCCGTGCGGTGTTGTTGAAGCGGTAGTGATGGATGCAGCGTGAGATTGCGCTTGTGATTGCGACCGAGGTTCCGGCGTAGCTTTCTCCTTGCCCTTCCCCCGCTGCGGTGGTGGTGCGAAGATGGAAGAGAGTACCGTACTCAACACATGCTCTTCCTCCTCCGCATCCGCCTTAATGCTATCCATAGCTTCCAGTGGTTGCTTAGCTAGTGCGGTCATCATCGGCTTCGAACTTGGCCCAGCACCTTGCTCCACCATACTCAACCCCGCATCAATCCTCGCAAAATTCAGCATCCCCGCCGATGTCCTCACAAAGGCTTCTTGATCCCCAAACTCCCCTCCTCCCTCTCTCCTCTTCTTCCTCTTCCTCTGCTCCTTTCCATCCTTCCCCACCTTTCTCCCCTCCACGCCTTGATCAACTCTAACATCCTCCACTGGCACCCCATTCGCATTCATCCGCTTTCCGCTTCCCGCATTCGCACCCCACTGCCCTAAAACATCCCTAACCTCACTCTTCTCGCCAATAAATTCCAACAAATGATTCGCCTTTTTTCGCATAAACGCCACATTCCTCCTCAATGGATGACTAGGATCGCTGTTATACGTCAGACAATTCTCCCAGATCAACTCTAAATCCGCCGCAAACTGTTTCTTTGTCTTATACTGTCCGCTTTTCACTTTTTTCTGCATGGTTCCCAAATCCATCGGATGCTTAATGACGTCGTAGTAGTCCGGTGCATCGCGCTTGGAAACTTTGGAGAGGAAAGCGGTGGAATGCTCGGTGTAGTTTTTCAGTTCGGTAATGATTCGATCGATCGATTCGAGGAATTCTTCTCGTTCATCACGACCTTTGCAGACTTGGGTGAGAAGGTCGCGCAGTTCGGAATCGGCGAGCTTGACGGAGGAGCGTTTTGCTTCGATTGCTTGGAGTAGGTATTTCATTGTGCCCGTATGAGAGGGGGTGAGGGAGCTGAAGTGAAGCTCGAGTGCGTGATTGGTTGCATGTGTCGGATGAGGATGAAATTGAGGTTCCGCGATGGTTCGAAGCACGGATATTGTTGTTAGAGATGATGATGGATGATAGTCAAGTGTTTGAGGACGCGGGGGAAGCAACCGAGACCGCATTGCATCGGTCTTCCGAGTTCCGAGTTCCGCTTTCCGGTTTTTCTTTTTTCTTTTTTCCTTTTTCTTTTTTCCTTTTTCGCTTGCTCCTTGTCGAATTCGGCCAAATCTCGCGTCGCCATTCACCGCTGCGGCGTCCCTGACATCTGTCTATCAAACACAAAAGAAAAAACACTCATACCGACGCCTGGCAGCAGCGACCATACATCTCGTACTCATCATATTTGCATGTTGATTTCACGCTCTCAGTCTGTCGATTCATACGCTTTCAAACAAAGGGAGATTCAGTTTGCCATTGAGCAGTGCGTTCACTCCTGCGAGGACATGGTCTGGCCGTTAGCCTGTGCGGCTTGATGAGCTTGAGCTTCTTGCACCCTTGTTCGGTGTCTCTGCCTCTCATCGAGCTCTTGCAGCAGCTTGTCGGGGTCATCTACGACGAAGCCATGTGCGAAGGTATGTCTGAACATGTTGTTTGGGTCGACACGCTTCTTGATTTCCAACAGCCTCGTGAAGTTGTCAAGCCCGTATGCACCGATGACGCGATCCATCCTCTCGGATCTGCCCAAGAAGCAAGGATACGGCCCACCGACACTGACCTTGTTCACCACCTCGTTCAGCCAGCGCTCGACGCTTTCAATACAAGTTCGATCCTCTGCTTTGCCACTCCATTGCTGCAAGGATCCGACGGTGAACTTGGCTGCTCGTGCTTCGGGGCAGATGCAAGTCTCGTCTGCAGGACTGTCTTGCACTGCTCCACCCATGAGTTCGAAGAGCCACACTGCTCGGCTACCGAGGCTTTGGAAGTTGCGAACACTCTTGGCAATCACATCATCAGTCAGTGTCGAAATGAGGTCTCCACGCACCATCCATCGTCGACCAGTGCCACCTTTGAGAACCTTTGCAACACCATCTTGCTGCGAGAGGAAGCTGCGTTCTTCCACATCCTTCAACAAGAGCCTCTCTCCAGTCCAACTGCTGATGGCTTGGACAAGTGCTTCACCATCCAATTTTGGGCCGAGGTAACAGACCTGAATGACGATGACATGCGATGTCTTGCTCGGTCCAGCAGTGAGGATGAGGTTCGTGTACAAGTTCCGTGGAAGTCCAGCCTTGAGACAGTCTCGCCAATGTCGAATGAGCGAGCTCGCCGTTGCTGGATTGAGGGGGTAGATGAGGTTGCCCGAGTAGACGGATGGCACAGGGTATGCCTTAGCGGTGAGTCGAGTGACAATGCCAAAACAAGGCGCTGCACCTCGTACAGCCCACCACAAGTCCTGCTCTTCCTGCGACTTGTGCCTGGACTCGTCATTGAGCGTCATGATCCTGCCATCCGCCAAAACCATCTCGACTTGGACAATGTTGTCGAGCGAGAGACCGTAAGCTCGCGTCAGGTATCCGAACCCACCAGTCGTCATGGCTGTCGAACCGACAGGATACGCCGAAACAGGCACGTGGTATGGCACACCATTGACAACGAGTGGTGGCATAGGATCATCTTGCTCCACCTGCCCACTCTTGCCTTTGTTCTTCTCATCCATTGCAGCGAGCAAGTTACCTTGCCGTCCTGCGCGGTCTGTGAAGGCATCAAGACCTCGAATGCCTACGCCCGGGCCAAATGATGCCAGTGCATACTTGTCTTTGTACACGCCGGGAGACAGGATGGCCGTTGCTTGCTGGTGAGACCCTTCCAAACGCGAATCAAAGTTGAACGGGGTCGAGGCGTCAGGAAGCTGTGGAGTCGGCGATGGCGAGCCGTACTTTGGCAATGGCGACGGGATGAAGCGCGGCAAGTTGCAGCTGGAATCGTTGCTGGCATCTTGATTCACAGCCCAAGTGCTGGATGGCCATGCATCTTGCAAGTCGCTGAGCGTCGAGGCGCCAAAGTAGCCCGTCGCGCCGCTGGGTCGACCTGAATCCATCTCGTTGGACGAATCTTCGCCCGAAGAAGAGCGGCAACTGCGCGAATTGGATTGACACAGGGCAGCTTCAGGATCAGCTGCAAATGCTTTTGCGTCCCATGGCAGCGAACCAGGTGCAGTTGAAATACTCGAGATACCGGCTTCTGCACCGTCGCTTCGCCACACGAATCCACCTTGAGGAAGCTTGAGCTTCTCGCTTGAAGTGTCGGCGGGCGGTCTGTGGTTTCTGTGCCATGGTGAATGCTCTGCACTGGCACTCATGTCCCAATCATCTAGTGTTTGGCTGTTGGAGACACGGCGTCGATAGCATCCTGAATCTGAAGCTGAACCAGACCCAGATGCTGAATTCGAACGAGAGGCAGAGCGACGCTGCGATGTAGATCTGCGCCCACCCTCAGGCTTCGGCATTGAGATCAAGGAGCGACGCTTGAAAGGCAGTGACTCGTCGCCGACATTATCAGTAATGACGCTACCGATGGCATCTGCGTCTGTTTTGATGTCGGCATGGTCGCGGTCGCAACCTGCATTCGAAGATTTGGCGGACGACTGCTTCGAAGCCGAAGTGAAACTAGATGCGAGGTGCGAAGAGCTGCCACCACTGTTGGAGCCAGAGTTGCTACCACCACCAGGTGAGTCGGATGCATTGCCCGACAGATCAGGCTGTCTGTCGACCCAGATCTTTGCGGGAAGGGGTGCAACGGATGGAAGCGAAGAGGAAGATCTGGCAGTCGGGTAGAGCGGCGCAGTATCAGGCGGCTCGGAAGCGTCAAGGAAGTCACTTCTGGAAGCGGCCACACGCCGTACGTCGCTGTTGGTAAGACTAGAGGCAGCAGCGTTACTTGGCTGCTCGCGTTCCTGCTCGTTATCATTGTCACGTTCTTGGTCCTGGTGCTGATGCGTTGAACTGGCATAGGAGCTCTCGCTGTCTGCATCTGCGCCACACTCATGACTTTGATCCTGCTGCATTGATTGTGACCGCGACTTGGCATCGTTGGTTGCATCCTGCAATGTGGGATACAACAGATTGCTATCTTCCGTCCTGCGCTTTGGGGTAGATGTATACTGGGAGGCGCTGAAGTTGGCATTGTCGACATCCGAGAGCGTAGCGAGGTAGGCATCGTCCGACTCGCGTGGCTTACGCTTCAATGCATTCTTAGGAGCATCCTGCGGGTCGACATCTTCGGAGGAGTCATCCTTGAAGTTTTTGGACATGGTGGCCGGATCCTGGAGAGGGGTCGCGGATGAATTATGGTTCTGCTGAATAGTGAGTTGGTCTGCTGCACGGAGGACAGAGTCGCTCTGAAGGGTGATCGAGTTGGAGTCGGCTTGAGCGGTGATGGGATCGATTGCTGCTGATGGTGGTGGGACAGCGAAGGCCGAGGTTGGCGAGCTAGCAGATGCTGCTAATGGGGGCTGCTGCTGAGAAGACGAGGCGCTCGACGATCTGGAAGCAGCGTCAGAGCGGTTAAGGCAAAGGTTACTTGGCTGGTAAGAAGTAGCGAGCCCTGTAGAGGGAACGGTCAACGGTGATGAATCTGGTACAGCGCCAGCGCCAACTCGGGATGGTATCGAGTTGGGCACGACAAGCTTGATGTCATGCATGAGACTAGTGTCGATGACCACCTCACCCTGAATGGCCCAACCAGCAGTGGCAAAACCTCCGGATTTGATGGATGGCGAGAGACGGTGAGTAGCGCAGAACTTGACCAGAGCGGAAACGTCTTGAACATCGACAGGCATGGTGACCATCCAGCCACCCAATGGAGCAGCATCGTTAAAGATTGTGATGCTCTTAGCAAAGAGAGGTTCACCACGGATGGCGATCTGACCACGAAAGATGGTGGCAAGCTGAGCTCGCAGCGATTCGAAGCGAGCATACTTGTCCCTGACGTCTTGCTTGGCCATGGGAGTTGGCTCGGGGATGTCGTATGGTGGGATGCGATCTGTCATGGTGTCGGAGGGTGGCTATAGATTGTGGGTATCAAGGTCGGATTGCGAGGTTGTGATTTCGTACGGGCTGGCAGGTCAGAAGGACAGAGCCAGGGACCTGCGTGTGCAGAATGGTGCGGAGCAAGCCCAAGGCTGAAGAGACTCTTGTTGATGTGCGAGTTGGAGCCGGCTTGTTGGCAGGCAGCAACGGCGGAAGCAGTTGGGAGGTGATTGCTGGACAGCGTGCTGAGCGACAGCTACTATTGGCGTAGCCGCAAGTCCGAGTACCGAGTGATCCAGTGCGATTGGAGAGGAGCTCAGCGGAAGAGAGTAGATGTGGACTATTGGAAGCTGAGGGTCGATGAGAAGTGATCGGTTAAGGGTGAAGGTGTATGCGTTCAATACGGGTCGAGGGGAAGTAGATTTCCTGGCCGTTTGTTGTTTATGTTGCAATGATCGGTGAGAGCGGCTCAAGCTTGCAAATGTTGGAGAGGTGATGGAAATGATGATGAGAAGGTTGACAGATGAAGGCAAAGTGTGACAGTCTCGACTGTGGGGAAGAGGAGAAGGGGAAGAGAAGAAGGGGAAGAGAAGAAGGGGAAGAGGAGAAGGGGAAGAGGAGATAGAGAGAGAGAGGCGCGGACCACATCGGGCGGGATTTTGGGATGGAAAATCCAGCTGAGTGTTACTTTTGTGTCGACGTAACAGAAGGTAAAAGGAATTCGAATCTAACATTGAGAATGCAGCGCGAAATGATGAGGTGTCGCTGCCCATTCGCAAGCTTGGCATGACGTCTCACAAGACTGAGAAAGGCCTGCTCGAAACACCTTGTCCGACTCTTGCTTCCCCTCATCATACCCCGTCACCAATACCATCTTTACCTTACCCTCATCTCGACCCTCATCTCGACCCTCATCTCGACCCCGATCGCATTCGAATCAAGCAGGCCAAACAGGGCTCACGCACTACTCCTTGCCTGCTCTCGACACCGACACTTAACCCTCGGCCGCTGGTTGGTCTTCGCTTCATACGCCGCCGATCATGGCATCCACCGTCATGTCTTTCGCTTCTCGCTCTGGCAGCAGCACCCTCACATCTCTTTTCCTCGCGATTCTCTCCTCCCTTTTCATCTTGGCATCATCCGTCTCAGCATCGGCCAAAAATGTCCAAATGCGAGAAATGGATTCCGACGCAATCGTCCCGCTCCGTTCCCACTCCATCTACGCACCCTACGTCGACTCCAACCTGCAAAACAAATTCTGGGATTTCGGAGCAGACGCCATCGTCGACACCAACCGACACATCCGTCTAACCCAAGACCGTTCGCACCAAATGGGTTGGCTATGGTCTCGTCTCCCTCTCACCGCCGAGAACTTTGAAATCGTATTCGAGTTCAACATCGACGGCCACGCTTCCCACGTAGCTGGAGATGGCATGGCAGTCTGGCTCACCCAAGATCGAGCAAAACCAGGGCCCGTGTTTGGAAGCATCAACTACTTCACCGGTTTAGGCATCTTTTTTGATACCTATCCCAACTCTCGACATCCCTACAGCTTCCCCAGGATCTCAATCATGAATGCAAACGGTGTCGAGGCATATGAGAATGACAAAGATGGTGCTAGACAGGAAGTTGCTGGCTGTTCCATCGACTATCGTAACTCCAAGGTCGCAACCAAGGGTAAACTTATCCACGTCAAAGACATCTACACAGAACTCCAAATCCACCATTCCGAATGGGACCACTGGCAATCATGCTTCAAGCTGGATAACATCACCCTGCCACTAAACCCCTACCTCGGATTCTCAGCACTCACAGGTGACGTATCAGACAACCACGACGTAGTCTCAATCACCTCATCCAACCTCATCTATCGCAACCGAACCCCACAACAGCTGAGACAAGAAAAGATCAAACACTTCCCAGAAAAGTTCGGGTTCAAACCAAAAAAGAAAGCTTGGAATTTCGGCGGCAACACCAAAGGCTGGTCTAGTGATGTAAACAGTGTTGGTGGTAGTGGCAATAAGCGTCGAGCACGAGTCGGGGCAGGGTTGGTGCGATTTGTCAAGGATGTGTTTGGGTTTGTGTTTTTCTTGCTGAAATGGGGTTTGGTTTTGGCGGCGATAGGTGCGTTGGTGTTGTTGGGATTGCAGTATCGAAAGAAGCAGAATATGAAGCGGTTCTGAGCATGAAGCGGTTCTGAGCATGAATCAGCCCTTGACCTAGCATAGCACAAAAGCAATGCTTGCAAATCAAAAGCATCTCTCTCACACGCCCTTTGCAAGTTTGTGAGGATGAACAGCTTTCACTTGTACTGAATCGCTAAAGTATCAGGAGATGTATCGAGACAACAGCTGGTCTAGCGTATCCAGATCAACACTCAGAGGTCTATTCGTTAACCTCACTCCTCCTGAAGTCCTCTTTCCTCCCGCAAATTGAACACTGAGCAAACTCGGCTGAGCAAAGGATAACGTGCAAACCAATCTCTGCCCTCCTTTACCTTGCTCGACATACACCTTGGCAGATCCTTTCAGCATCTCCTCCCTCCCACTTTGGCTCGGCCTGTAGATCGAGTGTAGAGACCCTTCCCCCTCACCCCCGCTTGCTTTGCTGGTGGGAGGAGTACAAGGTACCCCATCCACCATCCTCGCTAGGCTCCTCGTCAGCTCTTCCACCGTTCCGCGCGCCGCTGGGGAGAGACAAGTTCTTGGTGTGATGGGAACCAGCTTGATCCTAAGCTTGATCGCTCTTTCGCGCTGCACTCTCTCCTGTACTCCTCGTAGCACCACTCCGAGTCTGTAGACGAAAGACCAATAGTGCAGTCCAACTAGGATGGGACCGAGGCAATCCAGTTTCGATAGCGCCGCGCTCGTCGCTTTTCCTCCCGCTGCAATGCCTTTTCCTCCTCCTGACCCTGTGTCGGCCTTGGCGTTACCAGCAGAAGTGGACTTCTTCGGGACAGCAAGAGCGTTCGCTTTCAGTGCGCTGGCACGACTCGGTGCATCACATTTCCTGCCCTCCTTTGTTGCGCTCATGAATGCCATCGATTTCCTAAGCGGACCGAGTCGGAGGAAGGCTAAAAGCAGACTAGCGTGTGGTGAGTAGTTCACCTTCTTCTTCTCCTCCTCCTTCTTCTTCTCCTCCTCCTTCTTCTTCTCCTCCTCCTTCTTCTTCTTCTCCTCCTCCTTCTTCTTCTTCTCCTCCTCCTCCTCCTTCTCCTCCTCCTCTTTATCTCCAGTGTCAGGATTGGTCGGCACAAGCTCGACAATAAGATCGAGTCTTTTCGTCAAAACGATGCGAACCGAAGTAGGCGTAAGTCTCACCCCAAAAGAAGGCGGTAGCAGTCGAGCCTGGGCAACAACATCTCCAAAAATCAACTCATCCGAGGCTTCCCTCGACGCCATCTGCAATTCCGAATCCAGTACCTGCCCCATAACAATCCCTCCCTCCTTCTTTTCCCCTTCCGCAGCAGTAGCACAAGGGGGGTCGCTGGACCATTGAACCTTCCCTTCCATCCCTTCACCGCCTGTTGTCGTAGAAGGCCAAAGAACAAACCTTACCCGCAATCTCCGATGCATCCGATCAGGGAAGACAAGTTTTTGTTTCACCTTCTCTACCAATCCTCCTCCTCCTCCTCCTCCTCCTCCTCCTCCTTCTTCTCTCCCACCACTACCAGCAGACGAGGCGGGCGTATCGGCCCAGTAGGCCAGACTTCGTCGCCTCAACTCAATCGGTGCTTCTGGCGATCCGAACCCAATCCAAGCATCTCTCGCACCTTCTTCTTTGACTTTCCCGTCCGAAGTAACAACGGGTGTTCCAAAGCCTTGCAATCCCGCAGCGCCCTTCTTCTTTCCCCCCGCACCCTTTTTAGTGCCTTGGGAGCCTTCCTCCTCTTCAGTATTCGAGACACCAAATCGTTCAACATCCAACAAAGGCCGCCCTGGAGTCAAACCCCATCCTCGCCCATGTAATCCTATCAATGCTCGCCATCGTTCTCGATTGGCGCCTTGACTCTCTCTCAACTCGTCCCCTGCACTACTCAGCAGTTCTGCTGCATTAGCGATTGCTTTTCTTTTACTTTCCAATACGATCTTAAACTCTCGCAACTTATTCAGCTTGAATCCTGCTGTGGACTCTAATTCTCGCTTCGCTTGTTTCAACCCGTACGCTGCGCTGTTTGGGTCCTCGTCAAAATCCTCCTCTTCCTCTACTTCGCCTTCAGTGGACACCTCTCGCCGAGTGGCAGTGGAAGGGTTCAAACTTGTCCTAGAGAGCGCGATGGAGAGCGGATCTAAAATAAACTCCTCTTCACGATTGGATGGGTGTGTAAGATAACCGAAGATCCCCAACGGTGCTTTGGTTGGGTTCGGAGCGGCGGTAGTTGTTGAACCTGACCTATTCGACTGCGTTCCAAGACTCGGTGCTGGAGACCTCATCCTCCCCGCTACCGCCGCATTATTCGAACTAGAAGCAGTATTGGTGGAGCGATACTGCTTTATCAACATGCCCAACAACTGATGCGCATGGATAGAGTTGAGATGCGCTACATCCAGGTTCTGTAACACTTTGCCTCTCAGTTTCACAAACTCGCTTTCCCCGATCGTACCGCCTACTGTGCCTTTGCAAGGATTCCGCAGTATCCCTTCTTCCTCTTCTTCTCCTTGTAGTTTGGGCTGATCTTCTTCATCGTCGCTTTCTTCTTCTTCAGAAGCGGGGCATTTGCGGGTGAGATCGGATGTGCGGAATCGAGAAAAATCGCCTCTTTCGGCCCAAAGCCGTCTAACATCCTCTGAAAGTTGCTGAGATGCGGGCTTGCGAGAGATGAAGATGTTGGTTCCATCCGGCAGAATGTCTGCTAGTTGTCGCTCGCGATCAAATGCTGTTGTGATAGAGGTGGATGAGGGAGGCAGGGGATTGGGATCGGTGTAGATGTGGACTGGTTCTATTGCCAGCTCTACTTCCTTGGAGGACGAGGGTATGGTGGAAGGACCTGCTTCAGAGGACGACATTGCTGCTGTCTGGATGGTGTGATGCTGGAGGGAATGTTGTTGCGGCTATGGTTTCATGCTGGCTGCCCTCTACTACGCTCTGGTGCGAAACGAGCAAGCCTTAGAGGTCGAGGATGGTGGCTTATGGTCGTGAGATGGTTGTCAAAACGGCAAGTGTTGGATGCCGTTTCTTCTGTGACTGGTTCGTGCATCTCAAAAAGCGAATGAGTTTCAATTTAATTTGGCCATTTTCTTTTTCTTTTTCTTTTTCTTTTTCTTTTTCTTTTTCTTTTTCTTTTTCTTTCTCACTTCTCTGCTCGCTATCGGACGCATCACCACAACGACGCCATCCCATTCGGTCCTGACACAGATGTTCTCGTACTCATCGTTCCATGTGACGTCTAGTAATGCATGAGATATATATTTGAGATACAAGCTCCACCACCTGCTGCCGATCCTCTATGATTACGCCCAATCCCCGCTCCCAGTCGCAACGAGTTGCTTGGTCTCTTCCTCTGCCACCCTTCGCTCCCAAGTTCTCCTAACTTGATGCAACCCAAAACTAACCGCCGCGATCCCAGCCAAAAACACCAAATCTGCCAGCGCCAACCCAGTCGTCTGAAACACACCCTGCAATGGCGGCAGATACACCATCCCCAGCTGTGCCAGCAAACTTATACTAACTGTCAACCCTAACATCCTGTTCGCGGTGATCCCCGTATGCAGGCCTCTATTCTGAACAGCAGAAACGAGATCGAGGAATACGAAGCAGGTGAAAGTCATTGTCGAATCTCTCTGATCTGCTACCTTGCCTCCCACCGCTGCTGAGGGATCTGGTTCGATATCCGCTGGAGCCAACTCGTGAATGTATACGTAGAGTGTACCCAACACCACCATCGTCGCCGAAAACGCAATCCGATAAAAGAGCCGGCGGGTAAGAACAGGAGAGTTCTTAGCTCTGGGAGGTCTAGCCATAACACTCCTCCTATCCACCGGATCGACTCCTAAACTCTGACTCGGAGGACCATCCATCAATATATTAATAAACAGAATCTGCATCGCATTCAGCGGCAACTTCAACCCCCATGCTGTACTCAACGTAATCAACGTTAGTGCTGCGACGGCGGTGGAGAGCTGAAAGGAAAGGAAATTTTGAATATTATAAAATATCCCCTTCCCTTCCTCAACAGCGGATAAGATGGTTGCAAAGTTGTCGTCGACTAGGATCACGTCTGCGGCTTCTTTTGCGACATCGGTTCCGCCTCGACCCATGGAGATACCGATATCGGCCAATTTTAGAGCGGGGGCATCGTTGACGCCGTCTCCTGTCATGGCGACAACGTGACCGGAGGATTGGAGGGCGGAGATGATCGACATTTTGTGCCGAGGGGTGGTGCGGGCGAAGACAGAGATCGTGGGGATGAGTTCAACGAGGGATCGCTCGGAGAGAGTGTCGATTTGGTGACCTGTTAATACCCCCGCTGTGGTGGTGGTAGAGGAGGAGGAGGAGGAGGAGAAGGAGGAAGTGGTGTTGGTGGAAGAAGAGGATGGCGAGAGAATGCCAAGTTGACGAGCCATAGCAACAGCCGTCACCTCGGAATCACCCGTGATCATCACCACTTGCACTCCACCCCTCGCTAACTGCGCAATTGCATCCTTCACCCCAGCTCTGGGAGGATCTTGCATCGCTTGCAAACCCGCAAAGGTCAAGCTTGCATTCGAACCAGAAGCAAATGCAACGACCCTCAACCCTTGACTCGACAACTTGATCGCCGCTTCCCCTATCTTCTTCCTCCACCCATCATCCAGTCTCACCGGTGATCCATCCGCTCCTAACACTGTACTGCTTTTCTCTAAGACAACTTCAAAGGCTCCTTTCATATACACCGCCTCCCCCAATCCCCCAGTCCTACTTGCAGAGCTGGTGGCGAGGGTACCAGTGATCGTCATGAACTTTTTCTCCGAATCAAAAGCCACTTCTGAACTCCTCTTGAAGTATGGTCGTTGATCTTCCAATCCAAACACGCTCAAAACGTTGACGAGTGCAACATCCGTAGCTTGGCCGACGTTTGTGCCTAGTTCGTTTCTATGAGAGTTGTTGCAGAGATTGCCGGTCAACAGCACCTTGGACAGTGCTTGCGAGTGGCGATGGGAGATGTGCTGAGCGGCATCGATAATCCCATCTTCTGCAGTCCAGCATTTCGTGACGGTCATTTTGTTTGTTGTCAATGTGCCCGTTTTGTCCGAACATACGACGGAGACAGAACCGAGAGTTTCGACCGAGGGAAGCTTCTTTACGATCGCCTTCCTGTTCGACATCCTAAGCACCCCCAGCGCCAACGTTACCGTAACAACGATGGGCAAACCTTCGGGAATAGCAGCAACAGCCAAACTTACACCAATAGTAAACATCTCCAACGCCGGCCTCCTTTGCCATACACCCATCAAACAGATCACCGCAATAACAGCAAAACTGACCATACTCAACTTCTTGGCCAATTCGTCCATACTCAACTGGAGCGGTGTTCGCTTTTGAACGACTTCATCGACCATGCTGAAGATCATGCCGAATTCGGTACTCGCGCCTGTACCAACAACGATGCCTTTTCCATGACCAGATTTGACGAGGGTTCCCATGAAGGCTATGTTCTCTCGCTCGCTGATCGACGTCACTTGCCCACACTGGCCACTACTCGCGCTGGTGCCGTTTACCGCGTTACTTTGGGGGTGGGAGCGAGGGATGAGATCAGCATGTTTCCTCCTCGGCTTGATCTCTCCCGTCAATGTACTCTCGTCCACCTGCAAGGAGAGGCATTCTGCAATCCTTACGTCTGCTGGCACTCTATCTCCTGTTGCAAAGGTTACTATATCCCCTGGTACCAACTCGTTCGCTAGTACACTGCTTGTTACTCCATCCCTAATCAGGTGGCAGTAGTGGGGAACGAGCTTATTCAGCGCTTCTAGCGACTTTTCGGACTTTTGCTCCTGGTAAAATGCAACGCTGATCACGATAAGGATGGCAATCGTAATGCTAAGCGCATCATCAATCTGTCCGATCAATAAGCTAACCGCGGCACTCGCCAACAAAAGCAATATCAAGGGCTCTTGAAACTGGGCGAGAAACTTCTTAAACGGATCATCGCCGGCTCTCACTGCAAACTCGTTGTACCCGCCTGCCTCTCTTCTTGCTTCATGCACAAGAAGTGGTGTCAGACCAGTTTGGAGAGATGGACAGTGCAAACGCTCCAAACACTGCTCTACGCTGAGATGGGTGTACTGTGCGGAAGCCGAGACGGGGGTCGAACGGGAGGGGGAGGAAGAGGCGAGGTCTATCGATGTAATTTGGCGATAGGATGCATCGAAAGCGTTGGGTTTGTGCGATGCGAACTGTGGTGGTGGTGGTGGGTAAGCACTGTGATCGGCGGTAGAGGCAGTGTTTGAGTATGGCTCGTCAGGGTTCGATCTGCGAAGGGTTGTGCTGAAAGCAAACTGATCTGCTGGTGGGAGGGTGGAGGTTGAAGGGGGTATTGGGGCTGATTGCAGGTCGTACTCCGATGAGGGTGGGAGGGGGCGGTATCGGTTTGTGCTTGCCATGATGGCAGATACTGCCGGACCCAAAGCCGTCGTTGCAAGATGCTCGGATGGGTTTCAGTGCTTCGATGAGTGTCGACTGATTGGAAGCATTACCAACGGAGATGATCAAGATGAGAAGGTGAGAAGGCGAGAAGGCGAGAAGGCGAGAAGGTAAGAAGGTAAGAAGGTGAGAAGGTAAGAAGGTGTGCTCGCACCTTGACACGACAGCAAAAGCACGGAGCAGAGCACATGGAGAGAAAAGTGACACTTTTTTTTTTTTTTTTTTTTTTTTTCTTTTTTTCCTCATTTAGCACCAGCAATGCTTATAAACAGTGAATCTGCTTGGCTTTCTGTTCTGCCCTGTGCCCACTACTGTCTGAATACGCCTCTTCATATCGACACTGTCATGCTTCTGTCGATGCCAAGTTGACAACGGCTTGACACAGAGCAATCTTGGCTAGCAGCCTCAGGCCAAGTATCAATGCAAGCAGTGGGATGGATTTGTGATCTGCAAAGTGGCAGAAACATGGCTAAAAGTACAAGAATGTTGATGGCAAAAAGAAAAGAATGGAGGCAAGAAATTGGCCAGCGAGGAGAGGAGATGAGACGGAGGATGGCAATGTAGAGACCAAGTTGGAGCGAGCTGAACATCGACAATGCTGCTGTACTGTACTGTACGAGAAAGACGTGTGCCTCCATCAACGTAACTTTGGTAGAAGATCAGAAACGGAATCGGAGCAGTATCGTCGTTGTGCACGCCATCCTGTACAGCTTTTCCAAGTCTCCTTTTCGTCGACAAAGCAGAAGAAAGCTCTCTATTCGCACCTGCTTGCCATAACCGACCATCTGTAATCCTGCTAGTGGACTGAGCACTTCAGCGCATCAGCAAATAAACATTGCTACCAATGGTAATGTTGCTCATATGTCTAAAGTTTCCCGTCAACGCCATCATCAACCCCCCAAAGCTCCCGTACACCGTCACCTCATCGGCCGCCTTCTCATCGTATCTGTAGATCTTTCCGTACATGATGTAGTCGAAATCGTCCGCGATACCGCCGTTTCCGGGTTGATCGAGTCTCCATGCATCACGCTCTGCTGCTTGAGCTGCTGCATCTTGTGTGTCACCGTCGGCTGCGTCGGTTTTGGAAGCGCCGGTAGCAGTGTCCTTTTTGAGTGTCGAGGCGAGTTGAAATGTGAGCTGTTGACCTTCAGATACGGGCCAGATGTCGGTTGCAATGTCGATGGATAGAGTCATTTCGAGCGAAGCGGAGGATGCGATGATTCGCGACACTACACGAATTGAAGGCAGGGATGGAAGAGAGATGTGGTTAGATTAGATTGAGCCAACGGCAATGAGACTATTGTGCAGGGGCGTGCGGAGGGCTACCCACCTCGATCGAACTTTTTGCCATCTGGATCGATCTGCTTGACGACGAATTGCGTGTCGAAGAGGTTGGTCGGGTCCATATTGAGTCTATGCTAGCAGTCGATGCTTTTGTGACTAGAAAGTGAGCGTCTCAACCGCCCTGGCGACGATTGCTGCCGTGAGTAGGGTTATGCGAGGATGGCAAGTGACCAGAGAGAGAGAGAGAGCAATGTGCAGGTGAAGGTGAGAGATGGTGTCGAGCCGGTTTGAAATGAAAGAGCTGATGTTCTTCTTGAGATTTGATGCCTTTTTCTCGGAAGTCGGAATGAAATTTCATACCATCATCATTGGATCGGGCTTGCGCGTTAAATCGGCAAGGAAAAGGGCTGTCTTGGCTGTTCAAATTGGACCCGATTCAGACTCTGGATCGGCAGCCGCATTCGCACAGCATTCCTCCACATGATCCATCTTTACACCAACACCTTTGCCTCGTCTCTTGTCATCACCACCACTCTCACTCACACCCAAGAAACGTCTCGACAATGTCGCCTCCAACTCCAGGTCCATCGCAAGCGAACCTGTCCCAAACACCCTCCTCCACGCTCGGCAACAAGGCGGAATGGTACGACTCGATGCTCACGCATCTCTCCACCCAACCCACCTGGCCCTCGGACAAAGAATCCGCCATTCTGGAACCGTACACCTACCTCGACTCCAACCCTGGCAAAGAAGTTCGCACCAAACTCATCGAAGCTTTCAACGTCTGGCTTCAGGTCCCAACGGGCAAACTCGACGTGATCTGTTCCGTAGTTCGAATGCTCCACACCGCCTCCCTTCTAATGGACGATGTGGAAGACTATTCTGATCTCCGTCGTGGAATCCCCGTCGCGCACAAGATCTACGGTGTACCTCAAACCATCAATACCGCCAATTATGTCTACTTTTTGGTGTTCAGCGAGATCTTCTGCATGAACGAACCACCTTGTTCCCACCAGGAAGGCTCTTGCCCACCTCTCTCGCCGAATACAGGGGAAGCGAGGGCAACAGTGGAGAGATTAGTCGTGGACGAATTAATCAATCTCCATCGAGGTCAAGGAATGGATCTACTCTGGAGAGACAGCCTAACCTGTCCAACCGAAGAAGAGTATGTGGAGATGGTAAACAACAAAACAGGAGGATTGTTTCGGATAGCGGTCAAGTTGATGCTTTCGCAATCTCCACCGGCGAGAGGGGTAGGATTTCCAGATTTGATACCAGTGGTGAATCTGATTGGATTGCTGTTTCAGATCCTGGACGATTTTATGAATCTGCAGAGTAGTAAGTATGCTGAGAACAAAGGATTTGCTGAGGATTTGACTGAGGGGAAGTTTAGTTTTCCTATTATACATAGTATTAGGGCTAGTGTCCGGCAGGGAGCCACTGGCGGAGGAGATGACAAGGGGCAGGGATTGAAGGTTCCCAATCCAACCCTAACTTCAGGTGGTAGGGGAGGAGGAGCGAATAGGCAGATTCTGAATGTGTTAAAGCAACGGCCGACGGATTTAGCGACGAAACAATACGCCGTTTCGTACATGCGAAATGTAACAAAGTCGTTCGACTATACGACAGACGTACTCCAACGGCTCGACGCCCAGGCAAACAAGGAGATAGCGCGGCTAGAGCAGGTTCTAGGAATCGCCAACCCCGGATTGAAAGCGATACTGGAGGCTTTGAAAACGAGTTGGAAAGCAGCATAACCGGCACTTGACCGCAATATATATATATATATATACACGCACACATACCATTCTCTCACCACCTGCTCTGAGGATTGTGTTAAGTGGAAGGAGTTAGCTACAACTTGGCCTTCTCCGCCTGCTCCTGTTGAGCATCCTCCTTCTTCCTCACCTGGGCCATTTTGAGCAAGGCATACAAGCTTTGCAATCTGGGCATCTCCAAGCCTTGCCGTCTGGCAATCCTGATTGGGTTTCCCAAAATCACTTCCAACTCCATCGGTCTAGCCGCTTGCCAATCCAATAACATGCTTGGCTTTCCTGCCGTATTCCTCTCTGTACTTTTCAGAATGCTTTCGGGAGATGCATGTTTCTTTTCGTCAAACTGTATACCCAGAATCTTGGGTGCTGTCTGCCAAATTTCCTCCATGCAGCTTGCAAGGTGAATGCGGAGTTCTGGATCGAGCGACATTCTCGAGTTGGTCGTACCACCGGAGAGGACTGAGGAAGGGTTCATAGAAGCATTGATGCATAGTTTATGCCATCGTGTTTGTTGGAGTGCTAATTCGGGGGCAAATCCTGCGTCTTTGATGCCTGTTGCTGTGAAGCAAGTTACCAAGTTTCGGATGTGGTTGTCGGTGGTAGAAGTGAGCTTTTCCAGCAGGTTTTGATCGGAGAGGAGAGAGTTAGGTTTAGCTTGGCCGTTTGTGTAGGTGCCCATAGTGATTCTTGTCCATCTATTCTGCCTAATCACACCATGCCTGATCTGTTCTGCGCTGATCACCGTAACGGCACTAACAATCGGATTCTCTGGATATTCGACTCTATGAATCTCCTCAATCCCCACTCCGTTCTGGATTAAGACTATACAACTTCCCTCGAGGCCTCTTGTAACGAGGGGTCGGATATCATGTGCATCATTGGTCACATCAGGCAACGCTTTCGTCGTTACCACTACATAATCCCACCTAATGCCTGCTTCACCAGCACTAGCAATGGAAGCAAAAACCCGATGGGGCGTGAAATGATAGTTGCCAAAGGAGTGAGTCTCGAGGGATACACCGTTAGCAGCGATTGCTTTGTAGTTGGAACGACAAACGAGTGAAACGTCAATGCGACGGTCCTGGTGGGTGTGTTGAAGCTTGGAGGCGTAGAAGCAACCGACTGCTCCTGCGCCTACGATTAGGATATGCAACGGTTCGGACATGATGGGGAGGTGGTCCTGGGAGATGATGGTAGAAGTGTGGTGAGCAAGGTTCCGGACTGGGCACTGGGCGATTTTGTGTAGCCGAAATATCGGCCTTGTTGGGTTGGTGAGACGTAACACGATGTTGTTGGAAGTCGGACGATTGCTGAAGCAAGAGCATCTCTCTCAGTATGCTTGTGAGATCGAGGCAAAGCATAAGCCCGCCTAGCCATTGGTAGGCAGACATAGATAGGGAGCACGTGATGTATTGCCAGAGGATGGATGTGAAATGGTAGGTGTATGTACAGGTAGCGGCGGCCATGTGAGCTGGCTTGAGCAGCATTGCAGAGCATTTGGAACGTGTGACAGAGTTCGATCTGGTGGTCGATCGCTTGGAGGCATTGGGTGCCACTTGGCTGCTTCGACATGAGCAGCAAGCGAGAGGGTATCTAGTGCGGGCTTAAAGAGTAAGATTATACTCGTACTCACTCTCCGTATTCTGACTCAACCACAATAGCACCGTCGAAGACATAATCGCAGCATTCTGCACCACGTTGGCCACTCCATAATACTCGTACCCCTGCGGCAGCACCGGCACCAAATACTTGACCGTCAACACGGTAATGCTGCCCGCCAATCCACCTGCCATGAGCGCGAAGCCGATAAAGAGGAAAAGCCTTGCTCTCCATTGTACGGTATCACCCGAGAACGCTCCTGCACCGGCACCGAAGCTAAATGCAGCACCGACATCGGTCAAGTGTTGCTTATCGATCAAATTGACTACAATCACACCCAAGGTGCCGCAAAGACCGGGAAGCCAGTCGGCGAAAGTGATGTAGGTTGCTGGTGGTTCAAAGGGGATCGTTGGGTCAAGAGGGGGTTTGCGTCGGATGTTGGAGATGATGGTTGCATCGAGGAAGAACCACCAGCCGAGAGCGAAGAGAGCGCCAGAGAGATAGATGCCAAGTTGACGTTTGGAGGTTTGAAGAAATGCGGGGAGTTGGGGAAGGGGGATTCGACAGACCCGGCGTGGGTCGTAGGATCGACGTGGGAGGGACATCTTGGCGGATAGGATGCTGTGTTTGTGACGTGTTGCTGTATCGATGGCTTTTGGGCAAGATAGGTAGGTAGGTAGGTAGGTGGATGGATGGATGCTTGACTCTTGGTACTCTTGGGGATAGAGTTGAGTCGAGAGTCGGGCCGAATGGGAAGGAGCAAGACAAGGAGATGGTCAAGGCGTGGTGTGGAGGGCTCGGCATGCATTTCCCGGAGCCGAGTCGCATGGAAAGGATGAATTTCTCTCTTTCTCTGCACGGGTGTATGATTGCGTCGGTCTAACAATAAACAAAACAGAAGTGTGCAAACCACGCCTGGCAAGCGACCTGACTTTTCTTGTCTTGCTCTGCCAACCAAAGACGGCGCTGTGCGAGGTGCGAGAATGGATAGCCAGCAGCGCCGAGAATGCAACCTTGCGCGGTGACGGCGACCTGGTTTGCTGCTCTTCATATGATACCCGGAGCATTGTTTGTGAGTGGATATCAAGTGAAAATGAAACGGCTTCTGCGCTGTGTTTGGGCGTACAGACAAAAAGCGCCGAGAGAAAGAGAGAAAGAGAAAGAGAGAGAGTGAGAGAGATGAGAGATGAGAGATGAGAGATGAGAGAGAGTGTGTGTGAGAGTGAGTGAGAGAGAGACAACCAGAACGCACAGTCCAACTCGACCGCATTTACTCCATTTACTCCGTGTGTGCACGTCCTTTTTCGGTCTCTCTGCGCACCCAATAGTCATCAACACCACCACCACCCACCACCACCACCACCATCATCATCATCATCATCATCATCATCATCATCATCGACTGCTCGTCTTAGAAACCAGGAATCGCATCTCCCCTAATATCCGCCATAGTGACCTCACACAAACGAAAGGCTTCCGGCGATCTCGTATCGACCCATCAGCATCCAAGAAAGCCTGCTTCACCTCTTGCTCCATCTAACCAAGCCAATTCCGCAAATCCTTCGCATGCCAGCTCTGTCGTCGAATCAGAGTGTATCCGAAAAAGCAGCCCCACCACCTCCTCAATCACCTCGGTCGAAATGTCTGGCGTACCGCAACAGCAACAGCAAAAGCAAAAGCAAAATACCGTCGACTATTTGGCGACCCATGAAGCAGCCGTTGCAGCAGCTGGATCTTGCTCTCAGCCCGCACTCAAGCAGCAACCTACCCCTGCAGGTGTAGCTGGCATGCCGGGACACGTAGCATCGGCTAATTCAGCTGGAACGTATTCCTCCTCTTCCCTACCCCTTGCTATTGCTGCCCAACAACGCAAGTTATCCGGCAGATACGCATTAACAGACTTTGCAATAGAACGAACCTTGGGCACTGGCTCTTTCGGTCGTGTCCATCTCGTGCGCTCTCGTCACAACCATCGGTTCTACGCAATCAAGGTTCTCCGCAAAGAACAGGTGGTCAAGATGAAACAGGTCGAACATACCAACTCCGAACGAGCAATCCTTTCTATCGTTCGTCATCCATTCCTCGTAAACCTCTGGGGAACTTTTAAGGACTCAACTTTTTTATACATGGTGATGGACTACGTGCCTGGTGGCGAGCTGTTTACCTTACTCCGGAAGAGTCAGAGATTTCCACACCCCGTAGCCAAGTTCTATGCTGCAGAGGTAGCCCTTGCGATCGACTACCTGCATCAGAACAATATCATCTATCGAGATCTAAAGCCGGAGAATATCTTACTCGGCGCCGATGGCCATTTAAAGATCACTGACTTTGGATTTGCAAAGTACGTGCCCGATGTAACCTGGACGTTGTGCGGAACGCCGGATTATCTCGCACCAGAAATCGTCAGCAGCAAAGGCTACAATAAATCCGTCGACTGGTGGGCACTAGGTGTGCTGCTATACGAAATGCTCGCTGGTCATCCACCATTCTTCACCGAAGACGGAAACCCGATTAAGCTTTACGAAAAAATCATCGCTTGCAAAGTTCGCTACCCACCCTACTTTGAAACGGGAGTCAAAGATTTACTCAAGAATCTACTGACGGCAGATTTAAGTAAGAGGTACGGCAATCTACATAGAGGAAGTAAAGACATCTTTGGCCACATGTGGTTTGCAGAGGTAGATTGGGATAGGTTGTATAGAAGAGAGATTCCAGCTCCCTACTTACCCACCGTTACCGCTGATGGAGATAGTAGTCAGTTTGAAAGGTATCCGGAGAACGATGTTGGCGAATACAGTAGGACGGATCTGCCTGATAATCTAGGACATATTTTCCCTGACTTTTAGCACTTTGCATCTCATCTGTATCGGTTTGGAAACGGAAACATTCGTATTATCACTTCCATCTTGGTCGCTGTCTAAGTCTGTGGGTGCAGAGTTCAAAGCTCAAAGCATCCGAGAGTAAAAAGTTGCATCCCAAGTGTCGGCGTCGGCGTCGGTAACGGTTGCTATTCTGTTGGTGCAAAACCGAAAAAGAAACTAGTTCGAAGCGTGTTGATTGCATAGGAGAACAGTAATGCTGAGTTAGAGGTCGGAATGACCCTTCTGAGCCTTGAAAGCAGCAGCTCTAGGCCCTTTGATCTCCAACAGTTCCACCTCAAAGATCAAATGAGCGTTGGGAGGAATAGTTCCACCAGCACCACTCTCCCCGTATCCATCCGAGGGGGGGATTTTGAGCTTACGTTTCTCACCAACACACATATCTCTTAATCCTTTGTCCCATCCTTTGATTACTTGGCCCGTTCCGACTGTTCACCCCGCAAACAACAAATCCGATCGCATGTGCGGTTGCGTTGCGTTGCGTTGCGTTGGGTTGCGTTGCGTTGGGTTGCGTTGGGTTGCGTTGGGTTGGGTTGCGTTGCGTTGGGTTGGGTTGCGTTGGGTTGGGTTGCGTTGGGTTGCGTTTGGTTTGGGGGTGCGGAAGGTGGATGTGGTGTGAAGCGAGCGATGTAGGTGTGAGTGAATGAGGTAGGCAAACATGAGTATCGGGTGAGGAGATGGCAAGGTGCAAGGGGACTTACGTGTAAACTCAAAAGGTTGGCCCCGGTCTAAAGAGCTATCGAATTTCTTACCGTCGGCCTGCACACCCGGAAACTCGGAATATATCAGCATACCATGCTCCTTCCCTTTGCAAGGGTGGCGTGTAACTTACAAGAGTACCAGTATAATGCATGGACAAAAGGTCTCCGGCTTGAGATTTATCCTCGCATACTGTAGGTCTGTATTTGACTCCTACTTGAAGTTTGTCCGGAAGACTGGAGTTAGCGGTTGCGGTAGCAGCCAAAAGGATGGCGCCGGATAGCAGGGTGAACTTCATCTTGAGCAGATCGAGTTCGAAGGTTGATGGTGGTGGAGAGCGAGAGCAAACCAAGAGTCCAAAGTGAGTGCGCCGTGTGTCCGTGCGGGGTGTCGACGTGGAAGGCGGGAGGGTACGAGGGAAACTCGTATCGGCCGGCAAATTTTGACGTTTCTTGCTCCACTTTTCAACTGAATTGAAGATGCTTAGGATTTCAATTCTGTAGTTTCCAAACACGCTTTGCTTCTCACCATCATCATCATCATCACTAACACTCGCGATCCCCTGACACGGCACGACCACTTGCTTGAATAGGTGTCATCGACTCGCCGAACCTCAGGTCCATCCAACACCGACCCATCTTACAGCATAAACAAGTTGCAACAATGTCAACAGCACACAGACCAAACTTTGATCCAGCAAAAGGAAGACAATCCACCGCACACCTGAGTGCTCAAACGAGTAAATTGGATATTCCTTCGTATACCAAATTAAAGTTTCGTCAACCTCCGCCAACTTGTTCTTCCTCTTCTGTTGCCTCTTCATCTACCGCCTCGACCTCGGGTAGAAGAGATTTGAAGAGGGATTTGGAGCTGGCTGAATGGGAAGCTACAAATCGCAAAAGAGCTAAATCGGGATTGGAACCCCTCCCCGCTCCGTTCACAGTAAAGGCGGAGGCAGAAGAGAGGGAGGGAGAGGAGGAGAGGAACAGAAAGGAGGCTATTGTGAGGGCTATTGAGTTGGATCGCGACAGTGAAACTTCCTCGGATGATGAAGCGGAACAAGAGGAGGAGGAGGAAACCAAACCAAAACAAGAGGATCAAGAAGCACCAAGTTCCGAAGAAAGTGATAGCGACAGTGATGAGGACAGCGAAGAAGACGAACAGGCACTTCTACTCCGTGAATTACAAAAAATCCGCGCAGAACGAGCAGCAGGAAAACAACGTCAAACTCAACTAGACTCAACAAGCGCTCAACTCAAGAGACAAGAAGAAATCGCCCGAGGAAACCCACTGCTCAACCTTGAAACCGTCTTTGCACCAATATCGCACAAATCTCCAGCCAGAAGACAAGAGGTAGAGCAAGGCTTTGAGGTGAGAAAAAGATGGGATCATGATGTGATATTCAAGAACCAAGCCGAGGCTGCTGGCAATACGGGCAGGCCTAACGGCGCTGCGAATGGCTTTGTTAATGATTTGACTAGGAGTGATTTTCATACCAAGTTTATGAATCGTTATATCAAGTAATCCCCTCCCCGGACCTCCTAGCCTTCCTGCTGTACTTTTATACCACCTCGCACAATCCAATGTGCCATCATCAAAAACATCAACGTGTGAGTAGAAGGAAGAATTCTGAATTGCGAAACAAAGCGTACCAATACAATGCAAAACAGATAGATCTCGCATCCCGATACGGGAATGCGATCTAGTTGACCCCCTCCGACCTCAAATCGCGCAACAAACCAGCCAGCACGGCACTATAGACAAAGACAAACTGCCTTCCTGTCTGAATCAACGACATTCTCTGTTCTCTGACACCCTCAACTATCGCCTTGATCACATCTTCTCCCTTCTCCAACACTTGCTCTACCGCTCCGCCCTCCGCAACGCTCAGCTGTGAATGGTTGCGAGCTTCCAGCATCTGCCCTTCCCCGTGGCTGTTGCTGTTCGCGCGAGTGCAATGGATCCAAGTGTTGCGAGTATGTGGTTCAGCTGAAGCGGATGAGGTGGAATTGGCTAAGGTGGAATTGGCTGAGTTGGAAGCAGACACTCCCTCGGACCCTTCGTGGCGCGAGAAGAATACATCGGCGGAGCAAGAAGAGGCGGCGTCGAACGGTGTGGGTTCGTTACTGCCCGTGATGGTTGATATATCCCCCGCTGTCGCTGCGTTGGGTGGAATGTCGCTAGAGCGGGTCTCGCTCTGTGGGGAAATGGCGAAATCGAACGGGTTCATAGCTGACATGAGTGCTTCCTCTATGGATCGCTCTCCTGCTCCAGTGGGAGATAAACCATTGGAGGAGGAGAATCGAGAATGTAATCCTGTCCCAGCAGCACTGGAGAATGAAGATCGAGCAGATCCACCATCCTGCCGCGAAGGCGTAGAAACCTCGGAAAAGGGAGAAGAGGCTTGTCTCCATGCGCCATCTTGTCCACCTAATTTCAGCGTCTGACCTCTAGTAGGGGCGAAAGCGGGATCCGTCGCGCCAGAGCCAGTACTGCTCCCCTGACCTTGGTGCCTCGTGGGAGAACCTTGATTGTTCCCACCCACTCCATCAACTCTAGCAGCAGCTGTAGGATTGAACCGGAAAGTAGCTATTGTAAAAGGATTCGTAAAGCCACCTTCCGCCGTTGTTTGCTGCTGCTGCATGGATTGACTCGTGCGCATAGGTGTATCCTTGCTCGGGAAAGGGGAGCTACCGGTGCTAGAAACACTGCTGCTGGGATTGCTAGCTGCATCCAAACCACTTCCACTCTCATTGGATCGAGAACGGAACATGGATGATGGCGAGCTTAGGTCACGACCGAAACTGCCACTGCCAGAACCTGGGTTACTGCCAGAATCGATATCCATGCTTGTAGGTGAGAGTTCACGTTTGAGGCTGCGTCGTGGTGTGCGTGGGAATCGATCGCCAAGTGGGGACGAGACTGGTGCCATATCTACCTCTCGGGTTCCAACATCCGCCATAGGTGAGTTGCCGCCAATACCGTTGCTGCTATTACCTGTAGCTGTAACCGAGACAATGTTGTTCTCCCATGTCGCAGGCTCAGCACTACTGCCGTTGCTGCTGGGACCCAACTTCTGCCTCCTCCTGGCCCGACGAAGCACATCAAGCGCAGCATCAATCACAATGAAGGCTCCCGTTCTACCTACACCAGCAGAACAATGCACCACCATAGGTCCAGCAGCAGGCACACCCCGACCTCGTGACACCGAACTCTGCAGCTCGGCATCAGCCGAGTTCTGTGCTCCATCGGCAATGTCCATTAGCGTCAGCAACGATTCGGGCGTCTCCGGGATGTGGTAGTCGGGCCAAGCGATATACTGCAGCTGAACGATTCTTCGAGGTGCGGATTGAGGTTCGGACAGATTCTGGAGCAACAAGGTCCTGCGTACCGTTGTAGGCTCGCGTTTCTTGTCCGACGCATCTACACCCTGCTTTTGCTGGCTGGAAGGCTGCGAGGGCATGGTGGGGAACAAGGTTCCACCGTCGTGCGACTCGTTGTTGAGCAGGCCATCGCACTGCTCTGGGCGCATCTGTTGACCAGCCTCATTGAGCACGACTTCTTCCAGCTTGGTGAGACGGATCGAGTCGCCAAACTCGGACTTGAGCCAGTAAGGGTGGCTCTGCAGTCGTCCACTCTCGTGTTCACGAGTGAGCATCACAATGACGTGACTATTCTGCTCCCATACGGCTGTCCAGAATGCATCGAATGTACTCGGCAAAGGTGCTTGCGTTGCAATGTAACGACGCTTGGTACCCAACCGACGAGAAGGCTGAACATGGGAGCCGTTGATGTAGTCCGAACCGGGATCGTGTGTTGATTGCGGCTTGGAAAGACGAACACGGCTGTGCTCATAAGTCCAGATGTTGTTATATCGGTTGTCAGCACCTCGTTCGAGAGCTGCGGCGATGCTGAATGGGAACACATGCGAGTTGGGGTCAAGATAGCGCCCAGTCTGTGCTGAAGACCGCTTCTGCAATGCAGCTGCTTGAGCACTGGCAAAGTCCTTGGAGCGAGGATCCTGCTCAGACTCTGCGGAATGCTGCTGCATGGTCGCGATGAGACGGTTCTGCTCTGCCTTTTCAATATCGAAGAAGGCTTGAGCAAGTGCGAGTGCGCGATCAGCATCGGGCATGTTTACCAGCTTCTGCAAGAAGGGCGGCAACTGCTGCACCTGCAATTCGCTCATCTGGGGCAGGTCCATGGGGATCTTCTCCGTGATGCCGTGCTGAAGTTCACGATTCTGACGAATGTTGTCAAAGAAGGGGTTAGCACAGTTGGCCGAAGATCGGTTTTGTCCGCCTGCTTGAGCGCCATGCTGAGCGTTGCTGCCGTTGCGGCTCTCGTCCTGCTGACGAACGGCCAAGTTGAACTGGAAGTGCTCGCCCGAGTCCCGCTGAGAAAGGTCGTTGGCTGGTGAAGTACCATTCTGGCCCATCCATCCTGGGATGGTACTGTGCGAGTTGAATGCCTCCATAGGAAGACCACGAGGCTGAACAAGGGACTTGCGTTGATCGTAGCTCGAAGCCGGGCTTTCGAATGAAGGAGTGGCAACGACACCGTTCAGTTTGAGGGTCGGTGGCTTGCTATTCTGCCGACTCTGGCTTGGCGTCTGATCATGGCCACTGATTGCAATGTCGGCGCCCTTTTGGGGAGCACCAGTGTCGATAAACTGTTGAGCCTTGTTGGAGCGGGCAAGCTTGTTGAAGCCTCCAACGAGCCAGCAGAGCTCACCAGCAAAACCAGCAGCTTCGAACTTCTTGAGCACACCAATAAGGCAAGGCCCACCGCCGCCAGCTGTAGCATTGCCAGTGCCATCGATGCGGCAAGTATCTGTATCGAGCACAATGATCTTGTTGACACCTGGCTCGTCTGGCAAACAGATTGTAGCATCACGCTTACGTACGGCTTCCAACGAGGCTTGATCCTTGGGACTAGCTTTAGCATCTGGCTTTGGCTTGAGAGGACCTTTGCGCCATCGCATGAAATGTCGACGATCGCTGACGTTGGCGAGCATCTCGTTTTCGATGCGTTCGACGGTGATAGCAGGGCGTTTGAGAAGCGTGCTTGGTGCACAGATGTTAATGCTGGATGCAACACGAGCCATCGAGTAAGAAGTGGAGGGTCGAATGTCGAGCACGAGAACGTCTTGGGGTGTGGCCGGTTGCGAAGCCGAGGGTGAAGCCAATGGTGAAGCCAATGGTGAAGCCAATGGTGAAGCTTTGCGCTGCATCTTGCATGATGGTGGCGACAGCACTTCTGCAAGTCCATCGACATCCAATGCTTTAAACTTGGACAAATCCTCTGTCGATGCACTCGCTTTGTTGTTCGAAGATGAACAAGCAGGCAAGGGCAAAGAGGCGTTGGAAGAGAGACCGGCTTTGAGTCTAGCGGGTAGGTTGAGATTGCGCCTGAAATCGGAGGGTATGGAGTTTTGTGAGCCAGCCTGCTGCTGCATCTTGCTGGTAACCGAGCTATGATTTGCGGTTGGTGTGGGCGGAAGAGCTAGAGGACCGATTGGGAAGCTATCTGGGAGTGCTGTCGCCATACCAGCCTCAGGGAACAGTTTGGCCCAAGGATGTTGCTCGCCGTCCTGCGAGTCGTCATGAGCAGCAGCACCAGGACCGTTGGCTCGTGGTGGGGGGCGAGCGCCTGATGCAGATACGAGGGGCATTGCAAGTGCAAAGGGACTGGCAATTCGAACCGCTGCAGGCTTAAGTGGATTTGTGTCCGGGAGGTGGATCGAGGCAAAGTAGTCCGGCTCAGCGGCGGAGGAGAGGGCAGCTGAAGTCATGGGTGGAGGTCGGGATGGATGAGAGGAGGTTGTGCTGGAGCAAGAGGATGCGGAGGAAGAAGATGCCGAGGAAGAAGATGAGGATGCAAAGTTGAGCGGAGGAAGAAGAGAGCGCCGAGACTTGGCTTTGGTGGTGGTCTCTGGTAATTGTGTGGACATCATGTTTTTGCAAAAGTTGTTGGTGATCGCTAGATGGCGATGCTAATGAGAATAGGTGGAAGGGAAGCTGATAGGAGTCCAGAGTGGTAGCGGTTATCGAGGGTTTGAATTAGAAGAGTAGCATGACGTCGATATCGTTTGCTTTCTAATGAGATAGACCGGAGATGGGTGGGCGGATTTACAACATGAGCAGCTGGAGGAGTGTTGATGATGCTGTGTATTGAGATGGGCTAAAGTAAAGCTACAGAGAGGGCTGATCCGGGAACAAGGCGGGAAGCAAGGGATGCTGAGTTGAAGAAGAGAGGAGAGAGTGATATGGTCGGGGTATGCGATGGGAGATCGGGTTGAGAAGGGCCAAGAGAGGCAGCAGAAGATGCAATGTAGAGCCAAGGCAACAAGATGTGGCAAGTAAGGGTGCAGTAGGTCGAGACTGTGAATTGCGTGACGTGCGGACGCTAAGGTGTATATATATGATCTTGCAGCAGTCGCAATGTGGGATGATGGCTGCCAACGGTGCGGGTGGCAGAAAGAGATGTGGAGACAGGTCGAAGCAGGCGATCGTTTTCCGAGAAACGCAAAGCGGCAAGAGTATCCAGTGGAGAAAGGTAAGGAGATGTGCAAAGTGGCGGTCGAGCAAAGCAAAGAAGCAGATGTGGAAGAGCAGATGTGGAAGAGCAGATGTGGAAGAGCAGATGTGGAAGAGCAGATGTGGAAGAGAGTATTGAAGTGGAAGTCGGAGGCGATGATGAGGAGAACAAGGTGGAGGAGGAGAACAAGGAGCCGTAAGAGGGCGCCAAGAGGGGGAGCCAAGGAGGGCCAAGAGCAAGGGTTTATGAGAGAGAGTCTCTCACTCTATTCCTCCGACTGAGCTCTCTGCCACTTTTCGCCACACTCCCTTAACGCTCAGCACCACAGCAGCGTGAATTTCGCAATTTCACAGAAATGACGCGCCAACCGTGAGATTGCGGGCAACGCTAAAAGGCAGCCGAGCGCGCCAGGTTCGCCTGCCAGACAGGCAACCACACCGTCAAGTTACATGCTCTCCAACTCTCCTCTCCGCACAGCCTTCTTAGCCTCCTTAGCCTGATTCCAATCTCAACAGCAAATTGCCTCTATGACGTAACGTCTCGGCAGCAGCAATTCAAATAGCAATCCAAATACCATTTCAAATAGCAATTCAAAAGGCCAAGGCGCCAACAATTCGGTTCATGTCTCTTTGCTCGTGCGAGTCAAAGAACAAAGCTCCGACAATTTACATTGTTCAGCTCGTGCAGCTCTAACACTCTGAAAATGGCAGCCGCTGCTGAGCGGCATGCCATTGGATTTTCGAATCTGCTGATTTGCTGCGCCTTCCTGGTCTGCCTCCCAACCACAGGCGAGAATTGGAAGGAAAAAAAAAAAAAAAAAAACGCTGCTGTCTGGAGCTTCTGACACCCTCTAGCATTGCTATGGATGGCTGGTTCGAACCAATTGAGAACACAAAGATGTTGATACTTTTCAGCATCGCTCTGCCAAGGTCTCAATGCTTGGGCAAGCATGGTGAACCAGGCACCAAGGAAGCAGGCCACCTGAAGGTTGCACAAGCCAGAAAAATCGCGCTCTGGTATCTGGACCACAATAGAGTTATCACCTACAGATGGGAAGGGCCAGACTGCAGCAGAGGCACTGTGTCATAGGACAAGGTACACAGAAGGAAGAAGTGACATCTGCATGAATTGTGGAATCAGGCAAATAAGTGGTTTTCAACAGAGTTTGTCAAGATCAGCAGAAGATAGACCTTATGATCAAACTCATTGGGATCAGCAGAACAAGGGCTGTATGACAGATCTCAACAAAACCAAGTCAAGGGGGCTAATTACACCAATCTCACAAAACACACCACCCAGGAGAAGATGACCAAGGTGAGGGGGCCAGATGACCCCTACCAATAGAAGGACAATGGGGCATGGAAAGTTAGAGCCCACCACCCAGATGAAGGAAGGGCCCTATGTGACAATGAACTTGGCATAAGGGGATGGACACTGTCAGCTGGAGCAGATGAAAGAGGGTGCACCCTGCCACTCAGAGGAGGTGGGAGCAACCCCTATCAACAATGAAACAGCACTGGGTCTCCTCAACCTCAACCCCCAAGGAGCAGGAGAAGCAGTGTCAACAAAGAGTATACACCCTAAGAGAGACAAGGGCCATAGGAGAGACAAGAGGAGGAAGGGCTGTGCCAAAGGAGACCCTATGCCTCCTGAGTAGAGCAAGAGCAGTGTTGCAGGCAGCACTGCAAGAATATCTATATAACCATACATTCTCTTTGTCATAGTAGTCAAGTGGATCCTCATCCACTCTACACCTTACTAGCTATATCTTTACCATATCATATACTTAGTAGTTCCATCACAAGTTGCAATTGCAGGCCATTGCTTCTAATATAGCATGTGTGTTGTATCACAGCTACTTGACACCATCCAAAGGCAGTACATACTGCCATCTGTCAGGGGTCTCGCGCCTGAAACCCAGGTCGGTCTGTCGAGATACTCGGTGACTATCAAACTGTGCGACAGCTATTGTCTCGAGATACTCGGTGACTATCAAGTTGTGCAGTGACAGCAGGTGGCGTTTGTTGTATATACTATCGTAGGTTTCGGCTGACCTCTGTGGACACTCCGTTCAGGGGTAGCTCGGCACGATCAATATCAATGTTATGATGACACCAAGGTCTGGTGTGGGTGTTGATGATGATGAGGTTGATGGTGTTGGTGATGAGATTGGTGATGTCGATGATAATGAGGTTGATGGTGTTGATGATAAGATTGGTGATGTCAATGATAATGAGGTTGATGGTGTTGGTGATAAGGTTGGTGGCGTCAACACGAGTGTCCAGTGTGTTGACTTGATGCTTTGAAGTGATCCCCGGACCGCAGTGGACTACTGCCTTCGGTTCTATCTATATCCGGACCGCTAACCTGCTATGGGCGCCTTCGGACGTCAGGTAGTGGTGATACAACACACACACTACGATGAGGAGCAACCTTGATAGATTGCTGCTATGCTGACTGTAACTAATGAGTACTTGTGTTTCTAAAGTATTGACTAGTTGTATGGTGAGTAGAGTGGATGGGGATCCACTTGACCTATGATGATGAGAAAGCATGGTTATATACCTCTTCACAGCATCGCCAGCGATGCTGCTCCTGCTCTCTCTCCAGAGAGTACTTTCTTCATCGAGTACTGCTCAGGGGCCTCTCCTGCTTGGCACCCCTGTGCCTCTTGAGTGGTGTCGACTCCTTCGACACTGCTCCTCCTCCTCATGACCTGTGTCGACTCCTTCGACACTGCTCCTCCTCCTCATGACCTGTGTCGACTCCTTCGACACTGCTCCTCCTCCTCATGACCTGTGTCGACTTCCTGTCTCTCGAGCCCCTGAGTGGTAACCATCTGAGCTTGGTCCTCCTCATGGCTGCGCCTGCTCTTTGAGCTTGGTCCTCCTCGTGGCTGTGCCTGGTCCTCCTCGCATATGGGCTCAGTGCTCCTTTGCATGTGAATCCATAGGAGTCCATGGTCTCCATGGAGACTGCACTACGACCATGCTCTCTACTGGTATCGACTAGGTCTTCGATACCTGTGCTCCGTCCATATGAACCCATGACCCTCCTGCTTCTTGAGCATCCAGGCCCATGACAAGCTGCTTCTCCTACAGATTTCAATGGACTCTATTACAAGTCCTATGATCTGCCCAATTCCTCAATTCCTGTGCTCCCTTCATATGTCTTGATGGATCTTCCTGATTTCTGCACATCCTGTCCCATGACAGCTATGTCACTACATGTCGACATAGTCTGAGGGAACAGGAGGGGGAGCCAGAACCGAACGAGCCACTTGTTCTTCAACCGTGGGAGCCACCCAATGGTTGAGAGGGTCTGGGACCCACCAGACACCATCACCAACTCATGCAGTTGATGTTCAGAATACAAGTTGTTGTGGTGGGCCATGAAGACTTGTAAGGTCTGTAAGATTGAACTCACCAGAGAAGGGTTGGGCAAGTGCCACACAACTTGCATGGCCATAACCTGCCTGGGAGTCATGACAGGGTCCAACACTTGTTCCTCCAACCAAATGAACCCAGGACCATATCCATCTGCTACCATTAAGTGGGCTTGCTTGGTTTGATGTGAACCACAAGGCTGTAAGCTGGGAGTCCTGTCTCCCCAGTGCTCCATGCCCAGATGGGCAGGGAAGGTACATTCACAGTGCCCCAAACCAGCCAGATAGCAGTGAGTGCAGGCACAGGGGATCCTGTGTTGCTCACCAAACAGATTGGTGAAAGCAGAGGCAAAACAACTGGAAAACAAAGAGGGGAAAGTCAGTAACAGCAGAGAAAGGAAAACCAAGGAGCAGGAGATACTTATGGGACTCCCAGGTTGAAACAGCAGCAACATTGCCAGCTGGGCCAGGGCATACAGCCCTCAGTCAACCACAGCATCACCAAGCAGTGGAGGTGGCGCTCCGGAAGAGAGCCGATAGGCACATCCCAATCAAGTGGGAAGTGGCAATCTGCAATCTGGGCCACCAGGTCCACCACCACAAACTGCTCAGCCCAACCAGCAATCTCACCATTCATTGGGAGATGATGGTTGGGAGGAGGAGGTGGGGGGGTCCAACAACCAACCCAGTGGGGAGGAGGGGTAAGAGGCTGCATGTTGGGACAATACTCCAGCGTGGCAGCCTGAGCCAACACCAAGACAGCATCCACAATGTCATTGGCATCTGGAGGCAGGGTAGGAGTCCAAGCCAATTTGGCCTCCCAGGTGGCTTGATGCTCTGGCATCATCATCTCCACTGCAGGATGTCTTGCATCCACCATGTATAAGTCAACCTCCAGAGAGGTTGGGGAATAGTCATTCCCCACAGGGGGGGAACAGCGCATGCCAAGAAGGGGGAGGGGAGGGGACTGGGGATGATGGTGTCATCATCCATCCCCAAGAAAAGAGGCTCCAGTGGCGAAAGAGCCA